GTGCCTGGGCAATCTTCGACCGTGCAAGCGGGGGTCTCGAGGTCGGATAGCTGTGAGGGGTGGTGGACAGCCCAGCAGACATCACAGATGCACAGATAGATTACAAACCTATCTGTGGATAAACCAAGCCGCTTCAACACAGTGGGAAACGTGCAAGCAAACCTGTCCAGACCAGGGTACTCATCTTCGGGGTGTTGTAATGCGACCTGTGTGAGTAGGTTTTGAGTTCCTTCTAGCATCATCTGAGCCGCTGAATGACATATGCCTTCGCAGACGACTAGGACAAATGCACGGATGTACGCGTTCCGAATGGCGGGATGATCGTCAAAAGCCTGTGGGAGTTCATCGTGGTTGTAGGGCTGAAGGACATCTTGCACGTCAGAAAAATCGTAGAGTTCGTCTAGGGTTATTTTGAACGTGTTGTCGAGTTTGTCCTGGGCAGGGTCGTGTGCCTCATTCTCTTGGTTCTCTTCAGGTTGTGCTGCTTCTTCGTCTTCGTCTTCGGAGCCCTCAGGGCTAGCTGGAGGCGTACGAGCACGCACGAGTCGTGTAAAGAACTCGTCATCGCTGGGAGGTGTATCGTCATCTTCGTCAAGGGTGGGATTATGATTGTCGCCGAAGAGAAGGTTTTGCTCATAACCTCGATGCTACTCGTCATTTCATAAGATAAGTCTCATTTCATGGTGGCTTAATAACCGCGTTACGCACCTGCAAAGGTTCACCCCCGTCTTCCTTGGCGTGGTCATCCTGAAACTCATCCGAAAAGCCCTCGTCATGCGCCTCAAATCCGTTGTCATATGCGTAGTCGTCCGCGTCGAATGTATCCCCGTGTTCACTTCCGTCCACGTGCGGGACATGTTCATTTGTGGCCTCAGCCGCTGTTAGACGAGCTCCTTCCTTGGCGTAGAGGAGCTCGTCAGCTTCTCGGTGTCGACGGAATGTCCTAGGCTGTTGTGGCTTTGATCCCGAGGAATGTCTCCCGCATCCATGCGAACGACACGAGCATAGTCGGGACGCAGCCACAGGCGCACGGGGCATAGCTTCAGTGAGTACAGCGTTGAGTATCGCCTATGCTTGACGGTCGTGGAGTGTAGGGTAGCTTGCGAGGTCGACTTGTACGCCCTCGGGAAACAGACAGGGGCTCTGACCAGATCCGAACAAAGCGGGACAAGTGCACACGGCGCGACTGCGCTAGTGAACGTATATCGGCATGGATTATGTAAGTGTCTACACGCTTGTGCGCTGCTAGGTGTATTATGTAAGTGTCTACGTGGAGCCGTACGCTGCTAGTGACTATAAATCCGCCTGTAAACGCGCTTCACCTATCAACAGCTGATATATAATTCGAAAGTCCGGTGGTATGGTGTACTGTGATTCACCGTCAGAGTAGACACCACCGTCAGAATAGACAACTCGCTTTTGTGCCCGTTTCCTTGGCAAATCATTCGAACTAAATTCATGGTAATTACGAGAATATGCTGTAATTTATGCCTGAACATGCGATTGGCGAGGGAATGTCTGGATGTGAAGCTGCAAGCCTCAAAGCATGAAAGACAGGGTGTTGTAAAAAATTTCTTAGCTTCGGCAGATAACCAGCTGTGAACATGCAACACAGTGTGGATGATAGAGCTATTGTATGTTGTAATGACATCTTTACCCTTCGTTGAAGCAATTTTGGACGCTGCAAAAGGCGACAACTCTCAATATGTCGGAACGATGACAGAGTGTCCTCTCGAGCCTTGCCATAATCTTATAGCCGCTGTAACGGCGATTTCGGCTCAGTGATAACGCCCTGACTTTCCTTTTTGAGACCGGCTATGGTGGACGGCCTGCCTAATATGGATAATCACCACCCGCGCGGACTGTCTATTCTGACGGTATTCGGCCTAAAATACTGATTCGTGCATTGCACATGCACCCTATGCTTTCTTCACTCAGCGATTTTTTGTAAGGTAGATCGCATACCAAGGATATCTCAAACCTAAATTTAAGCAAGTTGGGCGAAGGAAAAGTATTCCACACGCGTTGCACAAAAGTCTGTCTATTCTGACGGTGAATCACAGTAACTAGTATATTTGATCGACATTACAAACCTGTCACTGCCCTCGGTCACCCATATTCTTAGTATTTTTGCTCCCAGCTAGCCGCTCGCTTTTCTCTATTCGTCATGGACTACATCTTGACTATTGACTCTGATGATGATGAAGGTTCTACCGTCCAACATAAACCTGCCAAAACGCAGGCAATGGATCAGGACGACCCTCATCTTAATCCTGAATTTGTTTTCGGCCTCTCCGACGTTCAGCTTGCAGATTCTGCCTTGGACGAGATCTACAACGTTTCTGACAAGACCTCTACAAAACCAGTGAGCAGTCTACTTACACTTACGGACCATCATTCCTTAACCGGGTTCAGGGGGCGGTCTCCGTCGACCAAATCATAGAGAGAAGAAAACGGCAAACCGCTGCAACGAAACGAAAACGAGGTACAGAAAGCGGCCTCGCACAGAGCGATAGTGAGGAAAGCGGCTGGTCTCAGTCGTCAAGTGACGAGGACGACGAAGATATAGAAGCGAGCGGAGATGAAGAGGGCGACTCCAGTGGTGAACGGAGTGAGGACTTTGGCTCCGCTTCTTCGGATGAGGACGACGAGGGGCAATCTGATGAGGTGTCCGACCTCGAAACGCAGGCCGAGAAGGACCGCAAGCGTGCCTTCTTTGAAGATTCGGACACTACTACACCAGCACACGCTTCGTTCCTTACAATGAATCTGTCAAGACCACTCCAAAAGGCTCTCACAACACTTGGATTCAACAAGCCGACGCCAATTCAGGTTGCTGCTATCCCTGTCGCACTCATAGGCAAGGACATTGTAGGTAATGCTGTTACCGGCTCTGGAAAAACTGCTGCCTTCGTTATTCCTATGCTTGAGCGCCTCCTCTACCGGGAAAAGGGGAAAAGTGCTGCAGCTACGCGTTGTCTTATTCTCGTTCCTACTCGGGAGCTGGGCGTGCAGTGTTACGAGGTTGCTCAAAAGCTAGCTGCTTATACAGACGCAAGGATAGCTCTGGTTGTTGGTGTGTGTCATCTTCATCGCTTTAATCGTCATTTCTTGAACACCTCAGCATTCAGGTGGTCTCTCTCTCAAAAGCCAAGAGGCTGCCCTACGCACTCGTCCGGATGTGGTCATTGCGACACCAGGTCGTCTCGTAGATCATATTCATAACTCCCCGTCGTTTAATCTTGACGCTCTCGATATCTTGGTTCTTGATGAAGCCGACCGTATGCTTTCCGAGGGGTTTGCTGACGAACTATCCGAAATTATCAAAGCTTGCCCGAAATCTCGCCAGACTATGCTCTTCTCGGCTACAATGACGGACTCCGTGGATGAACTGGTCAAGATGTCATTAAACAAGCCCGTCCGGCTCTTTGTTGATCCCAGACGTACAACCGCTCGCGGATTGGTACAAGAATTTGTACGTGTACGTGCTGAGAAAGAGACAGAACGGTCATCGTTACTTGTTGCATTGTGCCAAAGGACATTCACATCAGGTGTCATCGTGTTCTTTAGAAGTAAAAAACTCGCTCACCAAATGCGAATCATCTTTCGTATGCTTGATATGAAATGCGAAGAGCTACACGGTGACCTCACACAAGAGCAGGTACGTGCGTATTCTATGAGGAAAATCTACTCTGACCATGGATTTCAAGCGCCTGCAAGCCCTCCAACTCTTTCGGGACGGGCAGGTCAACTTTCTCATGGCAACTGATTTAGCCTCTCGTGGTCTCGATATCAAAGGCATCGAAACGGTTATTAACTATGATATGCCTAACCAAGCGGCTCAGTATCTCCATCGCGTTGGTAGAACAGCCCGGGCCGGTAAAACTGGGCGGTATGTCAAACTTCAATACCCTTATTATCTCTTTTAACGAGATTTCTATCTAGGTCATTGACACTCGTAGGAGAAGCCGACAGGAAGATGCTTAAGTCTGTCATCAAGCATAGTGCTAGTGGAGAAAACATTCGCCACCGTGTCGTTCCCGCGGAATCGGTTGCAAAATGGTCAAAGAGAATTGCGGACTTGAAAGACGAGATATCCATGGTTTTACAAGAGGAGAAAGAGGAAAAGCAGGTATGGGTTTACCACTGGCGGTGTTCACTTTTATTTGACTCAATCTGTGGTTGGCCAGATTAGACAAGCGGAAATGGAGCTCAAAAAAGGGAAAAACATGATCGATCATGAAAAGGAGATCTTTTCTCGACCTGCACGTACATGGTTTCAAAGCGAGAAAGAAAAAAACAAGGCGGCTGGTAAGCTACCGTTCTACACCATCTACACGGGTCCCATCTAACCGAGCATTGCAGCCTCGAGTAAACAGGAACACGAGAATGCTAATAAAACAGACAGCGGGGTTGACGCGGCTGCCGTAAGCGCGAAGAAATTTTGACATTGCTGTTTTCACTGAGGATTGGTTGCAGCCGAAACGAGGGAAGTTTGCTGGACTTTCAAGGCGGGCCAAGCGACGGAAATTGGCAGCCGAAGCTGATCAGGCAATTGGCGATACCGGTGCTGTCGGCGCTGCTATACGATCCGCAAAGAAGAATGCGCGGCCACGCAAAATTGGTCTCCCAGAACAAAACTCAAAGCCCCGTAAAACCGCAGGGTCACGCTCAAAGAGTGCGGGCGCCAAAACAGGATTTGATCGAGATTTGGGGCAAAGGGGTCAACACGAAGGCATAAGGGCGAAGAAAGGTGACAAAATTGGGCGTCCGGGCAAAAGAAGGGGTTGAAGAGGGGCGATCATAATCACGCACATTACAATGTTCCACTCCTACGACAACGTCGTAATTACAGTTGTAGTTGTCGTTGTCGTTGCTTTCCTCCTTTTCGTCAATAAGTGGTCATCTGGGAGCGATTTTTGGGGGTCTAAGTTCGCCAGCCCCCTGCTATATATGGTACTCAAAAATGCTCTTGGATCGTTAGTGTTACCGCGGTTCGAGAAATCAGCTCAAACCGGCTCCTTGAAATACCCTTTCTTGCCACAAACACGACCAACCGAGTGTTAATCTTCGCGGTTGTTAGCCTCTACACAGCGCCGAGGTGTGTTATCTGGACTGATAATAAGTGTAAGTACAAGTTTCATTGGCTTGGTTCCAGTCAGTTCGCCAAATGCGGCAACACTATGGATCGTACGTCAGACTTGAAGCTTGAGCGCTTGAGCTTACACACAACAATGTGTTAAACCATCACGGTGAAGTACTAAGAGTTGAAGCTTGAAGAGCTACTAGTACGTCACGGTTTTAGTCTCCCCTAGGCAGACCCTATATCAGAAGACAGTCGTTCTTGATGTCACGGTTTAGGACTCACGTGCTAATTGTCATACGCGTCGATCTGAACGCGCGGGGTCTCTTTCTTCGCCGTACCAGGGCTAGTGCTCAAAGCGCTCACGCAACATGAATGATTTTGATCAAATTGCGTTGATACGTCTTCCCTTGCCATGTCGTCTCCTCGCCTCAGCATGTTGTCCAGACAAGGATCTACTTGTTCTGTTCTCTAGATTGGGTGGACGTGACCGGATGAGCTTGTGGAAGATGCAAGGTTCTAAAAAGTGGGAAGTGGACCTTGGCGATGATGATAACTTGAATGAAGATATCGTTGGTATTGCATGGAGCAGCAGTGGTTAGTCTCACATCATGCACCCGCTTGTAGAACGGCTTATGGATGTAGCTTTGTCCTGGGGGTTTTGCAGGCCAAACAATTGCAGTTGCCTATCATCCGCCCCGCTTGAGTCTATACTCGTCTCAGAACGGACAGCTGCGCTGCACGCTCAAATCGCCGTTTGAGGCCACTAATTGCAAGCCTTCTCGACTGAGTGGTATCTGGTGGTTTCCGGGCAATAAGGAATCTCTGGAAGGCACGATTCCTGATATATTCAAGAGAAAGAACATTATTGTCAGTCCTATCAGCTGTGGTAGGAAACCTAGCCTCATGTATTGGTCAAGACAGGATCAGCGCTCTCCATCTTGAAGTCTCTCCCCCTGCTGAATCCTCCTTTCGAAGACGAGCAGAAGCTAACGTAAGTCTTCAAAAGGTGTGTTCAAGAGTCTGATGCGACCTTTGTAGCGCGACGAACATCTTTGCATTTCAAGGCTCTCAAACAAGGGTACCCACAAAATCTTCGTTGCCCGAAGTGCTGTTGAGGTGGAACACGCTTGCGCTAAAACCGGAGACCGTCTCCATTAGCTCTGCATCCGGCGCCGAGGACAATATGGATGGACCGGATTCGCTACTACGGCAAGTCAAATATGCTGACGACGAGAATAGTCTCCTTGTCATAGCGGATGATGCTGGCCGCGTCTATTCCTTTCTTGATGGTACATACTATCTGGGCTCTGTGGGCCTTAATGTCACCAGCGAGACAATATGGAAATTTTCGAAGCGGGCACTCTTTTTCTACTATCCTCACGGCGATACTCGCAAAGACTCCTTCTCTGCGACCTTGCAGCCCTTGCCGATGGCAATTCCTTTACTTGACACACGTCACGCTCGCGATTGCGCCATGCTATCATCAATCTCCCATGACCTACTTGAATATGCTGCAGTGGCTACTAGAGACATTCAGGAGACTTGGCTCGGCTCAAGTACGTTCACAGGGGCACGAGAATTAGGGCAGATATGGCTTCAAGCATTCCAGCGCAAGTTAGCTGACTTCGACGGTAATACCCTGGGTGTCATCCCTTTGACGGTTTGGTGACCTTCAATGTTTCGTGACAGCCGAACAACCCAATGCAATGCTGGATATGATTTGTGCGCTCCTTACGGGGTATAAAAGCGAAGGATTCAGAGATTACTTTGGCAGCAGCGAGCATATGAGCGACAGAGTATGTTGTCAAACAGCTCCTTTGTCGTGTTATTTACTCTCCCATAGGCTCTGCAAAAATGGGATAACACGGTCTCAGACGCGCTGCTGAAAATACGCGATACAACGAGCCGAAGGATTGTGCCGGCATTGCAACGGCTATACGTTGTTTTTGACGAACTCCATGGGTGGTCGAACCTGTGAGGACGAGACAACGGTTCATCATATAACATCTGATACTTGAGCAGGCCGCATTTCTCTCTCTTTGAACTTGCGCCAGAAAATGTCAAAGAATGTTTAGACATGATCCAAACGGGCATTTTCGTTGCCTCTTGGCTGGCCGATACCGCAAGGACAGAGTTGTCTCATTTCAAGAATTTCATGGGCTGGCTACGATTTGGTTTGCTCGCGTTTTTCTTGGCGATTTTCTACTTACCGTTGGGACAGAAACTGCCGCCCTCAATAATCCTACAGAACGACTCCTCCCAGAGTTCGACCACGTAGAGGTCAACAGCTACCTTAAGTCCGGCCTCACGGACTGCCAAGTCGACCGATGGTTCTTAGGGTCACCCCCTCAATTTCGACCTGAGGAATTACAACGGCATGGCGAAGCAACCGAACTGGCTGGCATCCTGTCACAGACTGAGTTGGCATTACACACCCCTTCAAAGTTCGCTATAAGGAATAAAGTATGTCACCTCAGCGGTCTACGATGGCTAATGATTGACTTTCCTAGAACGAATCTCCGGGCAATCGCCTACTATTAGACAGAAACCTTTCGGCACTGCTAGCAAATCTCATGGATCGATCGCAAAGCATTTTTGAACATGCGTGCTGGGCGAGTGCGCGTTCTGCAAACGTCGGACCTGCATGCAGTATCTTGCCGAGTCAGGGTTTGCCGACGAGCTCAGACACAAATTGGTCCAATCGATCATTTACACGGCATCATGTTGCAGAAAACGGGGTTTCCAATGAAGCTGTGGGTCCCTTGTTCGCCATTGATACCTGTGCCTTTGAACTCACGCCTTACAGCATGGCGAATTCCTTCAGTATCTTGCCACTCATGTAGCTTCGGAACCTCGGTCCTTCCGTAAGTTGTTTTCGGAAATCACGGTCTCATAATGTGAAATGAACACACCCATCAGTGATATTCATGAAGACCCCGTACCGAAAACCGGCGGGTGAAGCTGTGGAGCATTCTCAAGTGGCCGTCTTGGAGTGTTGTGCGGACGAAGAAGGCGAAGACGGCATCTCCCGCCTGGAGATAATTGGCGCTGAGTTTTTTGATGACACAAATCTTGTCATCATTTACAGAAACTCGGCCTCGACCGGTGTGCCCCTACATCATCTGAAATGCTTTCAGTTGCTCATAGCCTACCAGAAAACCTGATCATCGCCTTGCTGGAGTACGGGAATCTGTCTTATCAAGATCTTCAAAACGAAGGGTCTACAAGCACGCGTACTCGAGAAGACATGATCAAGGCTATCCTGCAAGAAATCAATGAAGCGCATGTCCGCTACCGTGCCTCGTTATGCTTCTTTCAGAGTATCGCTAACGTACGCCAATCAGATCCCAACGAGGCCGGTTCCGATTTCCCGGTGTCGGAAACTCGCTGCCTATCACAAAAGCAGTAATGTTTCGCTTGCGGTCAACGGACGAGAAGGACGGCGAACAGTTTGCGTACTCGACGAGAGTGGCATGACGCTGGAGGTATTGGACATGGAGGCGTCAGGTGAGGATGAATGATGAGGCCGATGAAGTGGCGCAGGGGAGCGGTAAAGCCAAAGCTGGGCAGAAGGTGAACGGATAAAGAAGCGAGGAACACGGCCCGTAATCTGCATAGCATCCTGGTTGTGTGCCAACCTGAATAGAAACCTAGGGGCGTGTTTGGCAACGAGGGCCGAAATAAGTGGACGAAGCGAATATCTGATGGCCGATTTGGGGAGACCCTGAGAACCAACAACTCCGCCTTGGGCTAGAGGCGACACATTGTGTAAGGCATGCGTTCATAAAGGGCGAGGGAAGCATCGATGTCGAAGACCATTACACGGTGGCTGAACGCTGAGCGCTGAGTTGTCAGACGTGCGCGGAGATAGGGATGGAGTTATGAATGCGATGGCCCTCAAATGACCTCTCGTTCTCGGGAATGAAGATGAGCATGAGCGTGGCGGAGGCGAAGTCCGGCGCTACGGTGTTGATCTTGCGATTGGAGTGGTAGCGGATGAGACTGTGATCACCTGGCAGCTATTCATGTCCAAGGTTTGAAGATCCCTCCGCGTTGCAGCCATCCTTCAGAACTCCAGCTACGTAGTGGAGGCCACGCCGAGCTCAAATTGACAATTCCCTCGGCTAAGTCGGTTTGCTACCGCGGCCCTCTCCTCGTGCCCTGTAACGCGGAATTCTTTTTTCCATGCCCTGCCCATTTCCTATTGGCAAAGAACCGCCGCTCTGTCCTTCATTTGTCCCCACCTACTATGATATAAATCACGTCCCTTCTTGCTCCCTCTCTGTAGCTTGACTCGCGCCTCCGTACCCCGCTCCATGCCAACTATCTCAGATACCAATTGGGTGTCTTCTAGTGTCAAATCAGAGCAGACTATCAGCCATAACCCTTCTGCTCGTATGTCCGACGCCGAGGTTCGCAAGAAGAAAAACGCTAGTGCGCAAGCTGCTTTCCGTCAAAGGCAAGCTTCATTTCTTGATCCCTGGCTTGCATGATCCTGACGTTGTTAAACCAAGGCGGCAGAATTATATCAATTCACTCGAGGAAACAGGTAAGATCGAGTTTGTAGCATATAGCTTTTTGTTGACTCCTGGTTCCGCACACTAAGTGACCGGCCTTGAGAAAGTTGTCTTACAAATTCAGGAATCCTATCGTGATGCTCGCGCCGAGGTGGTTAAGCTCCGTCAGGAAAACTCCCTCCTCAGACAATCAAATCAGGATCGAGACGCTCTGTTGAAGAAACTTTGGCAGGAGAGGAAACTTGCCTCTCTTGACGAACTGTCCTCGCAGCCATCTTTGTCTGGCATCCGATCTAATGGCCTTGGCGACCACGTCTCTTCTGTGCAGCCAAACCAGCTGCTTGGAATTAAACGTCCTCACTATGAGATAGAAGATGACGCAGCAAGCGTCGTTATTCCCTTTGGATCAGCCACTGGTCATGCACAATCTTTCACCAGCCACTCATCTTCTGCCTCATACAGCGGGAGCGTGGATAACCACCACGCGATGATGAATGGTAACTTGACCGGTACCTCTGGACAATACGCCTGTCCTATCCAAAACGCAGGAAGAGATGCTGTTTGGCACCAGAATATGTCCACAGTCTCCGCGAACGGTGAGCAATGCGCCCAACTTTCTTCTGGTCGATCTGTTCCATCATCGCTTGCACATTTGCATCATTCACATAACTAATATCATCGCAGGCTCCCCGGTCATAACATCGTCTGATGCGTATGGCCAGTACAACTTCTCAGAACAGAAGTTGCCCTCGGAAGCGATTCCACATATCATTCAAGCGAATCGTTCTCTATCACCAAACTCTACCCCACCATCCTCGTCTAGCGCATCTCTAACTTCTCCGCTGCACTTTGCCTATGCGCCGGACGATCTGGTTCGGCAACATGGCGGACATCCCGCGGACCTAACACTTCGCGGCGCTGTCGACTTGCCCATGAACGAGATGGGGAACAGCACTCTCCGCTATCGGATGGGGATCGCCGGCCCTACTTCTGGCGCTGATGCCAAACCAGATATCTCATACAGCCACCGCTCCTCTCATAGTGATCGCGATTCGCCCCTAGAACTTGCAAGTAATGAAGGCGAACCATCTTCCTCTCGTACGCAGTATCAACAGGACATAGGTGAATCACGTTCTCCTTCCCCCGCTGAACCTCCCATATCTGGGACTCTTGCCGTCATTAAGGCGCAGGCTTTTGGTGCTCTGCGTAGAACACGATCAAAGACAAAAAAATCAGCCGATGGCGGAGCGAAGACTGCTCTCGACCTTCTAGCGGCCAAAGGCATTGGAATGGGGGTCCCCACAAGCTCTAAGCGCCCTCGATTGTTTGGCGACGACCTGGCCTAAAAGGTAAAAACTCTGCTGTTACATTCTTATCTTAATCGCATTCATACGTTAATCAAACTATGTCACATAATATTGCCAGTCATGTCATGTTTACCTTCTTGTACACTTGTTACCACCGGAAATTGTATGTTATAGTCATGGCATGTTTATGGTACAATCATCTTAATATAGACTTCATACATATAACTGTACTCGAAGAAGTATCCATTCGCTAATTAATTTTTGGGATCGCTACATCCCAAGGCCCTCTGATTTCGCTGAGAAGTCGTTAAAAATGACGTCAAGGGCTAAAGATAGTCAAGGGCCTACTTCTTGTACTTCTGCGCCCAGACCAATAAGCCCGGAGATAAGAAGGTGACTGCGAACAAAATCATAGCGTATACACACGCCGCCTTCATTGAAAGGGACACCATGGAAGCAATTGATGAGATCGCCAAGGCTGCTGTTAATGATAGACGGATGGTATTGGAGAGTACCTGTTGAAAGTTTAGTAGAAAATCGATGATAGTCAAGCTGATAATGAAACATGCCTGCAGCTGACGTCGAAGCCTCGGAAAGAGACTAAACAGTTGGACAGAAAAGAAAACAAGCGAGAATACGGCGAGATCATCACGTAAGCGTGATGCCAGTAGAGTAGATGATCCAATAGCTGCATTTAGGGAAAGTAACGAGGCCAGTCTGCGAAGAAGTCAAGTTTGGCGCTGGAGTTGGGCAATTTTGGAATAGATTACCCGTCACTAGTCTCGCTTGGGTTGAATGTGGTGTAGTCAGCGAGGAGTGTGTTTAAGGCAAAGAGAAGCACAGCTAATATCCGTGCAGAGTCGGACGAGGCAGCGGCAGCCAGACCCCGGAGTACTGGGGTCAAGCTTAGCAGAACAAGAAAGACACGGAACGACGAAGTAAACAGCTTGGCCTCTGCTGTATTCAGTTCATGTCTTTTCCCTTTAACGGTTTGAGGGCACCTACTATCTGGGTATGGATTGCGACAAGATGTATGAGCGCGGCTCAGCAACTGAAAAAACACATGGGTGAAGGCGGAGCCGCATATGGTTGCCCATAGCAAAGTCCTCGCATCCAAAGTCTGTTCTTTGAGCCTGACAAATACTGTGAGAAACAGAGCCACTGAACACATATGCTGTGTGATGGACGACGTCAAGAAGACGAGTGGCCAATATTCGTATGGCTTAAAATTGGCTGAAGTAGGTCGTGAACGGGGATGGACCCGAAGAATGCGAAATTGACGCACGATTTCTTCTGAGAGACGATAGGAACGTTTTAGGTGGAATGTAATTATCTGGGTAGTCTTGTTCGAACCATAGGGCCTTCTGCCATTCAGATCGGTGTGTCATGGAGAGACTCGTACCCTTGCGCTGCAAGGCGAGTCGCGCCGAGTTCGAGGACTACGACTATGTAAATGGGACCACCGGTAGCTTCCGTTACACCACAGTACTACACGGCCAGCCCTCGTATTGCGAAATCCTAACCTCACGTACACAAATAGCTTGGCTCAGTCGGAGTAGGATATATATGGTAATCGATTAGGTAGAACCTAACCGTGAGACAGTCGCGTCAGTTCCAAGTCGCGTACTTGCACATACGCCAACCACGCGTCGTCGTTGGCCTTTACACAAACATAAGACTTGCGTATGCCCAACCATCGCTCTGTTGAATCAGTTGAGTGAAGTCTGAGATCGAAAAGTCCCCCCCTTCCCTTCCCTTCCACCACCACCACCTTAACCGCCGCAAAAGCACCAAGTCTCCTCAAGCCCAGCCATGGCACCCTCCCGCTCTGCACAGGTCCTCCAAAACCCGGAGAGTAAGAGGCCTCGACTATTCTATATAGCTCGCATTTACATCTATTTAATAGACTTTGAAGCTGGTATGGGCGTGCATGCCTACCGCTTCAAGTGCAAGTGCTGCACGGGCAGCGAATGGGTGGACTTGACCCACGCCTGCCGGCACGAGAAGACATACAAGCACGCACGCCGCGTTGCCGTGTCGTCTGCTTTGCAAGCGGCTCCCCGTCCCCTCTCCCCCTCTCTACCTGCTCCTGGTCTGCTGGCGCCCACTCCCCCTCCCGGATACCATGGCCTTCTCGGCCCCCTCAAGGAGGCCATTGCCTCTTTTATTACCCGGGCCGACTCTCCAGCTCCCCCTGTCTCTCCGCTACAACTCGCCACAGCCGACTTCGAGGACAACCACTCAGCCATGGAGCTCGACCTGGACTGGGATCAGGTCGACTATGATCTCCTCATGCGCGCTCCTGACGACCGTCTGCGGGCTGATGCCATAGCGGCCAACCTGGCCGCCTTCATGGACGGCGTATCCATATCCTCAGATGAAGAACCAGCCGAGCTTGATGAAGGCATTGGGCTTGTTATGCCTGACGACCCCGATGGTACGCACGTTCTCTTTTACGATTTGATGCCCTGCTAACCCTATTCTTAGCACCCAATACAGGGATTCAATACGGTTCCATTCGCCCCGTCCGAAATCAAGCTGAAGACGACTCGGATCCCCGCTGGTTCCCATGGCCCGACAAGGAGGTAATGTGTCCCTCCCTCGAGCGCTCTCCGTGTTGCTCACATTTTATAGACATGCCTGCTAGACATCATGCGACGCCTCCCGCGATCCAAGTTTTCTGACTCCCAGATGGAGTCGATCCTGTGGATGGCTCGTTCCTTTGGTGTTGACGACCTCCCGTCTGTCAAGGTCCTCAAATCCGCACACGATAGCATCAAATCTCGATTTGGTGTGCCTTCTATTCGGCAGCAAGGGCGTCTCGGCCATATCTATTACCTCAATGACCTCGGCTCCATCATCGCTCAGGTGTGTTCTAGGTGTTTCATATGCTTACTTGTCACACGCTCACACATATCACAAATCTATTAGGAAATGGCTAACCCTCGTATTCGCCCTCACCTCCACTTCTACCCCGAAGACGCGGGTAAACGTCTTGAGCAGGCTTGGCAGGCCTCGCGATGGCGCAGGGAGCTCGATCCGACCCTCGCCACTCCCATGATACGTCAGCGAGGGCAAGACTTCTATATCCTTGAGCCTGCCAAGCTCTCGGATGGCCGGGTGGTTGTTCCTGAACGCTGGTTCACCAGGCGTGGGCCTGACGGCACGCAGCGCTTCTTTGCCTGTGTCTGGCCCACAGCCCGTGTGACCGATCAGCGTGGTGCCACGGGCTATGTGGTTTATAAAAGCCACGCCTTCGAAATTGACGCACGCTCTCTGCTCCTTCCCTTCCCCACCCTTCTACGTACGTTCGACAGCGACGGTCTTCCTGACCCTCGTAATCTATTTGGTACGTGTTGCTTATGTTTCTGCTACCTCTTACCTGATGCTGACATGCACTCGCCTCAACATTCGCAGGTATTCATGATGCCGATGGCCACGTTTCCCCATGGGTTCTCACTGACCCCTCTTGCGGCAATCCCTGGCGAGAACGAGCAAAAGGCCATCGTGTTAAGTCCTTCATGATGTGGCTATACTGCGATGACACCTCCGGGAACGTGTCGAAGAAATGGAACAAGCACAATTCCTTCCTTTTCACTGCCGCCGGCCTCCCTCGCACCATGGTGCACCAAGAGTCCAACATCCATTTTCTGACGACGTCAAACTTAGCACCTCCCTTGGAGATGCTCGACGGGATTGCAGACCAGCTTGAGTGAGTTCATCACAACTTATGCACCCGGTCTATCACCCATCTAACAACGACACAGGCAAGCACAAGCAACGGGCATATGGGCATGGGACTGTGAGGACCAGGAGATGGTCCTCCTGATCCCTGTTGTGCTCGCTGTGCTGGGAGACAATCCTATGCAGAGCGAGCTAGCCTGTCACGTCGGCATGAAGGGCAAATTCTTCTGCCGCAACTGCTGGGTCAAAGGCCATGATGCTCAAGACAACCCCGAGCCATCGACATCCGCGGGATCCTCGTCACTGCAACCACATGCCGACACCGAATCTGACGGTGCCTCCATCCACTCAGCGTCCGACACGTCCGCCTCCGAGCACTCGACCGCCTCAAATGCCCGCACCAGAAACCCTAAGCGGAAGAAACGTGCAATGGAAACCCTGGCACAGCTCATCACGCGCACTCGTCGCTTCATTGGTGTACGTGTCTCTATGTTTCAAACGCGTATCTTGCTGATTTTGTATGGGAATAATTAGTCTAGCACTCCTCGCCATCGAGATGAGAGCATCCGAGCACTGCGCTCGATGTTCTCTGACGTTGTCAGCACCAGCCATAAAACAAACTACCGGAACCGCAAGACAGCGACAGGACTCAAGGACACCTTTATGGAGCACTTCGTTAATCACCTTTTCGCCCGCCCCACGTCACGCACCACCTCCGACGCTGTAGACAATACGATGCCAGTGGAGACGTACATGAGTCCCATATGGCGCATTCGTGGTAAGTCTTGGTACACCTTCACTTTATGCACCGCTAATAGTCGGCACAGGCCTCGACCCGCATCAGGACACTCCTGTGGAGATCCTGCACGTCATCCTGCTCGGATTTGTAAAGTATCTATGGCGCGATGCAACTACCCGGATGAACAGTGAGCAAAAGCAGCTGCTCATCGTCCGTCTCAACTCCACAAACGTGAGCGGGCTTGGTATACCTCGACTTGCAGGTCAAACACTGGTGCAGTTCGCTGGCTCCCTCACCGGCCGTGATTTTCGTGCGATCTCGCAGGTAGCACCTTTCGTTCTTCAGGGTCTTGTCCCTCCTCAATGCTATGACACTTTTGTTGCGCTGTCGGCGCTGGTACCTCTCGTTTGGCAGCCTCAAATTGAGGACATCGACGTTTATTTGGTATGTCCATTCCTCTTCTCCTGTTGGACATGCTGACACAGTATTTCATGCAGGACCGTCTCAAGGGGGCTGTCGACCACTTTCTGCTGTGCACGGCCCGATGGACACCGCGCTGGTTCAACAAACCGAAGTTCCACATCCTGCTCCACCTTGCCGAGCATGTCCGGCGCTTTGGCCCAGCCATCCTCTTCGCAACTGAAGGCTTTGAGTCCTTCAACGCACTCATCCGCGAGGCCAGCGTGCACTCCAATCACCTGGCTCCGTCACGCGATATTGCCCGGTCCTTTGCGTCCATCAACCTCATCCGTCACATCATCTCGGGGGGCTTTTTCCTGCCTCGCCATGCACCGGATTCTGACAACGCTGAGGAATCGGCTCCATGTCAGCACCCGTTTAGTACCACGGCGCGTGACTGGCTTTGTGCTGGCTCTTCCGTCGGCCCACTTGTCACCATTGAGGCATCCAGAAATGCCGCTGCCATCGCGTTTCACCTTGGTGCCATTGATGAACAGCCGCCACCCGGTAGGCTCGCTTGTTTCATGGTCAGGTCTCATGTTCATCTTTTTCGTGCAGGCACCGCAATCTCGGACGGCGCTCAACCACATGCTCTGCAGCAGACATGCGCTTGGGCCCGAGCTCCACATGCGCTGTCTGAGCTGGCGTCGCGTTCAGTCAAGACTTGCAAGCAGGTCATCTCGCAAAATGGAGATGTCTGCCGTCTCTCGGACTTTGTTCTTGCGGCTAAGGCCAATGCACCTGGGCGTACAATTATCGGCCGACTTTCTGAAATCCTGCAAGTGACTGGTTCTGTGAGTGCGCAAAACTGCTGCGCTGACTTTGTCTTGCTCGAGGTCTTTGTGGTTTCGGGGGTGGCTCTTCCTTACCATTTGCCATCGCTCGCTCGGCAAGGCTGGCTGGTAATCTCGGCCGAGGTAAGTCTTTGGCAGTATAGTTTGCCCTCATCTTTCATACTGACATCGCTTCAGGATGTCGTGTGCTCGGTGAACGTTCAACACAACTGCGCAGCTCAGTCGTGCTCAGATTCGGGTGTGGAGCATGTGCGAGAGGAGCGAGAGGTGTCAGATCGCACTCGTCGGGTGATCGTTCACCGTGTCCCTGATGCTCTTGTCCTCAACACCGCCCAAATGCGAGATGCGATTCATGTGCAGAGGTACCGATTATCGCCGGAGCCCATAGATCGTGAACATGCCATCAAGACGGGTGCTGAAGCTGAGATTGCAAGCCAGCGGGTGAAGAACAAGGCTCAGACCAGGGCCCAGCCCCCGCAAGTGCGCAAGGATGTATCTCGAGCACCAAACCTGCGTATCTCGACCTTGGTGCACTCCTTGCCTCAGCTACCATTGGGTGGTTGAAACGGTACGGGACTTGTGCCACTTTCCTTCCTTCAAGCGCTGCAGCTGATGTTTGCCCAGGTCGCATACTGGCAGGCTGGTCGGAACATCGGTACGGGATATTCAAATTTCGGTTATTGGATTTTGACACTGACATAATGCCCGCATTGTGCAATAAATCTTATCTGGGGTTTTCCCATCATTTGACCGCATTTTTTGGTCTTCAGGCCATGGCGTCAAGGAGGATAAAAGGCCAGCAGGTATGTCCTTTTCCCTCAGCTCACTCGAGTCGTCCGTCTCATAGCCGCTTTCTCTCATGCAGAACCATTTCTCCAACCTCACTCATCCCACCGGGCATTCCGGGTTCACCCTCCCTCCCATTCGCACTGTTCAGGACGTGCCGCTGCCGGCTCCTCGCCCTCCGACCCCTTTTACGGTCCCAGAGCCATACATGCATGCTGGAGGGATCAATCGTGACTCCGATTGGGAGCTCCCTGGTGCCCCGGCCATCGGTTCCTTCCAGGATCCGTTTGCTGGAGATGCTGGTGGTGCAGCTACACTTGGGTCGCCTATCGACATTCCTGAGGGCCCGCCTTTGAGGCGTATGCCCTCCACGGCATCACACATGTCTGTGTCGTCTCTGCCTGACCTTGAAGGCAAGTGTGTTAGTGGCTGGGTTGTGCTATGATCGTGCTGATCATGTTTTTGCAGAGGTTCCGGCGACGTTCATGGATAATCGGAACCATCCGGGAAGCCGTGTGGAGACCCAGGAGTCAGACATCAATGTGTGGGCGCAGTCGGTTGCCCAGACACGTCAGCTCACACCTGACCAAGTCGCTGATGTGACATCAATTCTAAGGGTGAGGGTTCACGATTTTAGCAGCTTATTTAACTAACTTTGAGTAGATTGGCAAGGATCTTGGATACGAGGGCCTGCGTCTCTATATCTGGCTGATAACACTCGTTTACCAAGTCCTGAACAACGTCAATAATGTCACTCGGACCGTCGACTTCGAATCTCTCCACGCCACCTTGTTGCATCTAAACGAACGCATGGACTCGGCTTATCAGCTCTCGAAGGACCAAAAGGTGAGTTCATTATTGGCAACGCAAGATGGACCCTCTAACATCAAGCAGCGAGCTCTGAGAAAGCTCGCCCAAGATCTCATTACGTCTCCAGGTCGCATGGAATACATGGACCTGGCAGCGGCAGTTGTGGTGCGTGGCTATCATGTTTGCTCTCCTGGTTTCTTGCTGATTTTCCCCTTAGAGCCGCGTGAGGACTGACGCGAACGCATACGGTTTCACAGGCGTTATCAACACGTCGGCTGGGGACTCTGCCATGGTTGCAGAGGCTGCTGTTGCAGCGTCGGCTGCGAGAAACCGCCTGCGCGCGATGGTAAGGGTCCCTTTTTCCCGCGGTTTCTTATTGACTTACAGTCTTCCAGATAGTCGACTCAATGGAGAGCAACAAGAAGCTCTCCCTCGAGGACCTGACGTTTCTGATCACGAAGAAGCTCAAGAAAGGAGGTGCCGCCAATGTCCGGGTCGAGCACCTCCTCCACTTTGCAGTCTTGGTACGTGATTTCGTCTTTTTGCTGTGCTTTGGTACACGGTGGCTTATTGGCCAATGCAGCGTTATCATGCCAAGCGCCGCCGCGAGACGGCGGGTGGTGTTGCGCCCCCTGGCCGTGTCAAAAGGGGAGCTGACTTCTGGACCACCATGGACCACGGGCTCGGCGAGAACAAGAACGCGTATGGAGACGATATCAAAGACAACCGCTGGAAAGTGTGAGTAGACCCCTCCCGTACTATTTGCCGTGTCTAATGTTGGTTCAGATTCTATCGCACTGTCATCGCTGAGGACCAGCAGCTCTACGGTCGCAACAGGGGTAACACTCATCTCCCCGCAATCCCGGTGACTTACTTGTCCCCTGCACCTGTGCGTGCTCCTCGCGATGTTTTGTCCGCGCCATCTGGATTCATCAACTCGGCAGCCCCCCAGCCTGTTCAGGCTGTTCGTAGCCTGTTGGATGGCTAAAATCAGGCTCTTCGTTGCCTGGCTGATGGATAGAAGGGTATCATAGCATGTTATTACAACTATCGCGTACCAATATATGTTTTTATGCAGTTTCTGGCGGTGCGATTTGATCTGACGGAGAATCAAGCAATAAGGTTCGACATATCTTAACGGGGATACTATCTGACGTGTCATTGGAAATACTCAAGCTGAACTCCGATATACTCAAACCTTGGGCCTGTGGAGCCTGTGTTGAGTTCGCCCTTGTGAAATCAAACCCAATCTATAGTTGGCCTGACATGTAGTTTTTCCGAACCTAAGAAATATTGGGCCCAAGGGCCGGCCGTGTACATACCATTGCAAGCTACAACCACAACCGCATTGTGTACAGCTGACACGATTAATATTGGTTAGCACACGCGTACGGTATTGATCAATTTGATACTTGTACATGCATATATCTGATCAGCAAGTAAGGTAAAGTGCAATATATATAATTATAAACGTATATATATATGCGTAGTATGAGCGCTATGCGACTCACTGCGACTGCAGTAAGCGGAGCTAAGTGCTTGTCATCGATTGAACACCAGGTATGACATGCCATGTGGACACTATGCATGGTCTACGCGTGCGTTGCCAACATATTATGCCGCTCAGCGTATCCCAGCGTACTTTCAATCCCACTTCAAACAAAAAGTCATAATTCAGTGAGACCCAACAAGTGCAGCGCGAATGTCTACTCACCACTAGCTGCTGTTCCTGTCTTTGGGGAGGTGCGGGTTTTGCGGTCTTGGCTGCCTCCAACTGTGCGGTGAGATGTCCACGCTTTGGATTTGAGGCATGGGTTCCCCTGGATTTCGCCTACAACAGGGTGAGGAGGAACAGAGGCGCCAGAAACGAAGAGCCTCACGTCTTTCACTCTCCTCTCCGCTGCCTCCGCTGCCGCCTTACGAGGGTCGACAGGGCCAGCATTGATTCCCTCGGGCTGTCTCCTTAAGTCTTGTCTGACATTGCTTCCTCCTAAAACCTGGTGCGAGCCTTCATGTGCGCTCGCCTTCGAGCAAAGAGAGCCCATGACTCGCGGTCCAAATTCAGAAAGAGCGATAGTTGATGCAGAATATGGCTGATGACAGTCACACGACACTATGTACAGCGCCGGTACTACTAGTACACCATGATACCAGTGCAAGAATGATATATATATGCAATGCTGCATAAGGCCCGCAAATCTCAGAATATGTAATTCTAGCTGGGTAACGAGTCGGGAACCTCCCTGTACTCCCCACGATTATCGCTACTGCCCCTACGTTCTCGAAGTTGAAAGTCTGCCGAGTGCCTGTTAGGGATCCACACCTAAGACCGGTTAGTTACATAGACTGCGCACAGGACATGTAGGCCCACCTCCCACCACCTAGGGTTCAGATTGACATGCCAGGGTAGGCGAGCTTCCAGCCCAGCTTTGGCCATACGATTCCTGATGCTAATCCCAAGCAGGAGGCCAAACACTGTCAAGAGAAACATGATTACAACAAGCTGATCTCGTGGGGAGTCCCTCTCTTATGTTGATAATGAGCTTCGCGGTGCTGAATGTAAAGCGAGGAAACGCACGGAAGCATCGAGCCTCGACATCTCCTTCCATCCCAGTCGCCGTGTCGGGATCCGTGTCCCCGAGGGACGCGCCAGCACATATGGCCAGATTCTGATTCAAACACCATTGTTTACTACACGAGAGGCAAGGTTTCGAAGGGTCGTCGGGACTTTGTATGGGCAGGATCGTGTAGTTTGTTTCAAAGCATACACCTACCAAACATGAGAAAGCAGCAGCAAAGGGGTATGATGTGCCTACATTTACAAAAGCTCGCTGCCTCCCATTTGTGTAAGATTGCAAATGTGTAGTTCTGAAACAAAACCAATCTGTGAGGTCCAATGCATCTGAAGTATCGAAGCTGGACGTACGACGCAAAACAAAAGAACAAGAACAGTGGTCAACCGTGAACACAGACGGCAAGATGAGAGTGCCATGTGGCTGTGAAGCGAGACGCGTCCTTCCCACCAAGTGATCGCGAAACGAAGTCTTGTCCTCTTGCTCCCTGTCCAGTGTCAAATCCTTGTCCGTCGGGTCTCGTCAGGTCTCTTCTCCTCCGGCTCTGCATTACGCAAACGACGGCTCGCAGGGCCTTGTCATTAACATCCGACCAATATGTCCGCTGAATTTGAGGACGTCCTCACCAATCAACCAGTCGTTATCGACAATGTACGGCTTTGTCATTTCTGTAACCGAATCTGTGTTACTTAACCTCACATAGGGCTCAGGAGCAATCAAGGCAGGCTTCGCAGGCCAGGACCATCCGAAGTGCTTCTTTCCATCATAGTGAGGATGTTTGTTTGTCGGTCTCAAGATTGATGTCAATACTCTTGAAAGCGTTGGCCGACCAAAGCACGTGCGCGTAATGGCTGGCGCCCTCGAGGGAGATGTGTTCATAGGTCGCCGCGCACAAGAGTACCGAGGACTCCTCAAGATAAAGTATCCAATGGAGCATGGAATTGTGACCGACTGGGATGATATGGAACGAATATGGAGTTGGATTTATGCAGAGGAATTAGGTACATTAAGTGAGGAGGTGGGTTGAACTTCTGTCTCTTTCTGTTCTCTGACGGACTTCACTCAGCACCCTGTGCTACTCACTGAAGCACCGCTGAATCCACGCAGCAATCGCGACATAGCAGCGCAAATATTCTTTGACACTTTCAACGTCCCGGCTCTCTTCCTTTCAGTGCAAGCTGTGTTATCATTGTCAGTTCATACCATCCATCGACTTCGACAGGCTCACCACTCTAGTGTAGATATTCCTCTGGTCGTACGACCGGTATCGTACTGGATTCAGGCGACGGCGTGACACATGCCGTACCGGTTTTCGAGGGTTTCTCTATGCCTCACGCCATCCGGCGGATAGACGTCGCTGGCAGGTAAGCCTTCTGTATACATTGTTCAAGTCGATCCAACCAAAGAGGATACTCAGGGATGTCACGGATTATCTTCAACTGCTCCTACGGAAGTCCGGACATCATTTGCATACAACTGCCGAGAGGGAAGTCGTCCGGTTCATCAAGGAGAAAACATGTTACATCGCTCTCAATCCAGCAAAGGAAGAGAAGGACTCCTTGGGAAGAGTTGAAGAGTTCCGCTTGCCTGATGGCAATATCATACAAGTAAGTTGACTGGTAGAACTCATACCTTTTCCTTGTTAACATTCTTCCAGTTAGGGCCTGAACGGTTCCGAGCGCCGGAAATCTTATTCAACCCGGAACTCATAGGGCAAGAATATGCTGGTGTTCACCAGGTGGTGGTTGACTCCATTAACCGGGTAGACTTGGACTTGCGAAAAAGCCTGTTCTCGAACATCGTTCTCAGCGGAGGCAGCACCTTGTGCAAAGGCAAGCACAGCTTTGCAGCGAAGACATTCTCACTGAAGTGATTTCAGGCTTTGGTGATCGGCTCCTCAACGAAATCAAGAAGTTAGCCCTGAAAGATGTCAAGATCAAGATTTATGCGCCCCCAGAACGTAAATATTCGACATGGATCGGTGGTTCCATTCTGGCCGGTTTAGGTACATTCAAGAAGGTGGGTCACCTCTCTGGTCTAATTTCATAGCCTTGACAATTGGTTGTTAGATGTGGGTATCTGCTGAAGAGTATCAAGAAGACCCTGATATTATCCACAAGAAACTAGGTTTTTAGAGTTGTGTTGACTCCATCCCTTTTTTTGTCTACTCGAGTGTCATAGACACTGTATTTCACTTTCCAAAGCAGACATTAGCCTCACATTGCGATGATACCCGACATACTTCAGCGCCCTGTAATACATATAGACCGGAATAATCATGCACTTTGTCGAAGGGCATATGCATAGCATTCTTAAAAACACGGAAAGTGACATATGACCACGAGTGAAGCTCCAGAGGACGCTTCGAGCAAAAACATGCATCGATGGTAGTAGTATACGCTGAAGCCAGCCATTACTTGCCCTTCTTTGGTGGCTCAGCGGCCTTGGACTTCTTCGTCCCACGGAACTAAGCCTTCGTCAGCACAAGCCCCAGCGCATCAAGTGAAGGTATATACCTTCTTTGAACGGTTCTTTCTCTCCTTCCGAAGTTTGCGGGAAGCCTTTTCGATCTTGGTCTCAAGGCCGGACTGCATGCGATTTCAGTCAACAAACGCAGAGCGGCATGAGATTATCCTGGAGCTCACCCGGACCAACCGGTATTTGGGTTCGAACTTCCGTTGGGAAGCCTCGTCATCATAGATCAGAGCGAAACCAGTGCTCCGTCCACCACCAAAGTGGGTCCGGAAACCGAAGGTGACTACGCGGTCTTTGTCGGCTTTGTACATGGTGGCGAGCTTCTCAGCAAGCTCGGCTTTTGAGACATTTGGGCGGGAAGGATGGAGGACATCGAGAACAAACTGGCGACGTGCAAGCAGGCGGTTGGTAATGAATTTGCGAGTGCGCAGTGTTACGGGTGCTGAGTTGTCGGCCTGGAAGAGTCGGGAGATTAGAGATCACGCTACATCCGAACAGCCCAGGTGTCCATCCAGCCTCTCAACAGCAAAATTCCGCCTTTGAATACGGGTCCGAGGCTGTTGGTGGGGTCGCAACACGAATGATAGACTCACCATTGTTCCAGGCGATGTTTTGTCCCTACTACGCTGCCCTGAATCTTGCGGGGGTGTACACAGAGGAATTGGAGGTTGTGAGGATGAAAGTCCGTTCGGCAATGACCGATCTCGGTATCTATTGCATTGAGGGGTCCTTTACTAGTGATCGGTGACACAAGTACTTGGCCTAAGCAATTAATCTCAACGTGACTGAACTGCGCTCACTAGCGCTAGTAAGGCTGCCACAGCGCTAGCCCAGTTACACTTCATGTCTTCAAGCTTTGCTTCCTCATTCGCTCCATACGTATGTCGTTATTGCTCGTTTCATTGGTACAGATTCACAATTCCACAGACGCCCCCTCCTGATGACTCTCGCCTCACAAACCCCAGCGGATCCACCGTGAAGTCCAAATCACGCCCCTGGTTCCCATCCCATGGATCATCATTGGGCCCAGAGTCTTCGTATCAGTCCGGAGGAATACCCACATTTAACAATGTTACAGCACCTGAAGCTGCCCAAGACCCTGTTGAAGATCAGCGTAACCAGTGGCAAACACGGCTTGGCTTTCGCGTTGACATACTTGCTGCATTTTCGTACATCCTTGGGCCAATATCTGGTAAGAGCGAAGTTCTGCTGGGTAAAGGCATTGCTTACGATATCACATGAAGCTTTGGCCGTGCTTATTCTTGAGACGCATAACGACTATGTCCGCTTTCATGGTGCGCTCTTGGCTCTCACACATAGCTTAACACATCTCATCGCTCAACTCTATAACGTGTACATAGCTTATCAATCAGCTTTGCTGATGACACCACTTGTTTCTATCCGAATATTAGCGTCCCTGCTCGGTTTTTGGGCATGGCTCTGCACCATGCTCACACTGCTGGTACTCTGTGCAGGGTTATTTATGGCGTAAGTGGGTCACTCTTCTGTTTGACTTGTCTAAATTCCGTCATTAGGTTTCAGGCCTTCGTTAACGGTGGTGCTGACGGACTCTCCCGATATCATGTACCTACGATTGGCCCCTTGGCAGAACAATGGGTCTCCGAAGAATAATTCGCATTGTGAGCCTGGGCTGTGCCTTTTACCTATTTGTATACCGCATCATTCGATAATAGCCCAGAATTCACTTGTTTCTGATGACTTCAGTTGTCTTAGCTTACACAGCTATTTGAATCAGACTTCTTGCACTGAGGAATGTAACGAAATGGCAAACACTATTATGTATCTACGGGACATGTTGGCGCCAGCACCAGGACAGACACAGTGGCCTTGATAAGTAGTGAACAAAGCGTCAGAAGATTAAATGCAGAGGCCCAAGAGATTGAGCCCTGATTGACAAGTAGGGGATGTTCCTAAGACACCATCAAGCAATCCTTTAAGCAGAGGCTGGATGGCATTGATCACGCTGTCGCTTAGGTTCTCAACACCGTCAAGAACCTTCTCAAGGACACACTTGACGTCGTAAACAACTAAACAGAATGAGCCACTACCTCTATGAGGAATAAACGTCGACTTACTCGGCCCCAGGATAGGTCCAAGTATTGGTAGATTGGACACCAAGGTTTGTGTGGACGAAAGAACGTCTTTGTTCAAGTTGACCACGTTCTTGAGGAGAGTCTCTACGTCGTTTGCAGGATCCTCGTTCGCAAGTCCTCTATCGGCGCCCAGTTGATCCAGTAAGCCTTGTAAGCCTAACAGGTTCTCATGAAAGCCAGTCAACTGCGTTGATGCTTGTTGTTGGAAAGTTTGGTCGCCAGGTTGAACGGACGTTGACTGAGCGGCCAGCTGCCCTACACAGGACATGACCAAAAATGAGACGACCAAACTGGTGAAGAGCGTACCATACTGCGTAGCGTGTGCAGCCGCTTGACCATAGTACTGCTGCATAAGGGCCATATTGGAGGATGATGTGCTGTGAGCTTGTGGCTGTCGTGGGTCAGTTTTTCGAATGTCGGTCTTCGATTGTGTAGACCGAGGATGTGTGGACCTTGTAACGTTCTGAGATGAGTGAGCGTGTCGCACCAACGTACGCGGGGGGTCCCCGACGTATTCTCGGGGAAGGGGGCTGAGCGTGTGGCTAAGACCAGTGATGTCTTGAATCGGAGAACCCAGTGCCGGCTGCACGGACAGAGACAGAGTGAGGATGGGGGCTATCGCAGCCACAGGAGCGAGCGCGAAGAGGATCCGTGAAACAGAAGGCATTCCAAGGCGGCAAAGAGTAAGGCAAACGAGTGGGGGGCTGAGTAATGTGCGACACGACTAGCGCGATCGGAACGAGATAGATGCTGGGTCGAGGAAGAGGAAAGGGAATGAGAGGAAAGCTGAAGAGAGGCAAGAGCCATTCGATTCCAACAAGCAGACTTAAATAGCGGCTTTCTATACAAGACAAACCTTATCTCCTCAGAATCGGATTGGCCCCACGCGCTCGTCATGTGATGAAAATCAACCTACAGGTGACTCCGAAAGCTGGTATGTAAATCTCCCGTTTTATCTGAAGGCATTCTCGGACTTTGCCACGTCGGGAACTTCCTTTCCCTCAGGATTGGAAGAAAAGATTACATTGTGTTCAGAGTAGTTGACAATACAAGGTATCCAGAGTACAGCACCGCGATAAGCGTTCATCCTGGCGATGACAGTGTATGAGTGGCTCTAAGGTTTCGTGAAGGAACAACGATCACGCACCCACTACGGACGTTGCTTTCGACAGCGCCCTGGAAGAGAAGTAGCGTACATCGGCGTCAGAATCGGTCTTTTGCTGCTCCAACGCAGGTATTATCTTAGATTGGACAATCTGTTGGCCCTCGGGAGAGCTACCAAAAGTGGTAGCTAACGTTTCCAAGGCTTTGGCTACGTTGAAGCGGATATTTGGGATCGGATCTGCTGCTAGCTGAAGTAATGGTCCAATGATGTCACTCTGGATCACGGCTAAATCCAGAGAAGGAGAGATAACCTGATGAAGGGAGGGGATGAATAGACGTAGAAATTACGGGGGATAGAACGTACCGTGATGGCTTGTACAGTGGTCATTCGGTATAGATAGTTTGGGTGCTGGCCCATCCCCATGACCTTTGGGACAATGGCAACCCTCGCCCACTCGACACCGAAAGCCTCTGTTAGCTTCTTGAGGTTGACAGTTGCCGCCTCGCGAATGCTGAAGACTGTGTCACCCAACCAAGACATGCAAAGGTTTCCCAGCTGCTCGTCAAATAGTGGTTTTCCCAGCTGCGTGGCCAGAAGAGGGATATATTCGATAATAGCCTGTCGTACACGCCAAGATTTATCTTCGGCCAGCTCAACGATAGCAGGGAGTAAGCTATCCGATAAAAGCTCGATACCAATCACTGATTATGACTTGAGTGACTAGATCGAAAACGGGAGGGACTACGTACCGGAGTTCACCGTCTCTAGCTTGCTGATGATATTCAAACGAACCTCGGAGAATTCGTCCTTCAAGAGGTGCAGGAACAAGGGTAACAAGTGTTCGATGGTTGATTCTTTTCCGAGAAGTGGAGCCAAGCCACTAATCTGGTTGGCCAGAGCAGCTCGGACGTGCTGCGATGCATCATGGGAGAGATCCCGCACACAAGGAACGATGCGAGCTAATATCACTTCTTTGTCAAGCATCTTTGAAAAGCCTGATAGATTGTGAATGTGATATCAAAAGCGCGGAGTCTGCTGTGGGCATACCGGGTATTTGTCCTGCAGCTGCGGTTCTGACCTCGGCCTCGTTGTCTTTCAGAAGTTGCACATACTGTCCAATGAGCTCCTCTCTAACAAGCTCAATCTTTACTGCTTCGGCCAGCTGCGACAAGATTTCAGCCAGCTGATAGGCACATATTATATATTCGCACCTCGTTGAAGTGCATAGCAGCCATGTAGCGAACTCTCCAGCTCTTATCGGCTATACTATGCCTGATCTGCTTGAGGAGCTGCTCCTTCACCTCCGCAGGGGTCAAGCGCTCGGCAATCACAATAAGGTCTTCCACTGTCAGCAAGCGAACGGAGTCTTGATCGTCCGATTGAAGTCTGCGATAAATTGGCAAACCATCCGATAATACGTGTTGCTTGGACAGTTGCTTGACGAGGGACTGCACCAAATGAGCACCACTTTACTGTGGTTGGAATAATTGACATACCCCCAACCATTTTGCTGCAGCACGCCGCACCATAGGGGTGTCATCAGACCCCAGTGCCGCGTACCCGTTGCGTAACTCTTCTTGCAGAGCTGGAGAGACTTTGGCATACACAGATGGGTATAGTGCAGCGGAGGAAGTGCGGGACGTAAACCATTCTCCTTGCGAGAGGCGCTTCAACAAGGGAATGTAGAACTGTTCGACCTGGGCAGAAGATAGCACTTCGGAGATTTTGGCAATGGATTCTGCCGCCTAAGAGGTGACAAAATATTTGATACAAGCATATCATAGGCAGAGTCGAGAATCGCACCTTTTCTCTGACGAGCGTCTCTTCAACAGCGGACAGATTCTCCAATGGACCGAGAAGCACATGAGCGTGCTGAGGTCCACCGATGTACTCATCGAAGTTTCTGCCCAGCTCTTCCGCAAGTGCTAGAAGAACCTCGTCCTCATCGTCGACAGAGTCTTGCAAGAAAGCTACGAGCTCTTCCCTCGCCCGATCAGGGCCAAGGGCAAGCGCGATAGTGGGGATGCTGTGGATGGCGTTCAAACGTAGTTGGACGTCCTCTGAGCGAAGTTCGTCCATGAGGACAGCAATCGGCGCGATCTGAGCAATCCATGACACGTCGTCAACAAGCCATTCATGAGGGTGAGCAAAACTCACATCTTCCATGTTGTATCCAGTTTCCATCAAACTGGACTCAGAGCACAGTTGAATAATTGAACAACCCAGATGCTAAATCTGAAGTGCAAGGGAGGATGAAAGAAGGTATGGGAGGTCAGATAAGTGCGATGGGTGAATAAAGTGGCTCTCTAGAGTCTGTGAGCGATGTGATGGCGAAGGCAAAGGGGAATGAAGAAAGATGATCTGGGTGTTCGCAAGGGGGGACGAGTCGCGTGTCATGCAACCTACTACCCTTTTCGCGCCACAAGCAAGTCAAACCCTAGGCTTGAGATCCCATAGGCCTTCCCATACTTTGTAACCACCATGTCTCGCTCCAGCACATCTCCTTGATCACGCTGCGTCAGAGGAATTTATTTATCGAGTCTTCCTACAGAAGGCTACATATTCGTCATATGTATGCTCACTGTGCTTTTGCCGCACATGCACATGACAGCGCTCGCCCCGGTCTTATCGATAGTCACTCGTTGTAGACTACTACCGGTCTCAAACCACCTGCATCCGCAAGATTGACGTGTGCCAGATAGTAAGTAAATGCGCCTTTGTTGTATGTACATCAATCTCAGGCTGCCCAACGACGACGGACTCCGGAAGATACTCCCATCAAGAGTAGGCAGGTGTGAAGTTGTAAGTACGTTGGTTGTACGCACGCTCGCCCAAGGTAAATTTGATTAGTCCCCTTGGTAGCTATAATCCTCCTCATATAAGTGGAAGACCCGGGATATGAGCTCGTGTAAGGTACGTAAGGTAAGGTAGAGAGATGCAAGCGAAAGGGGGAGTACACCGGGCACCCGCTCCGGACTCCAGCGCACACACCTCGGAGGAATAACAAAGAGGGAGGGTACATATGTAAAGTACAACAAAGAGGTGTCGAAGTTGTTACGCAGTAATATTCGCGGCTGCTTCAACCTTGGCTTCAACGCCAGACACAGCAGAAAACCCGGGAATTGGGAAAGGCGGCGCGGTGCGGCGATGAGTCTAGCGGCTGTGGCGGTGCTGGCCTAAAACAGCCAGAGCCCCTATACCCTCGCACCCACTCGCCTTGCAATTATTATTTTCGCTTTAAGTTTCTCAGCTTCAAGGTTAAGTCTGACATTCTGCCGCTCTCGTAGCCTTGAGACTATGTCACCAGATCGTGCTTAGTGCCAACGGATTTTCAATGAACAGATCATTGCATCTGCGAACGCTCAGCTTCCCCACACGATCATATGCCTCAGGAGACCTAAAAACCCAAATCGTGAATATGAACCCACGCAACGAAACTATAATATACAAGGGAACCCTAAGTGACCAAAACCGAGAAAACACAAGACCACGAGCTTGACTCGACACCCAGGATGCTGGAGGGGGGAAAGAGACTTCGGAGTGAAAGTGAAAAGGGTAGGGATGCACGGGCGCCGTGCGCGTAGCTGCGGCTCTTGCCAACAACGGAAGGCGCAGTATGTTGCGTTGGGATCGCAAGGGAGGGACATGCTGGAGAGCGTGGTGTAGTTGGAGCTTATCGTTCGGTGTTTAGATGGAATGGGGAAGTCGACAATAATATGAGAGTGTGCCGCCATGAGAGCCTCAGATAAACCCGGAAAACGCAAATGAATAAAACGACGCGGAATGACGCTTAGCACGTCGTCCGGGGCGCAAAATTGAACTTCTTATTCCCGTTGGAATCGTAGATGCCGTACCCGGGCTCCTGGCCATCTGAATAAATGTGCGCGAACCAGCCAATTCCGCCCTGGGCTTGGTTCTTCAGGTCGTCACAGTGGTCCTCAAGAAGCTGGAAGTAGTCCTGTAGAAATGTTCAAATGAGGATAGCTGTTCACCTGGAATTGCCTTGGAGCCCATGCGACTCACCGCTTCGTTGGTAACATCAGCAACGGCAGCGCTGCTGTTGGGCTGGACACCGGAGCTAGTGACCGAGGGCCACCCATTTTCGTCAAAATACATCTTCTTTCCGCCACCTCTCTGAACGAAGAACTGGAGGTTCTCCTGGACAATCGGCCACGCGTCATTCGAAGTGCTGGCCTCTGCTGAAAAGAACGGGAGTATGTGGATGTTGAGGTAGTCCTGGGCGTCGAGCACATTCTGCGCACCGCCGTTCTCCTGATAGCCATACGCGAGCTCCGAGACGGTCACTGGGATGCCGAGGGACTTGACCTGCCCTTTGAGACCCAATATCTCGGACGTTAGCTGGTCGGGCGGGAGAACACCATCGAAAGGGGTTCCGAGCTGAACTGGATACCGCGCATGACGAATTTAGCTTTAGCATTCGAGTAAAGCGTCGAAACGAGCGAGTCGCGGCGCTGCTGCCACTCAGTACTCATTGCCGACGTCTAAGCCAAACCAGATGAGAGCGTGAACACTGAGACCGTTATCCCAGGCTGCGTTTACGACGTCATCGCTGTTAAAGCAATCAGATCTACTGGCCAGACGAGTACAACAAGTAACACTGACTAGAAGCCCTGGTTGTCGCAAGCGCCGTACAGACGTATGTAGCGGCCGTTGAAAGTGTTGCGAATGTCAGCGAAGTCCTTCTGAAGCTGATCGGGGCTCTGACAGGCGGTGACTTCGTATGAGAAGCCCATAAAGGCATACTCAGTGCTTTCGTCGCACCACCAGTTATCGGCGGAAGCGGTCACCGCGGAAGGCATCTTGAAACCGATAGCGGGGAAGAAGCTGCCATGTGCGGAGTCGGCGCTGGATGAGGAGCCGGCTGATGTGGAGGCGGATGACGTTGGGGCGGGAGCAGTGGAGCCCGAGCTTGAGCTGGAAGGCGGCTGGGGCTTGCAGCTACGACGTGATATGGGGCGGGCGTCTGCATTCAGGAAGAGAGAGAGGAGGAGAATGGCAGCAAAGACTTGGCATATAGAGGGAGACCATATGGCGAATGAGAGCGAGTGGCGGGTCGATATTGAGAGTAAAGAGCGTTGGGAGCCTCAGAAGACAGAGAACGGATAACGGACGCACAGGGCGTGAATATTTGAGGAAGAGGGGAGGAGAAGGAAGGGAATGATCGTAAACAACCAAGTATGAGGAAAAACCTAAGAACGAAGATGCGACATCTTGTATTCCTACCCAGCCAAGAGGAGAACGCCAGCCACTGTCAAAGGCTGCATATGGAAGCGAGAGTTGATGACGTTGATCATTAATACAAGGCAGCCTCGCTGCGCTACGGCACCTAGGGCTTTCGTCCTACCATGTTGCTCAGTGATAATCGCCATTCCATTGTACTGGAAAGGAAAACTCGAACGTGAGTAGACACATTAGGCCCCTCTGTCGTGCAGTCCAGAGCCCTATATCGCATACAAATACCGAGCATTAACATCAGAGCGAGAGATATACCACAGCCACAAACACTGGGGGCAATTGCCCATGTTTTCGTAGAAAACATTCAAAATGTTTTGAAGGTCACCTTCCTAATTGGGCAGGTCACTTTCCATATTTGGCATTTTTAGCAAAACATTTTAAATGTTTTTGACATGTTTCCCCTGGAAACATCGTCTAATGCCCCCAGTGAAAGCCAAGCCGGGCATAATTCTCCGCTACGCACTGGGGGCATTAGACGATATTTCCAGGGAAAACATGTCAAAAACATTTAAAATGTTTTGCTAAAAATGCCAAATTTGGATAGTGACCTACCCAATTAGGAAGGTGACCCTCAAAACATTTTGAATGTTTTCTACGAAAACATGGGTAATTGCCCCCAGTGACGCTTGTACCCTGACAACCACAATATACAGGGTTGAACAATACTCAGGCACAAGCTTCCATTTTTTCTTGTTTGCCTGTCAAGCTGCTTCCTGAATCGCAATTTTGCTGGACCGTGGACAGGACTCCGTGGATATGCAGACCTTTCCACTCTTTTTGTGCCGGCCAAGAAGTGGCCAAAAGGCGTTGGCGGCTGTTTGCGACTTATTGGCATCGAGAGCGTGCGAATCATTTGCGATCTGCGTCAGGGTATAACACGAAGCAACACTACAGGCAAATGCGATAATTCTGGACCCGAAAATAAGGAGGAAAATGCACTGGAAAGTAAATATTTTCCTCCATATTTCCCTTTGACCAATAGAGGCCGAAAAAGTTTCATGTTCCAGTGAATTTTCAGGCGACAAAATCAAGCTTACCTTCCATTTATAAACATTAAGCGCTGGCGGAGATTCAACTCCTGCTTCAACCTGCCTTTTTGGGCCTCTTTGCGCACCAGAAAATGATAACTTTCCGCGTGCTTATTCCTAGCCCGAAAATCTGTAGGAAGATGTTTACTTTCCAGGTCATTTTCCTGCTTATTCTCGGGCACAGAATTAGCACATTTGCCTGTAGTGCAAGAGCTTCCGGGGCTGGGAGGGGCTGGGGCTCCCAAGTACTGCAATTTGGAACGGACAAAATATTTCCATCGCTGCAGCTGGGCGCTCTGGGTGTTTTCCGGCATCTTTTATTCTTGCCTCTAGGGTTCGTTTTGGGTCCGTCCTTTTGCTGATCTCGGATTATTCAAGCACCAGAGGCACAAGCAAAAGCACTCAACAAAAGCACTCAAACGGCTTCGATGACGGTCACCGCAATCGATCGTAAAAGCAATGTTTATGCACCTTGGAACGCACCTTCGAAGCACGAGTGGAGAAGAGCAGCCCGGATAGAAGCTAAAGACAGGTAAATGCTACGTTGTTGGAACAATGGGGGTGGACCTCTTCAATCTAGCCTCTTCTTAACTGCCATACGATGACTTAATCCAACGGAACACGTTCGCGCTGTAGTTGCAAAGAGCTGCTGGCGTCGGGGCTTCTCCGCGGCCGATGGTCGTTGCTTCTCGTCCTCACCGAAGTCTAGCGGAGTCTTTCGTTCCAACACAAGCTTCATCGCGACCGGACCACGGATGCTGCAGCGCTTCAAATAATTTTCATTGACATGCAACAGCACCCCAGCGCTATCGTTCATCATCCATGGCTCCAATACAGAATCCCCTGAAAATAGACCACTGAGGCGGCGGCGGCCTCACCCGCTTACTTTGCGACTTGCCCAGCCTACGGTGTAGCATTCATTCGAAGAAGACAGATGTCTCCTTGCCAGGCGCAATCGCATCCGCAAGTCACCCATCGTTCCGACTGTCTGTTTCGATTGAGTGCAGGGATGAGATGACGGACACAGCGATCATGATGCGCTCGGGCCCGCAGATCGTGAGCGAGCCCTTTAGGTTCGCTGAGAGGTTGTGGATTGCAGGTGAGCAAGCGGGTGATTGAGCTTCGGTAGGAGGATGACTTCGTAGAAGGCGTGGAGGGAGGACGGTCCGGCACTTCATGCTCGCATGCGGTAGGCAATTTTTTGTCTGATCCTGTACACCAAGCATCCAGAGGCATTGCCACGGCGGATGGCCCACACCAGAACATTTTTAGTTCGTCAAAGAGTGTTCATCTGATGGGTATTGGCCATGATCACCATGCGCAACCTAGAGCACAAGATCAGTAATATTGGATGGAAGCTCTTGTTCTTACAGTATGCTCGGTGCTCCGCATATGACGTTGTACTCTGATCCTAGTTGCTTCCGGCTCGCCAACCCCTCATGCACATGACCTGTCTGCCCTAATGCATAATGGGCCCTAATGCTACGGATGCAAATGTGCTCCGTGACCGCCGTGACGTTTTGAGTTCTTCTGGTCTCCATCACACACTTATCGTTGCGGTCCCTCTGTATACATCTCAATCATGCCCATCGAACAAAGCGAAAACAAGGTCCTACTAAGCCACCCCAAAGTAAGAGTCGAGGCTATATTTCTCCGCAGATTTCGTTAGATAACTCCTGTTAGGGGTCCTCGGCTGAGCTGTTGCTCTATGGTGCGACAGTCGTCTCATGGAAGGCCGGTACCGAACGCGATTCCACTCCGGTCGAGAGACTGTTTGTCTCCTCAAAGGCTGTTCAGGATGGTACAAAGCCTGTCAGGGGCGGTATCCCGGTTGTCTTCCCCTGCTTTGGGCTGCCATCCCACCCCGATCATGTGAGGCTTGATCAGCACGGCTTTGCTAGGAAGGAGATCTGGAAGTTTGACGAGGTTGTTATGGATAATGCAGCCGGTGTATCTGTTAGGCTGAGTGAGTTTGAGTTTCCAGTAGGATCTTGAGCAGGCTGATGTCATTCCTTTCAGCGCTGGAACCCACAACTTCCATAAGTGCCAAGTACGAGAAACCTTTCCACTTGGCTTTCGTCATCACGCTCGCCGAACACCAGTTGAGCACGGACTTGCATGTGAAAAACACTTCCACGTCTCCAGGAGATATCCTCGAGTTTCAAGCACTGTTCCATAATTATATTTCAGCACCCTCGAGCGGCGTTCTCATTTCGTCGCTCCAGAATCGTCAATATCTTGACAAGACCGAGAGCACCGAACAAGGGAGGGCCCAGCTGAAAACCGAAACCAGGTCTGGCGTCGACGTGCGGAGCTACACGGACTCTGTGTATCAAGATGCACCCCAGGATTACGAAGTCACTTGGGCGGAAGGAGGGATACATGTCAAGAGCACCAACTTACCGAATGTCGTGATTTGGAACCCTCAACAAGAAGCCGGTGCTAAGATCGGAGACATGGAGGAAGGTGGATGGTAAGTACTTCTTTGACATTATGTCTCACATGAATCAACAAGAAATTTTACCTTGCGCAGGGAGAGGTTTGTATGCGTGGAGCCAGGCCATATAAGGCCCTTCGTAAAGCTCGAGTCTGGAAAAAGATGGATAGGACAGCAGGTATTGACTGCAATTAATGGGGGCAGGAAAAACCAGCCGTTATAAGTCTGTATGAAGATGCGCGTGGGGAAACGTGGGGAAGGCGGCAATCGGATCTAGCGGATATGTAGTACTATTAATATTATTCAAGTTTGTCTTCGACCTTCTTCGACTCACGTGCAACGTCACTGTTGTATATGGTGCTGGGCTTGTTTTGAACTTGCTTCGTCGATTCATGCAGCCACACACTTGATGCCATTTTCCTATAGCTATGGGCACTCCTGAAGCGACTCTCAGCGTAAGGATCACTCAAATCGACCACATTCTTCGTCCCAGTGGTTATTTCGACAAGGTCCCGTTCCCGCAAGTGCCGGTCATACGGATATACGGTGTTTCCTCTGTGGGCCACAAGGCATGCGTTCACATCCACCAAGTGTATCCATACTTTTTCGTTGAGTATAACGGTTTAATGACGCCCGAATCGGGTACGTCATGTTACTATACAATCTCAGACCCTTTCTGATGCCGTTATAGTGAACGAATACATTGGCAAACTGATTGTGTCACTCAACCACGCCATTGCACTTTCTTTGAAACGCGACCTAGACTCCCAGTTTGTTAGAGCTATTTTGTTGGTTAAAGGCATCCACTTCTATGGCTTCCACTCGATGCACTCTCCATTCCTCAAGATTCTGGTTCTAGATCCATCACTTTACAGCCGCGCAGTCAATTTAATGCGTTCTGGAGTCGTCATGCACACTCGCTTTCGTATCTATGAAAGCCACCTGAATTTTATTCTGCAGTTCATGTGTGATTTTGGACTGTACGGATGCGGATGGATTCATCTAGGCCAAATATTCTTTCGAGGAGAAGACGACGATCAGGTTGACATAGATGCTGTTTTTGGGGAGAAAGCATCTGCTATACTTTCCTCTCCTTACCATCGACAGTCTCGCCTACCCATTGAATTAGACGCCGTCGCGCCACAAATATTGAACAGACATCTTTTGGTGGCACGCAACATTCTGTCTCAGCAGGAATCTCTACCTGCATCTCCCGTGCCAACTGCGCCTGTGGTGCTTGGTGTGCGAGAACTTTGGGATGATGAACGACGACGACGGGTCAATAATGGTCTTCACCCCACCCCTGCGCTCCCAGTTGATCCTAGCGACAATTCCAGGGGCTTGGGCCGCGATTGGACGATGGAGGCTGCATGGTGGGAAGAGCTTATGAAGAATATCACAGCCGAGAGGGCATCTGCGAAAGAACCAACAATAGCAGAGCATGAATGGGAGCAATGGGTGATGTCTACCTTTGAAAGCGTGCAAGCACTTTGGCAGTCTGAAGTGCACAGGCCAATGCAGCACGAGAACGGACGACACAATGATATGAATCCATTCGTGCTCACTCAAACACCTGACTACGGAGCTAGCAACCCCGCAAAACACACAGCTGAAGTCGACGAAAGCCTTTTAGCTGAGCAGGAGATGCTGCAAGACGACGACGAATATATCCCTGAAGAGGATCAAGAAGAAGGTCTTGATGAAAGATTTGAAGGCGAGGGCATACCAGAGGATGAGATCGACATCAGTGAATCTGAGTACCCTCGCCAATTGTCCTTGTCGGAGGAAGCATCTGACTCTGATGATGAGTGAGTCACGACGTCTTTCTCCGTAGAAATCTAAAGCTTTGGTAGAATTGAGGCTTTACTTCAACCTAACGACTCCGATGAAGCTGAAGCGGCCGCTTTCCGCGGTGCCTGGTTGGAAATATATGAGTACGTGTCCTAGAGCTCGACGAGTAAGGGGGCTAACTACCTGCAGCCGCAAGAGAGCCCGGTCTTCATCGGAATTTGAAACACCTTCCAAGTAGAATGTTCATTGACTACATCTCATAATCTAACCTTTCCTTAGGCGCCCTCGCTATAATTCACTCTCGCCTTCTGCTTCTCGAGAGTATGTTCATCTTGTCTGATAGCATACGCTTGCTGATCCGACGGCATGTTCAGCGAACGGAGCGATGACTCCAGTAGCGATTTCCATGATCAACTGGAAACCAGCTATCGCAGAGCTCTATTTGATGTCAAGACGGATGTAGCAACACAGCTTCTCACAAAAAATGCGACTGAAGTCCAAACGGAAACTCAAGAGCAGCAACAAGATTCAGAGTCAAACAGACCTACCCTGAAGGCTGATACGACACTGCCGACAAAAAGACTTCGGGCAACATATTGTTTTCAAAAACCTTGGGCCATGTTGCGGACAAAAACCTGCTCCTACCGTTACATTGTTCCACCTCCATCAATCAGTGAACTTCTGGAAACACTGGAAAGCGTTGGGCTTCCAATGAAGCTATATCAAGCACCACACTTTTCTCGACACGAGGACACTCTAGATGGCCCCAAAGAATATGCTGGCGTGATCTATAATATACCTTGCACAGCTGGTATAGACTCTCTGGACGATTGGCAAGGCGAGAAAGAAGAAGACCCTGCCAACCAGTCATGGCTTACACCTCACCGGGCATGGGGCTTTGAACATTCGAGTTTTGCGCCCACTGTGAGGGCGATTCGACTATGGCTACAGCACAATCCCCGACACCAGACGAGAATTTTGGAAGTAAACACATCCGTAGGCGAGGGAAACCTTTACAATGCGCCGAAAGCCGACCAGGTACGAGGCGGAAACGATATGTCCATACTGACATTTGAAATTTTTGGTGAGTTTATCTCTCTCCGGACTTTACGTTAAATCAATTTATCGTAGCGCTTTCGGTGGACGACAAGTTTCCTAACTCTACTTCGGATGAGATCGTTGCTGCTTTCTTCACATTCCTTGATCATAGTACGCAAGCTACTCCCCGCCAAGGCATCATCCTTGTTCGGAACGAACGCTTAAATCCCTCCGGCTTACGCGATTTCGAAATCGAGATCGTCATGCACGAGCTGGATCTAATCAATGCCATTATCGACGCAGTAGTCGACTTGGATCCCGACATTATTGCTGGGTGGGAGGTTCAAACCTCATCTTGGGGTTATCTTTGCAGTCGGGGCAATAACTACGGTACAAAAGCTCGTTGGCCACTGTGGCTTGTCTGATATACAACACATAGGGTTGGATGTTGGCGAACACATCTCACGAGCCCCAGGCCGGTTTAACCAACGTAACGATGATCGTTGGGGTATAAGAACGACGACTTCCCTCAAAATTGTGGGCCGCCATGTCTTTAACGTTTGGCGCCTCATGCGCGCAGAGCACAGCCTGAATATGTACACATTCGAGAATGTCTCCTTGCACGCGTTGGAAAAGAGGTCTGATTTTATTTTATCATCGGTACGATATCAAACGGCGATCTAATGACTTACAGAGTTCCAAAGTATACTCCGAAAGTATTGACAACGTGGTATCTATCTGAAGACCTTTCGCTTTTCACTACGGTCCTACGATACTTCGCTGAACGCACTTGCATGACATTGCAACTCCTTGCTCAGGCCGATGTTATAACCAAGACCTCGTTAGTGATAACCATAGCCTTCAGGGGTTCCTGCTAACTTCTTCCTCCTTTTGACCAGCGAGTTTGCACGCGTATTTGGCGTTGACTTCTTCTCTGTCATCAGCCGTGGTTCTCAGTTCAAAGTCGAGTCATTCATGTTTCGTATAGCCAAACCGGAAAGTTTTGTTTTATTATCGCCGAGCAAGCAGGATGTGAGTGACCCCCCATTGATGTTGCTTGGCGAATACGTACCTTGCTATAGGTTGGGAGACAAAACGCTGCAGAATGCATGCCACTGATTATGGAGCCGCTCTCGGCGTTCTATAATGGGCCATTGGCGGTCCTCGACTTTCAGTCGCTTTACCCGTCAATCATGATTGCATACAATTACTGCTATTCAACATGTTTGGGTCGTGTTTCCGGCTTTCAGGGAAAGAACAAGCTTGGAGTTTCCGAGCTTAACATCTCACCGAGTCTTCTAAACCGCCTAAAAGATCATCTCGAAGGTCAGTTCGATATACCCTGAATTTCATTCGCTTATGTTTTCGAATAGTCTCGCCCAACGGCATTGTATATGTCAAGCCCACCATCAGGAAAGGGCTGCTAGGCCGTATGCTCACGGAGCTTCTCGATACACGCGTCATGGTCAAACAGGCTATGAAGACGGCACAAGGCAACAAGGTACCGCCTTTATTTTGATAATGGGCTGTCATAATCTTGTCTTAGGCATTGCGAAAGATCTTGGACGCTCGCCAGCTTAGCCTGAAATACATAGCCAACGTGACGTACGGTTATACGTCTGCTACTTTCTCCGGCCGAATGCCGGCTGTAGAAATTGCGGACAGCATCGTACAGAGTGGGCGTGAAACGCTCGAGAAGGTGAATTTCCATGTTGATTGATAAAAAGCCACATCTACTGAAATGTTAGTTTCCCAGGCAATCCAACTCATCGAGACAAACAAGCGATGGGGGGCGAGGGTGGTATATGGAGATACGGACTCTGTATTCGTATACCTCGAAGGGAAAACCAAGGACCAAGCATTTAAAATTGGTAACGAGATTGCTCAAACAGTGACTCTTATCAATCCTGCGCCAGTGAAGTTGAAATTCGAGAAGGTACATCCATGACAAACAGCTTCAACAATTATCAATTACCACCTGACGCTTTCTTACCATAGGTGTTTCTACCTTGCATTCTGATGGCAAAGAAGAGATACGTCGGATTCAAATATGAAGCACCGGACGAGGTTACTCCGCAGTTTGACGCCAAAGGTATTGAGACGGTCAGGAGGGATGGTACACCTGCCCAGCAAAGGATGGTAGAAAAATGCTTAAAGTGATTGATATCTCTTACTCTTATTCTCGTAGCTTCAGCTTCATTGGTTCTTCTAGGATCTTATTTCGAACACAGGACCTAAGCAAGGTGAAGGATTATTGTTACGAAACATGGGCGAAGATACTTCGGAACAAGCTGCCTGTTCAAGACTTTATCTTCGCAAAAGAGGTCAAAATGGGCACATACAGGTGACTTCTCCAATAGCTACGACTTATCTTTCTTTTTGACTCCGTCGCAGCGATATTTTCCCGCCTCCCCCGGGAGCAGCAGTGGCTGCTCGGAGGATGACAGAAGATGCTGGCTACGAACCACAATACGGTGAACGTGTCCCATACGTTATCGTCAGAGGGGACCGGTCGTCGCGACTAGTTGACCGAGCGGTAGCCCCTGAGCAACTGATAGTGGACAGGTAAAATGTCCTTCGCAAGGTGGAAGAGATCCATAATTGACTTTTTCTTCCTCAGCCAAATATCCCTTGATGCCTTCTACTACATTGCTAGGGTTCTAATACCTCCTCTGGAACGCATCTTCAATTTAGTTGGGGCTGATGTGAGAGAGTGGTACGATGACATGCCAAAAGATTCGAAACTGGATAGCATGGACTTGTCTATGTCTCCCACAAAAGCAAAACTAGATATTTTGGCTAGGCTGAAAATCGAAGAACATTTCTGGCCTTCCGAATGCCTGTCATGTGGCACCCCGTTTGCAGAAGGTAAGTATTCCAGACACGTATACACCAAAGCCTCACTTTCACGCAGGTATCTGTCCCGGCTGCATGGACGACCCTGCAAGTTCTTTGCCGACACTGCTCCACTATTTTCAGGCGGAAGAACGTCACTTGTTGGCAACACAAAGTGTGTGTAGCACATGTGCGGGCCGTCCACCGGCCGACCCTGTACCTTGCTTGAACCTCAGCTGCTCCTGGTTGTACGAGCGAAATAAAGCAGAAAAGAGTATTGAATTGCTGGAAGGGCTACGAGATATGATGGACGACATCATGATCGTGAACACAACACGTGGTTGCTCCGAAGAGACTTTGGTATCAGTATCAGACATAGACAGTTTCGACACGTAGATATGACACTTTATACGGATTGATAAGCTCCACTTTGGCCAACTGCAGCAGCAGGAGCTGCTGTTGGTGGTGGTGCATTTGTTTTGGGCTGGGGTTGAGGCTGAGGTTCTTCATCCACAGCCTGATAGCCGTCCCGGCCACTAGACGTGAAGCCCCCAGGCATAGACCAAACTACTCATGATGAGATTCGTCTCCCCGCGAAGCTGTCTTCTCACCTGTAGCGCCGCCGATGTTGTTTCCCAAGCTGGAAAACTGCACACCCCTCTGTCGCAAAGCAAAGAGAAAAGCAGCAGTAGTGGGAAGCTATAAACGAATTAGTGCTGAGTTGGTCACTTGCGCCGCAAATGTTACCTTCAAAAGTAGAACCAAAATCGTGATGAATCTGATGAATCCAGATTGGTCATTTCTCGCCATCCATATTATGTCGGAGATGATCGAGAGCCCAAGGATACCAGTAAACTATTCACGATGAATCATGTAGTGAAAAGAGCAAAAGCAGGATGGCATACAGTTCTGAATGATTGAGATGCTTCGCTACTTTCGTGAATATAAGATCCGAAGAGAAAGAGGGGAAAGTTGTAGGGCGGCGAGGCGAATGGGCTTGATATGAAAGCCAAGACCTAGTGAGCGCAAGAGTCTTGAGCCAAGATCATAGTCGAATCCAAGTCCAGGGCTGACCGTCTCGGCAAGAACCAGTTTACCTGGATCGAGGCCTTGCAAGAAATCCGCCATGATGGTTCAGATGGATGATAAGATGTATAAACCGTGTATAGATGCTCTAAGTTTTTGGACGGTCCGAGCGATTAATGGTGTTGGGTTATAACGCGCGTCGCATAGTCAAATGTAGCCCACGTAGCTGAGCGTGAGAAACGTCGTACTACCCCTGTGCATGTGAACTTGGGCTTGTGCTGGGGATTGACATTTTAAGTATTATACGTATTAAGATTGACGTGCCATATAAGTACTATCTAGTAGATCCGGGATATCGTACCTAACGCCAACAGTCCGATCCCAGTGGGAACATGAGTAGCTTTGAACTCGATACAGTCCAGCCCGCAGACTCCGTCGAGTTCTGTCCCCAGAATGACCTGCATGACATTCTGGTATGCGGCACTTACGAACTGGATACCACATCTGCAATCAACGACAGCGGGCCACCACGGCCTCAACGTCAACAGCGACGCGGGAAATGTCTGGTGTTCCGTGCGCACACATCTCCTGAACTCCAGCTGTGGGCCCCCAATACTGCTATGAATAGTAGCAGAATCTAACTTCTCACAGGGAACAACTACAGGAATTTCTGCTTCCAGCCGTGCTGGATATGAAATGGTTTTGCATGATTAACCCGTCATGAAAAGAACACGCTCATACGTGATGTTCCAGGTGTCATCGGGCCACTGGAAACCAGGCAACACTTGCGATCGCCGATTCTGAAGGTCATATCACGTTGTGTGGTTGGGTTCATGAAGAGGCAAGGTTGCAACCGACTTTTCATCAGGCTATTATCACTAAAACGCTGGATCAGGGGCAGCTAGCTACCCTACAAAGCATTGCTTGTGCTTCCGAGGACATCTTATGCCTTTCCCTTGACTGGTCCTCGCGGCGACATGAGTCGAGGTATGTCGAATTAGCTCATCGTCTGATGCCCCCGGACATGACCCACATCAATGATTTATTCAATAGCAACCTTGGAAGCATAATCTGCTCGCTATCGAACGGATCTCTTGCTCTACTGCGCTCAGACTCTCAAGAACTGCTATTGGCAACTAGCTGGCATGCACATGAGTTTGAGCCTTGGATAGCTGCTTGGGATTACTGGAACGAGAATGTCGTATATTCAGGTACAAGGCTTCCCTCCTGAAATCACCAATACTGACTAGCATCAGGCGGGGACGATCTGAAAATGAAAGGCTGGGATATAAGGCAAGATCTCGCCCAGCCTACCTTCATAAACAAGAGGTCATATCTTTTAAACACTTCAGGTCGCGCAGCTCTCTGACTAGCTGTGCAGGTTCGATGCTGGCATTACAACAATCCAAAGTCATCCTTATCAGGAGCACGTCATAGCGGTGGGAAGGTGAGCAGTTCGGTTTGAAGACGTGTCCGGGCGGCGCAGCCAATCGCCTTACCTAGTTACGATAATACTGTTCGAATATTCGACGTCAGGAAACCCTTGTCACCTCTGGTACAAATCGGCGTCGGCGGCGGTGCTTGGAGGGTAAAATGGCATCCCTGTGCGGAACGCAAGCAAGACCTGCTCGTGGCTTGTATGCATGATGGCTCCAAGACCGTTGACACCACCGAGGGCAACTTGACAATCACCAAACATTACACTGGACATGGATCCTTGGCTTACGGTGCTGATTGGTCTTCTAGCAAAGATCGCAGATCAGGGATAAGACAAACTTTAGTAGCCAGTTGTTCCTTTTACGATCATGCTCTACATCTATGGTATGGGTAGCACAGCCATTCGCTGTATCCAGGTACTTTATGGTGCTGGAGAACTGTCTTTCATCTGAATTTTGTGGGGAATGTCTGTCGGATGGTAACGAGGCTCTGATTTCTTCCAGATACGCACATTTGGTCCGTTCATGACATAGGCCAATGTCCATTTCGAAAGCCCTCGAAGAGCCTCAGGTTGCTGAGTTGCCACGGTGAGCAAATAGGCTAACGAGAGCCCGAATGTCAGGCTAAACCGAGCCAAAGTCAGTGATATTTCATAAAGTTTGAAAGATACTCGCCTTTCCAACCCACGGTATGCAAGGCTTCTACCTGTCATCCGATTCACAGGAAGGGTCGCCCTCAGGGCACGTGGGAGAACGTATAATGCCATTTCTCCCCTTCTTCGCGCACTTTCTATCCATATGGATGCTCCACAGACAACGGATCCGCCAAAAACGCATCCATACTGCCCGTCCCAGAAATCATGGGAAATCCATGGCATTAGCCTGCCGAGGACTAGTGTTCGCACACAGCATATTGTAAACCAGTATGAAGAGAGGAATGCCGATAAGAACGTTGCGCTGCGACACGCAGCAAGGAAGGTTCTGACAACATTGCCTAAGCGCATGAGAGAAGAAGGCCTAGTTGATAACGATGGAAGGAAGTGTACCTACAAGGTCCAATGAGTAAAGCACGAGGATATGTTTCATCAAGTGACATACCGGAAGGTACAGAACTAAAGCTTGAATGAACGCTTGCGCACCCCGAGCCAACGCGTTTGATAGGCAGCCATCAGAGAGTCCCCAACGGCCCGGTATACCTCCGTGTACGATCTCGCACGGTAATCCACCGACCCCTTTGCGACCAGGATATGCGATACTACTCCAGATGGCGCTAGCTTCAGAGCCTCCATAAGCTGGTAGTGCGTGAGGATCACCCCATATAGGAGGGTGACCTAGCTCTCTCGAGAGCGACGTTAAGAGATGCGCCTGGTCAGGAGATCCGTGCTTGTAGGACCATTGTCCATTACGGAGGGCTCTCAGGACATCAAGGAGACGCTGGTCTGCGTTGGCCAAAGAGTTGATCCTGTTGATGTAGGCTTCAAACGATTGGGGAGACAATGGATCAGATGGCTACGGACCATTTGCGATATGACAATGGTAACCTGTTTAATAATACTCAGTTAGCGTGTAAGCTTCGACATACTAGCCCTACCACGCACCTTTGAGGCTCGTAGAAAAAGCACCACATAATCCTGTCAAATGTAACAAACGGGTGCTCGGATGAGGCACGTCTAGCAAAAGAGGTGTGAGGGTGACCCTAACCTAGCGCTAGAGGCCCAGAACACAAAGGCATCAATATGAGCTACTATACGACGATGCCATTCCTTCATCGGTTTCTCGTTCACACCAGTGTCCAGTCCTTCTCTGAAAGGAGCTTTGGTGTTGGAGAAACTATGTAAACGCGACTGAACGGCGGCATCAAGCCCACGAACCAGGCATAAAAGTGTGAGATCAAGCGTGGGGGATGCAATACGCGAAGACCGCGTTTTGGTCTGTCCTGTTTTTTGCAGTAGAGCGAAAGCGAAGGTCGACATAAAGAAGTTGGCGAGGAACGCCTTTCGGAATGACGAGAATTTGAAGTAAGCCGAGAGAATGTAGTCGGCAAGGCCAGTACAGTAAGGTACAATGGGTTTCTTGACGATTCCAGTTGCGTCTGAGGTTTGGTGATCAAGCTTTGAGAGGATGCGTTCTAATGATTGAAATATTTGTTTGAGGAGTGCGCCTCCAGTAGCTGCAGTTGTCATTGCAAAGGCAAAGCTAACGGGATGTAACTCGCGAAGAATGGCTTTGAGCAGCGCTCTCGCGTGCGGTACTCGTCTCTCTGGATTGAACAGGATGGACGGTGCATATCGAAAGACAGCCGGACTAGTGGAAAGGAAGATGCCAAGAAAGTAGGTGCGACAGGCAATCTGAAACGGGTGAGTTGGGTCATCAATCCCCTGGTGAACCTCAGAAAGCGGCGCGAGGGCATGAGATTTTGAGTCCGACGGATTCATGGATATTAACGACGCCGACGACGCCGATCCAGCCCTCGGAACTTGTCACCGGTAGTAGCTTGGTACTAGCTAGTACTCAACGTTTCACCCTCGAGAGTCGACAGTGGCTCAGAGTGGGTGGCGGGAATGGAGAAAGCTTGCCTGCGTGCACACATCGTGATCAAGCTCACATACAGGTGTCTGTTGTTATTGTGACGTTCCGGTCGGTTGATTAATGCTTAATTGATATACCAATCAAATTATATGTACTGATATCGTTATAAATGCAATTTCCAATGCTGAGACGCCATGATGTCTGATTCTTTACTATCAAGAGCGTCCTTCGGTGCCCTTCTGTAGTGGACAGCTGTCTTCCTGCAGGATGAAGGGAGACTACCTCGCTATCTTGTTGTTCGCTACGTGGGACCCATTAGTGTCGGCCCAGGTCACCCGAATGCAAGCTGAGTCCTGACATCATCAGTGGGTATATCTTGTTCTAGATGTGAATTCTTGAGGACCAACTAAATGTCTTCTTGACTTGAAAAAGAGTCTGGAGTTGCTGTCACGATTACGTTGGAGCCAGCCGGTGCATGCACCGCAGCATCTCGTTCATGCGTCTCATGCAGATCGCTCACATAGCTCCAGAAGTCCACTACAGCATGATAACCACTAGGGGGTAAACTCATTGAGAGCGCTTCAAGAAGACCAGCGATGTTAAGAAGTTCCAAGAACTGGGCGCGTGTATCCGGAAAGATAAATGATTGAAGTATTGAATCACCCTAGTATAATTATGCTTATGTTAGTCATCCGTCCTGTGGGTCTAGAAAAAATATGACACGAACGTGCTTTTGAAGAACTGGGGATATGTGCTGAAGGACGATTCCCTTCTCAGGATCGCGGAGAAGATTACGAAGAGCAATCTCCGATGGCAAAGGAGCTTCATCCTCTGACCATTGTTTGATACGGGAATTGTTTGCGATTTTTTCGGGAGAAACCCCTAACCATTTGCGCCATGCTTCTATTTTTCGGCCATCTCGTCCAAGACGCTTGAGACATCGGTGAAGTCGTACCCAGTCCTGGTCATCGCCCTTCCATACTTCGCGTGCTACCGAATCCATCTCGTCCAAGGCCAATTCGGAGCCGGGGTGCACAAGAGACACAGCACTCGAAGCCGATTCTGAGGGACTGTTGCGAAAGGACATGCTGTCTTGTCCATCGCCGTGGTCTCGTGGATGTCGCACTGGACGTACCATCAGCCGAACCCACCTCCGCCGTCTGACCCAGGCGCCAGTTCCGAGTTTACCAGCTTCAGCTCTCCAATTGTTATCACGAAATCTCCAGTTGTACTCGAATCCATCGTGCTGTACCTCGCCAGAGTCGGTACGCATATCAATCATCCACGACTTAGATACCCATTGCCAGGTACCATCGGGTAAGGGGTAATTCTTCAAGGAAATATCGGGTTGATGAGATCGTTTGGCATTGTTCAACGGAATGGTGAAAGGGAGAGGATCGGTAGGTAGTAGTGACAAAGGAGAGTAATAAGGAGATGAGAAAAGAGTTATCCTGAAGGGGAAATGAGAAGTAGAAAATAAGACGGAGACAGACGGACGTACCCTCGCTGATTCTCGTAAAGTACTGCCCAACGGTAGACGTCTTTGGCGTTTCCTAAGGAATGCACGTTGGCGTCATCAAGGGCTATGGGTAGACTGTTGCTGGAACGAAGAGCGGCATGTTGATTGTGCAAGTCCTGGGACGGGTGCAGGAAGGACAGCTGAGACCTTGGACGGGGTTGACTTGACCGCGAACGCAGGCTAGGCAGAGAGGAGAATAGCCGAAGCCGTGAGGAGGATTGCAAGCGTCTGCGTGCTGGCTCTGCTGCAGCAGGATCGTCGGGTTCCATAAGATGAGGTGGGCCAGACGTTGAGGCTGCCATTGGAGTTGAAGCAGGTTCAAACTTGAGGCTCTCAATCGTGTTCAAGGAGAAGCGTTGTGGATACAACCAAGTACTAGTCAAAGCGGCTGCTATAGGAGGGTGAGTATAAACACCTTGTGGAATGACGTACTACTACTAATTCCGTGCCAGGACAGGCGTGGGCAGGCAACTACAGTACCCATAGACATGTACCGTCTCTACTCCCAACTAAGACCATCTCCTCTGCGTCCACAATTTCGTCTTTATTCTGGGTCAGCACAGAGTGCAGCTTACAAGGTCTCTCTGGTCAAGTCTTTGCCAAAAACTTGTCCCTCTTGCTCAGCGCTACTTCCGACGTCGTTGCCTGTTTGTCCTAAATGCAATTTCATCGCGTCCGTCGACCGTTCTATTCCCTACCATCACGTTCTTGGGCTTCCGTACGACCCAAATCCCTTCTCCGTAGATACCTCTCTTCTTAAGAGACGCTATCATGCTGCCCAGCGGCTGTGTCACCCTGACGCCTGGGCGACTAAAAGCGAGGTGAGGGTCGTTCTTAGAGGCTTAGCCACTGCTCATCGTTTGTCTGTCAGAACGAACGAGAAACTGCACTAGATCTTTCCAACGTCGTGAATGCAGCGTACAATTCTCTGCTTTCTCCTCTTCAGCGCGCCGAATACATCCTTTTCCGCAACGGGCGTGAAGTCGGCGAGGCGGACCAATTGCAGGACATGGAGCTTATCGAGGAGATCATGGAAATGAGGGAAGAGATTGAAAGCTGTCAAGCTTCTAACGCAGAGCGCCTACACACGCTTAGAGAGATGAATAATGGTGCGTTAGGATTACGTCTGCGATACACTTTGCCGATGGCTTTCTAGCGAAGATCCAAGAGACCGGCAAGGTCATTGAAGACCTAGTGCAGAAGCAAGCATGGGACGCATTGCACACCGCCGCCGTCCGCCTGAAGTATCTACAAGGCATTGAAGATGCGGTGAAACAGCGATTGGATCAGTTTTAAGTACTTGATTATGCCTAGATGCGATGTAGCAACAATAGACCAGCTAGTGGCACTATTGCATTGCGATGTATGATCAAGAAGGATGTTATATGTGTGGAATATCAATAGAAATATTTAGGCATTGATATTAGTTAGACGGGTTACATAGGGGCGTCGGAAGGACCCGAGGACGCGTCTACCTTTGAAGGAAATTTGCACTCCATGTAAGTGACAAACTGTCGCGGGTAGCAGAACACTAGTCCTGTCCTCGCCCACTGCACTCTTGCTTGCCCTTTTGGAACGCTGAGCGGTGAGCTGGTTGGAGGTCGCGTCACTTTCCGTCAGAATTACCGGAAAGTCGTGAGTTATAGAGCCAGTCCCGGTCTTTCATGGTAGCGGTCTTGTCCGCGACATTCGCTTACTCGTCCTTATGCAACTTGCTCGCAGCTTTGTCTTGCTCAGGCGCCGCCTCCTCATGAATCTGAACTCGCCCAGTCCTACGTCCGCTCACAACTCCTCTCTCAAACGTCCCTTCGCGCACCAGGCCACCGCAAGCGCATTCAGGTTTTCTCCTCTTCCAGAACCCGAAGAGCAGCCGTCCTCTCCGCCCGAACAGCGACCAGGCAAAGTCCCGAAACTATCAAACTCTAACCACGACTCTCACATGCCTCCCTCTTCCTCTTCTTCTCGTGGCCTCGCAGCCCGTCTCTCCGCGCCAAACACTAGTCGCAATAACAGAAGAAGAGGCTCTACGACTGGAAAGGGTCAGCCGTCCCATGGTCAAGGAAGAGGCACAGGGAAGGGAAAAGCCAAAGCACAGCCCATCCTTCCTCAGCTTGATGGTCCCATCTATGATGAAGCATGTCTTCAGCAACTACGATCAAGAGTGGAACAGGCAAGATCACCCCTGAAGCAGGCACTGGTCGACAATCCCAAGTCCCCAGTTGCCAACTTCTGGAAGGAGAGCTTCAGCGGTTCTCCCGTTTATGCGCTCGAGGAGGGCATACATACCGAAACAGGTCGTCGGATATGGAGGTGTGTCTTGATATCCGCTTTTACTTGCTTTCTGTCTCATGCTCTATTCAGAGCAACATTGGCCATAAACTCGGATCCAGTCGTAACTGCACACGGGGACCACAGCGACAAGAAAAGCGCAGAGAAACTTTGCGCTATGTTTGCCCTTTATCAACTTCATGAGTTTGGTCTGGTTAGTGATGATGCCTACATACATATTAACCTCTGACAATCTTACGCACCTTTATCCCTCTGTTCGTCCATCAAGTTAGAAGGAAAGCCAAAGTCTGACCCACCGCCTACGCAGGCACTCGCTCAGCATGTTGTCCTATCCGATGGAACCCAAGTTGACTTTGAGCGGTGTCGGAGCTTTATGGATTACTACTGTCGCCGCTATGATTTCGGGAAACCTGATATCGACTTTGAAGAACAGCGTAACAAGCGCTCTAACTCATCCTGGCATGCAACAATGACGGTTGGTGGGAGACGAATAGGTATGGGCTCGGGATCGTCGAAAAAGGATGCACAAAACCAGTGCTACCTGGACGTCACACAGTATCTGGAAAGCTGTGATGCAACATTGTGGAAAGACTTCATTGTGGCATCCAAGACGGGTAGAGACCTCGGTTTAGCGCCCAGAGTTCACTTCCAAATGTCCCCGCCACTCAATGATGAGATTCGTGATCTATGTAATGACATCAAGAAAAGCGAACTCTACAGAAACCGGCCAAGCATCGGTTCAGGTCTAACTGGATCCGATGCCCCGCGCACAGTTCCAGAACGACCCCCTCACCAAGTCCGTGCCTCCCGCGCCCCACCTTCTCAAGCTTACTTGGAGCGAAAATCGGCAACACTGTCAGAACGTCGCAAGGAGTATTTGCAAAGTCCTTCACTAGCCCGGATGCGAGAAACCCGCCAAACGCTGCCCATTTATACTCGGGGAGAGGACATTTTGGATCATATTCGTGCAAATGACATCACCATCTGCATGGCAGCTACTGGTTCCGGCAAAACCACCCAGATTCCCCAGATGATCTTGGACGAATATATCGACCAAGGGAAGGGGGCTAACTGTAACGTCATCTGTACTCAGCCCCGACGGATAGCTGCTATCAGCGTTGCAGACCGGGTGGCGAAGGAGCGAGGAGAAGTGGTAGGCTCAGGCTCCATTGGCTACAGCGTTCGCTTCGAGTCGAAGGTGCCAGAAGATCATGGCTCAGTACTCTTCTGCACTACCGGTGTACTGCTGAAAAAGCTTCAATCTGCTTTGGCCGAAGGGGGTGAAGCAGCGGCTAGAATGGACCAGGTCACACACATAGTCGTCGATGAAGTGCACGAACGTGACGTGGATACCGACCTGCTGCTGGTTGTCCTGAAACAACTGATGGCCGACCGGAAAGCCAGGAATGTCCCCCTCAGAGTTGTCCTTATGAGTGCAACTATTGACCCTCGACTCTTCCAAGAGTACTTCCCCGACCAAAGAGGGAAGCCTGCCAATGTTATCGAAATTCCAGGTCGCACGTTCCCCGTTCAGAAGCACTTTTTGAACGATTTCACGCCTGCATTGAAAGGGAAGCCAGAGGCGCAATGGGTTTTCAAAGACGAATCAGTGGTTAAATTCCTCGACAGAGAGAAAGCCTATGAACTGGCTGCTGGTCAGTCGCAAATGCCAGTTCCTGTCGATGACGACTCCGACCTTCCTCACCCACTCATCGGCCTCACTATCACCCATGCTCTCAGTTCATCCGACTCCGGTCACGTCCTGGTGTTTCTTCCTGGATGGGACGATATCGTGGCGGTGCAGCGCGTCCTGCAGGAAGGAAGACTCGGGATTAACGTGAACGACTCATCACAATATAGCTTACATCTCTTGCATTCAACCGTCCCGCTTACAGAACAGCAAATCATTTTTGAACCCCCTGCGCCAGGTGTCCGCCGCATAATCCTCGCTACAAACATCGCTGAGACATCTGTAACTATACCAGATGTCGTCCATGTTGTGGACGTTGCCAAGGTGAAAGAGGTCCGGTACGACCCTGACAAGCATATGTCTTCATTGGTTCTAGGCTGGGTGGGCTCATCCAATCTGAATCAACGAGCTGGACGTGCTGGTCGTCACCGACCTGGCGAATACTATGGTCTGCTCACGGTCACTCGGGCTAGCAACTTACATCCTCATCAAACCGTTGAGATGAAGAGAGTTGATCTGAGCAACGTAGTGATGCACGTCAAGGCCTTGAACTTCCCTGGCATGGAAGTCGAAGAAGTTTTGGCCGCAGCCATTGAACCACCTGATTCTACCCGAGTTGCGGCAGCAATGACATCCCTACAGATGGTTGGCGCTTTGGATCCTCACAAAAACTTGACGGCTTTGGGTCGCGTGCTTTTGCAATTGCCTGTGGACGTACAGATGGGACGGCTTGTGCTCTATGGCAGCTTTTTCCGTTGTTTAGATCAAGCGCTTACTTTGGCTGCGGTTCTCACGAACCGTGACCCGTTCGTGGCACCAATGCATCTAAAAGCAGAGGCCAATGCGGCCAAGATGAAGTGGGTTCCCGAAGAATTTCCATCGGACCCTCTGGCGGTCATGAATGCATATAATGCTTGGTGGCAAAAGCAAAGGAAGGGAGAATATGTTTCAGCAAATCGCTTTTGCACTGAGAACTTCTTGTCCAAACCTACTCTTCTCCTGATCACGAAGATCCGTGGCTCTCTTCTGCAGTCTTTGCACCAGGCGGGCGTCATTGATGTTTCGGCGGGTGGCCACGAGGGCGGTAGATATGGCGGATCGAGGAGAGGACGAGACGAGCTACAGGTCCCCTCAGAGCTCAATTCGAACGGAGACTCTCTTCCTCTTTTAGCTGCTCTTATTGCCATAGCGTCCCAGCCCAAGTTCGCCGTCAAGACGGGAGATAGAACCTTCCGGACACAGCTAGAAAAGGTATGAGAACATCAGGGAGAGTCAGTCCCCAAACTCACAGCGCATCAGGTTGCCCTCATACACCCTACCAGTGTTAACGGCAGAAGGAAGCTGTCGCGTCCCCTGATGGAAGACTTCGGCAACACGGAGCAGAGGCAACTTTATGCCTTTGCTGAGAAAAGACGGAATCTTTCCACTGGTGGCAACAATCCGCAGACATTTATGTCGACGACGACGCGTCTTGACCCTTTGTCATATATGCTCTTTGGAGCTTACGAGATCAAGGACACTGACCGGGGGGTCGAGTGCGATGGCTGGTTGCCTCTCGTTGGCGACATTTATGCTCTTGATGACGTCCAAAGGCTCAAAACGCTCATGGAGTCTTGTATGCTCCGTGTTTTTGAAGGTATTGTCCTTGGCAAACGCTCACCTAGAGAGCTCGTCCAGCGAGGCTACGGAGAGGATGAGTATGGTGATGACGACGAGGCCAGGAAGGCGACGGCGCTTAATGGGCACGAAATCCGGGAATTGGACTTAATCACCCGGGATATTGTCAGGGTCTTGAACCGGTACAGTGAGGAGCGCGGAGTATCGTCACGCGCAAGTTCCCGCCCAGCGACGCCACCTACTTGGGCTTCGACCCTCTCATCTGGCCGTTTGTCCAATGTCGGTTGGCGGTCTGGCTACTCTACACCCGGCGTTAACTCGAGGTCGAGTACCCCTGGACTTCCGTCGTGGCGACGATTCTGATTCATTGTAGCACGGAGCTTCAAGATGGTCTGACTTAGATTACACCATGTATATCCTCGTAGAATAGATCAGCATAATAATAATAGCTCATATATATATATAGCCCCTTCATATAAACTAGAAACTAGACTTATGCATTGCAGTTAATATTGCAGTGTAAACCAGATTCATGCATAAGATAGTCTACGAATTCGTAGGTTATGTGGGAAGCGCGTGACCATATAGCCGGACAGAGCTCAACATCATGTAATTATATGGTAATTAATGTTCATCGTGGACAGAGCCAGAGAGCGCTTGACCACCCAACTCCACAACTCCCCAGCTGCAGGCTCATTGTTCGACTTTGTCTGAGTGCATCTTCACCGATCCTCACTCACCCCGCCCGCATCTGCCGACGCATTGCCCTCGCTCCCTGCAACGGTAACCATCGATAGGACTCACTCTAAACCAACAGGAGCCTCCAGACGGAACAATCATGGCCGCAAACATGCGGGGGTTGACCCAGGTTCGCCCTTCTGTCAAGCTGCTCAACTGTGACGCTCAGATTAAGACCTAGTTCATCGCAGACATACGTGGCGCTCGAGTCCGTGAGCTGGAAGAGAAACGTATTAATAAAGAAATGGCGAACATCCGCAAGAAGTTCAAAGGTTCCTTCCTACTCTCGTCAACGTCACACTTTTCATCCCACTTACTGAGGAGTTGCAGATGGCAACTTAGACGGATATCAGAAAAAGAAGTACGCCGGCTCAGCTGCAGTGAATTTGCCCTTCGATTTAACGTACACATGTATAGATATGTTGCCAAAATCATATTCACGTACATTCTCGGATATAAAGTCGACGTTGGGCACATGGAAGCGGTCAATCTCATTTCAAGTCCGAGATACAGTGAGAAACAAATTGTACGCGCTGTGATAATATTTGCTCGTAGTTGCTCACCATACTGTTAGGGCTACCTCGCTGTTACACTGTTGATGCATGAGAACTCTGACTTCCTTCGGCTTGTTGTCAACTCAATACGAAAGGACCTCCACGAGAATAATGAAGTCAATAACTGCCTTGCTCTACATGCGATAGCCAATGTCGGCAGTAGTGAAATGGCTGAAGCACTTGCAGAGGACGTGCATAGGCTATTAATCTCACCGTGAGTTTGTCTAGCTTAAAGCGAGCATTATCAAAGATTGCCTAAACACTCTAAACAGGACTTCTGAAAGCTTCGTTAAAAAGAAAGCAGCTTTAACTCTTCTTCGCATATACCGGAAACATCCTGATGTTATCCCAGCTGCGGAGTGGGCCCTTCGAATAGTCTCAATCATGGACGACAATGATTTAGTGCGTGGCGCCCGGTCTCCTTCCAAAACGTCACTCAGCCGTGGCTCCAGGGCGTGGTGATATGTGTCACTAGTCTGGTTATGGCACTTGCACAAGACTTTCTTGACGCGTATGCTGTCTGTTACACGAAGGCCGTAGATCGACTGCACCGTGTATGTGACAGGAGTGGTTCACTGGCTCCCTGCTTGAACTTACATCGAACTAATGACAGTTAATCATTGATCACGAATACCCAGCGACCTATGCCTACTACAAGGTCCCATCTCCATGGCTGCAAGTCAAACTTCTTCGGCTGCTGCAGTACTATCCACCGTCCGGTAAGTTTTTTCTTCTGCAGCTTACACCACTTATGCTCATAAGTCACAGACGATTCCACTGTACAATCTGTCCTTCAGAACGTATTACAAGCAATAATGGAGAATAGCGCAGAACCGTCAAGAAATGTTCAGCACAACAATGCGCAGCATGCAATTTTATTTGAAGCCATCAGTTTGGCGATTCACCTTAATCCCAGCTCCCCTCTCGTCAGCACGGCCGCTGTGCTGCTCGCTCGTTTTATCTCTTCCAAAGAGACAAACGTCCGGTATCTTGGTCTTGACACTATGGCCCACTTAGCTGCCCGTGTTGACTCGTTGGAGCCTTTGAAGAAACATCAGGGCACGATCATCTTATCACTCCGTGACAAGGACATCTCAGTTCGTGGTCGGGCCCTCGATCTACTGTACAGTATGTGCGATACCGATAACTCTGAGCTCATAGTTGGCGAACTACTGCGATACCTGAAGGTCGCAGACTATGCCTTACGGGAGGAGATGGTCCTTAAAATCGCCATATTGACAGAGAAATACGCGGGTTCCTACAGGTGGTACATTGACACTATACTGCAGCTAATCAGTGCTGCTGGGGATCATGTCGGAGATGAAGTTTGGTATCGTGTTATCCAGATCACCACGAACACCGAGGATCTCCAAACATACGCCGCTAGAGTCGTGTTTGAGCACCTCAAAGCACCGTCCACCCATGAAAGTCTTGTCAAGGTTGGAGGTAAGTGGTGTTGTCACTTCTGCTGTTACGTTTCAGTTGACACAACTTTGAGGATACATTCTCGGAGAATACGGCCACCTCATTGCCAATGAAGCTGGTTATAGTCCAGCGGAACAATTCCAAGTCTTACACTCCAAGTCACAGTTTTGTACGGCATCCACTCGTTCTCTCCTACTTTCGGCCTACATCAAATGGGTTAACGTTTTCCCGGAGATCAAACCTCAGCTGTTGAATATCTTTGAGCGGTATCGTCATGTCCTCGATCCTGAACTTCAGCAGCGTGCCTGCGAGTTTTATGCCCTTGCTTCAAGGCCCGAGGAAGACGAAATTTTACAGAACGTCTGTGAAGAAATGCCGCCCTTCCCTGCCCGAGAGAGCACCTTGTTGATTCGGCTGAATCGGAAGCACGGTGATACAGAGGACAAACGCACATGGGTTCATGGAGGCAAGGAGATAAACTTGGATCGGCAGCTTACAACTAAGAAGAAGTCGACATCTACACCTGCACCCAACGGTAGCGGCGGCCAAACAAATGTCCAAGATGCGTCTAGTTCCCTTGCAGGCCTCACTGTATCACAATTCGGAGACGTCTCTAATCAAACGTCGGACACGAATCTATCAAGTACCCCCCTGGTGACTGGAGTGAACATTGACCGGTGGCTCAACAAATTACTCCACGATGCAGAAGGTGTCTTGTACGAAGATGTCCAGATTCAAATTGGTATTAAGTCGAGGTATCAAGGACACCTTGGACAGCTCGCCATTTATATCGGCAATAAGGTCTCTGCTCCGCTCACTTCGTTTACTACAACTGTGCGTGTCGGAGACCCAGAAGCGCTGTCAGCCACTTTCGCCAAGATCCCTTCTAGCACAGTCGCCCCGCGAACACAGACTCAACAACTTCTTCACGTTGAATGCAAGAAACCTTTTAGCACGCTCCCGGTCCTAACAGTCTCTTTCCTCGCTGGTGCTCATCAATCCATATCCATGCGATTACCGATCTCGGTAACCAAGTTCCTTGAACCTGTGACTCTGGGCCAAACAGATTTCTTTGAACGCTGGAAACTAATTGGTGGTCCTCCTCGAGAGTCGCAGTCCGTCTTCCCCATTAAATTGACCGCAGGTGGACAGGTTGATATCGAGAGGAACCGCCAGGTTATATCGGGGCATCGCTTTGAAGTTTTGAAGGAGATCGACTCTAACCCCACCAATATTGTTGGAGCTGGTGTTCTTCACACATCGGTAGATGGCAAGGTTGGATGTCTGCTCCGACTGGAACCTAACCGAGAAGCAAAGGTGTGTGCTCAAACTAGTTGTGCTACCCACTGATTGACTTCCGCAAAGCTCTGCCGAGTGACTGTTCGTAGCACGTCTGAAGATATAGCTGCTGAAGTTGAGAAACTCGTGAAGATAACTTTAGTGCAAGACTCATGACAGAACATTATTTGCATGTTAACCATCCTCGTATGTTACAATAAAGACGCATGAGCTGAATGGCGTCATTATCGTCGTGATAGGAACCCTGGAAATATGTTCCTTTTCCTCTTTGACGCTTCGTCCTCTGAACCTGGGTTGATCATTAAAGCATGTTCGTTGGACAACGTCCTGGAAACCTGCAAGACCGATGGTACTGCCATGTAGCCAACCTCGGCACCCTCAGAACAGTTACTCTGCATCTTTGTGCTTGACGAAGAGTTGTCGTAAGACACTGAGAAATCAACTGATCCCCGTGCAGCGGGTGAGGGCATATCCAAAGTTCTTGAAGCGAGAGGAAGGTTGAGTGATAAAGACGAAAGACTTCCGTTGACAAGAAGAGGAGGGCCTGGAACGTCCCAACGTATGAAAGTAGGCCGAGAAGGATCACTGCCAGTAAGTGAGCTGACGCGGCGTAAAGCCTGCTCCTCGAGCTCAAAAGATCTTGCACAAAGTTCTTGAAGTTTACTCTCATGCAGAGTTCCGGCCTTAGACTCGAACATGATGGCTCTTGCACTTCGAACAATGGTGGAGCTAATCACTGCAAGGTATCTTGGGTGGTCCAGTAAATGTGGAAGTAAAGGCAAAGCTTCCTTTTCAAGTGCTTGCATTCTTTTGCGGCGATGGTGCAAAGAACTAGAAACCTTGCGCAGTTCGTGTTTATGGGTGCCCCCGTCACCAGTCAAGTTGCGCGATTCGGCTATAGGTGTTGAGACGGTAAGGATATAGTCCATCATGCCAGGTAGGTTTAGTTCCAGAAACCTATTCGCGCCTCGCATATGGTCTTCTTTCGCAAATTCCTTTATGCAAACCAGTAAGCATCAGCAAAGGCAGATGAAAGCTAGAATGCCCACATGCTGTAAATTAGCGAGAGTTTGAAGCACTTTCGCAACGAGCGTGAGACTTCTTTGAGCCGAAGCTGACGGAAGACCTAGACACATTGATTCATGTACGGAATATCCCTCAATAATAAAAACCTACCAGGATAGAGCCCAAATAAGTGAGGGGTCAATATTCCGGGCACAATGAAGCGCAGGAAGCAGAACGCTGAGACGCCTCGGAAAGGCAAATGACGATGCCTACGTTCTTCATTCCCCTTCGTGGCAAAACGCTGCTCGACAAGTTTCCTAATATGCTCGAACAACTGTCTCAGTTCCCTTGTGAAAGTGAAGTCGTAACATAGCACATCTAGGTAGCCAGAAATGTAAAACATACTGTGGGCATTTGCTTCTCGCAGAGTAAACTTGATCCCATATCTCTTGACACCAGAGAGTTAGTTGTTCCATGTTCCGATCAAGGTCCTTTGAACCTTTCGTATTTCTGACCGGATCCACTTCGATCACCACTTTCTCATCACAAAGGCGGCGAACAATGCTCCCTATGCTGATCTCCAAAAAAGCTGCCCCATAGAACTTCATGACATGCTCCATCATTTTCGTCAAAGCAGTATTGCCTCTAAATAATGTGTTCTGCACTGTCATGTAGATAAGTCTTATTGGACATTGCGAGCATTTAAGAAAACCTTACTGTGAGGGCTGCCGTCAACCTCGCGATCAGCGAGTGCATGTAATTCCTGTAGCAGAACTTTTCTGGCAATAGCAATGTGAACTAGTTCTTGTGAGAGGGTAGTAATGCCCAAATCACGCTCGAAGTCCCCCATCCAGTCCAAGACATTGCGGGAGTGAAGAGCCTACGTCCAGTTTACAAATGAGCGTATTATACGTCAGAAGAAAGGAGTTTACCTGAAGAAACATAGAATAACACGATTGAGGAAGAACCATCTCCCTGTGCATATCGTAAATAACGTACCTCCCCCATACCGAAAGATGAACCGAACAACTCACTCGTCAACCCGAAGCTTCAACCGCAACTCGCCGACTTGGATGCGAGTCGGCATGTTTGAGGATTGAAGAACGGGATACCATCCTTCCACTAAATGGTGTCTCCTGAAATTACCGAGGACCACCTGGATGGTGCCGAGTAAAACAGATTTTAACGAAAGGCGCTTCTCTCGCAACACAGCTATTTCCAAGGTTCCGAATGGAGGCAAATCTGAGAAAGTGAAGTCTTCATGCCACTCTGGAGAGCCTGCCCCTTTCTTCAATGTTGTTCGGCCATACACGGTCCCGTTCAGACAAATTTCGCAGAGCACATCGTAATCGTTTGCATCGCCTTCGCCACGGGAATCCGGATCGACTATTGTAGTGACACTAGACGAAGCTTCCGGAATTCCGACACCCTTGGCAGTACCCAGGTTGCGTCCTTGGACAACAGTAAGCTCTACTTGCCGCCACATCCGATACAAGCCCCCGTCACTAGGCAGCAAGTACTGCCCGCATAGCTCGGGTTTTGCGTAAGATTTGAGCAGGACGAGCCACGTTCGACAAGTATCAGCGCCAGAGAAGTGAAGGTAGAGTGGTTCATTGTCAAAGCTCGGGTTCCACCTTTGACCTCTGCTTGTTTATTAGTGCTGTATAACTGCTTCAGGAATAGATATGCAACACACCCTGCAGAATGAATGGTGATACAGTTCTTACGCATCAACAGTGAGGAGTCCGTGAGGCTAATATCGGTCTGATTCAGTTTATGAACATAGACAGTTTGATACAAAAACGTCTCCTATGCTGCAGGTCAGCACTTCATGGTCGAGAACGTATATCCTATCACCTGCATCAACGTAGATATGTAGCAAGCAACTGTTGTCTTCGTCTAAAAGCTTACAGCTTGCTGGCCGCCATTGTCCCGACCCTGCTGTCGTTCGAGGAAGAGCGAGCCAGCTCGATTTTTCTTAAAGAGCAACGTATCAGCCAAACTTGGTTTCGAAGGCTCAAGAGAGGTCAAGTCGATTGGTACCTTTGATCTTCCTTGGTCCTTCTTCAGCCGTAGTAGATTCTCGCCAGTTGCTCTTTCTCCGATTGATTGGTATCTGAATGGCGGTCAACGCCTTCGGATAAAGCAATGAAGGAGTGCTGCACCTTGCGAGTAGCGAAGAGCTCAACCGAGACCATGAACTCCTCAGCTGTAAGTTTTGAGTCGGATGGTTCAACTGTCTCGGTCATTGTGGAAACGAGACAGGAAAAACAATATGATCGGTTGAGGTCGAGTTCAGGTACTGATTAAACAAAGGCGTGTCTCCAGCCTGGACATGCCCCCAGAGGATCTATCCTGGAAAGAGCATTCAAACGCTGATAGGGATTCTGTCACGATGGCTGGAATGACTTAAGACAGTCGTGGTTGGTAGAGTGGAGGATATCGATAGCCTGTTTTGTACAAGCCCAGTGTTTACTCACAGGACTAGATATTCCGGCGGGTCCGGCGCTTCATTTGTGAGCGCCTATCAGTAACTTTACTTGATATGAATCTCGTACTGTCTCATATCACCACAGACATTTTCGCATTTATCTCTGGGAAATATTGCTGAAAAGAGGCACGAAGATGGTAAAATTTTTCTATGAATTTTCACATTGGGGATAGGTGTTTGAAAAGGGTAAAATTTTCAATAGCAACCCGCGTATTTGAGCACAGAAAAGGCTTTCGAGAGCGTTGTTTGCCATTTTGGACGGGAAAGTTTATGATCCGACTCCGGATTAGGTATTCAGGGTGTCAAAGCAGTTTACCTTTTCAAATACGAAAATTTTGTGCAGAAAGTTTACCATCTTCACGCCTTTTTTCAGCAATATTTGCTAGAGATAAATGTGTAATTGTCTGCGGTGTATATAGCCCGCTGCGCAGACTTTGCTTGGAGGAAAATACAAGCTCCAAACAGTCAATAGCGTTGGAAGTGATCTGGAAAAAACCAGACCATCAAATCTGGCGTGTCATGCGTGCGGACGTTCCCATGTATATTCAGCTGTGAACGTTTGAACGCTTACACGTATACTACGCGCATAAAACAGCCAAACTTCCCATTTAAGTTACGGTGAACCTCCGGTAGCCTGTGGCTACATAGCTAGATCAAACATCTTCCCATTCGCTATCCTCCCCAGCCTCCGAGAGTGAAGACGCATCGGAATCCTCTGACCATTCAAGTTCGTATTCGTCCTCGCTGCTTGCGAACATGTCAAACCGGTCTAGGTGTTCCCGAAGCCAGGATACGTCCTGATCGCTCACACCGTCCGCCTCATCCATGAACACTGTCTTGAGAGGGTGGCCGGCTTCCTTGCGTATGGTCACCAGTTCGCGCATCTCGTCGCCTGATATTCCACAAGTAGTCAAAGAGGAGAGCGCCGGTAGGTAAATGGTGTTTTGAGAGCCGTCAGATGTTGTACGACGTGCTGAAAGGGATTGAAAAAAGGGGCGAGTCAAAAAGTTCATGTCTAAGTTGAGGGATTTCAGCCCATCTAGTTGGTTGTATAGCTTTGATACGCTTCCCCCATCGCAAGGGAGACCGGCAAGCTTCAGGTTTTCAAGACTGCTCAAGGGGTTCTTCCACTCAGTCGGGAGTGAACTCCGACTACCCGGCCCTACGAGGTGCTGAACCAACTCTGTGCAGTCGTCTTCAATATCAAGGGCAAGACTCTGTAAACATGGAATTACAAGTCTCCGCAAAAGGCCAATGACGTAGGAAGGTGGCAGGTAGGCCAAGACCAAATTCTTCAACCCATTAAGCTCGACGCCTGGAAATGCATTGTTCTCCCCATCTGTTGCAACTCCCCATTCGTGCGGTTCGCCTGCGGGGCCGGACGAGCTAAGCGTTAACGTTTCGAGGTTCGGCGATTCCCGAAGGATGCAACTAAACGCTGCCCACGACGGCCGAACTTCTATTGAATGATAGGCCAATTCCAGGTCAATCAAGTGTACATTCCCCTCCAGCCATCCTTGGGACCAATCGACGTGGACTCCCCATAGAGCGATACTCTGGAGACGGGGTGCTTTACCATCGAACAAAGTGAGATGTTGACCATACTGCGGATGATCAGCGGGGCGGAATGGCGAGTCGGTATCCTCATGGTGATAAAGCTCAAGCATTCTGAGGCATTCGGCAGCTGGTGTTGAAGGTGACGAGAGAAGATGAATGCAGGTGAACATGAGGGGGTACGACACCGCGTCAAGATGAAAGGACAGCCATCGTGGCACATGCGGAATCAAAAGGTCGAGGAGCTTGGCTAGGTCCGATTCTGACATAGATTTGAGAACAATGTCGGAATCCGAAGAAAGACCGGCGCCATTGGAAGAATCACTTCCAGATAATGCACCTTGGCTACGCGACAGGGGCTCAGAGTCGATGAAGATGTCTATTGGGAGCGTTTTGCTACGGATGAGCCAAACTTCGATGCGATTAAATGGAGATTGGTCATTTGCAGTAACAGAGATGTTTGTCCAAAGAGAAGGCGTAGAGAGCGCGACTTCGCGCCAATGTCGGCATACGTGAGATACTAAGACCTGGAAGATCGGCTCATATGAATCGCTTGAAGAACTAGAAGAGCTTGCGGTAGGTGAAGGAGGAACATCAGGGTTACCGCCATATGTATCTTCAATAACAGATTTCTCGAGCCTGGTTTGCTCGAGTTGAGAGGTATTCTCGTCTTGAACAACTAGCCTTCCGTCTCTAGACTTGTTCCAGTACTCTGCAAGAATTTCGTCCTCATCCGCTTCATTTGCGTCCGACTCTAATTCACCGTCATCCACATTGGTGACGCCAAACTCGAAGATTTGAGATAATAACTCGGGTGGCAATTGATTGACAACACAAACATGGCGCGGGGAAAGAAATGGATTGTCGGCAAGATGCTCAGGAGCCTGGTCTTCATCCGCTTGCATCTTATATGTTGTTTTGTGACTAGTATTGTTGGCTGATAAGAATCATTGCACCTTCGCAAATGACTGAACGTACCCGAAGATGGATGCAGGATGTACTGGCGTGATGTATCGAAAAACTCGAGCTCGAGCGTCACGCGGGCTACACAAGTATGGAAACAAGGTGATACCTTACCATGCATGTGCTTGCCTCGGATTATAACTGGGAGGAGCGCAGTCCAAATGGATTGAGGATTGCAAACAGTGTTGGCCTTTGGGTATGATTATTGATGCTATGTAGACAGATCTTTGCAACGACACACATGGAACAAGATGCTTCTACGAGAGCAGAAACAAAGGTGGGAAATTCATCTAGGCATTAGCAAACCTGTAACGGGTATATATAGTATGATAATCCAAGCCAAAACTATTGAACCCCAGAGTAAAATAGCCGACCCTCATCTAATACTTAATGGCTGTGTGATAGCAGTCAGTGCGACGGAGAACCGTGATTTACAGCAAACAAACCTCTTGCCATTTGCCACCCCATTTCCCTTGGAAATGCCGTTCGCACCAGACTTGGCTTTGGTAGGCTTCTTGTATGTTTGAATGTAAAAGTTGATGAACAAGAGCAAGTAGCTCGACAAGAGACCACAGCCAAACAAAGCGGCAGATTCAGTGCCAGCGCAGTTGGCGACATGAGGAAGGTGTTTCCAGTAGGCATTAGCATAGTGCTGGTAAGCTATTGGTCCGCTCATGAGAACAGTGTCAGGGGTAGAGATATGGACTACGCACTTCCAAAGTACACAACGAAAAGGTCGATGACAAACTGAACGATTTGCATGGTGGTGAGGTACTTCTTCCACTGCATACAAGGCATGAGTGTCCGGACCAGGGGATAGCGGACTCAAACGTACCCATATTTTCGCACCTCCAGCGGTCGCGTAGTAATAGTAGTCTAGAAGCAAACTGAACAGTCATCCGGAACATTGAGTGGACAAAGACGTACACATGATAACGTGGACAGTCAAGTTCAGAGAGATGACAACCCAAGACTAGACACGGAAGGAGTTGATGTACATAATAGCAACGATTATCTCGTGGGACACTCACCACGCTAGTCTTGCCATTAAGTTGGGTAAAGCAGAGCAAGGCGGTGGCAGAGTGATGGAAGACATGAAGGAAAGCTGTGCACAGTATAAGAACGCATACACCCAAAATGTGACGCAGACAAAATCTTACGAAGGGGTTTCTTTTTCAGAGCGAGGAAGACCGTGTCAAGGAGCTCGATGTACTTGAAGTAGTAATTGATCATGTAGTAGAACTCCAGCCTCTAGAGATCCTGTTCAAAATTCTGGCCACAAGATACTTCATGCAACATACCGGGGTCCAGGATTCGTCGGCGCACATCGCGGCGTAGGTGCCAACTTTGAGCCAGACGGAAGCTACTTCTTCTATCATGAGCGCAAGCAAGAGGGCACTGCCCAGACTCAAGAATGCGTTATGAATCCGGAAAAGAGTGTTGAGTCTCTGAGGAGCGCGGTCTTTCATAACCTCTCGGATACCGAAGATTATTGCAAGGTAGGAGGCAAGAGCGGTAGTAACGACGGGCCATGTGGAGAGGGGAGTCTGACCAGGAATATACGACTTGAGGTAGATTGGAACAAAAGATGTCGTGGGTACGAATTGTAGTAGAATATCTGCAAGGGGAGCCATGATGAAAAGACGAGAAGCACTAAGAGAGCCAAGCGAACACGAAGGGGTGAAAAAGCGCAAGAAAAATATCGAGGTGCTTCAACAGTCCGACCTCGGACGCGCGTGACGGTTGTGACACGTACGCAATTTAATATCTTTACATGGTTCGGGAGTATATTACGGCCCGAACTCACTGGCACTCTAAAATCATCAGGAAAAGCCATCGACGGCTCGACGTAAACCTTGTGATATTCATGACCACCTTTCCTCATCAGAGAACTCTCCGACTGTTGGCGTCAAAAAGCACGGTCTAGGTCTCATCAACACTCAAGCTGTGGCCTTACTTTAAGAAAGTTAAACGAGGGTAAGTAAAAGAATTTGTAGGCTGCTCTCGTTTGTATGGTCGTAAAGAGGAGGCAAGGCATCGGCCCTGAGCCTCAGTGTGGAACTCAACATGAACGGTTCCGTCTAAGGAGGGGCAGGGTAGTATTGGATATCACCGACAGAGGCAGCCAAGCTCTTGGAAGCCTTCGACGACAATATATTCAAGTTCTCCAAGGCGCTCAGGGGCTATAGACTGGTTGCGGAATGCTGACGTAATGCAATGACGCTTCTCCCGTTAACCCCTTGCCAATGACTTGTCGCGCTTTCTTAAGGGCGTCAACGTTATAACTAATCGCAGTGGCTAGCTCTCCGATTATTCCTAGCTGACTGCCGTTACTTCCCAACCATATAGATTGCGTCTTCAAAAGCCACCTTCGTTACTTGCTATTCAGTCGAGATAATCTGCTATGTGGTGGCTAGATCCAGGAAAGGAGGTCCTAAACGTGGTATGTAACCTTCGCTGCAACGTCAAGGGCTAAACTTCTGATCAAGCCGCATTTGATTAGGTGTTCAATAGGATACTCGCACCGTACATTGAGAATCTTGACATGAATCAAGTGAACTACGGCATAGGACAAGGTTTGGCTTCAGACAGATTCAACATGCAGCGTATATCCACTTATGCACACAATTAGGTCAACTTACGCTACGAAACTTGCGCCTTAAGAAAGGTGCTCTTGACAAGTTTCGACTGCCCGTTGACGTCCTCGAAGGTTTAAAATCCCCGTCTTCCTTTCGATCTACCCTCTTATATGTCGTGTAGGATATCTTGGCACATTCACTCTTTCTCTACATTGGATGAACCTTGGGAACCAGCCTGTCGAGGTTATGATCGAGGACGTTTACCTCTTAGTTGTCCCTTCTCCGCAAACACAGACGGACCCAGAAGAGGAGGAGCAAAGAGCTCAGGCCGCCAAAGCAGAACGGTTAGAGAGTGCGGAGCTGTTACACATGAGAGGTCGCGCCGATGCTTCTGGTAACTTGTCACGTTTTCTGTTGTTTACCCTCTGACACAGACTTGCCACAGAGACCTCACCCCAAAACGAAGGCCTTTGGTCGTCTTTAACAGCTAAGATCATCAATAACCTGCAGATAACGGTGAAGAACATTCACATACGGTATGAAGACAAGCTGAGTGTTCCTGGTGTAAGAGCAGCGCCTATCATAGGCTTTATCAACCACTAACATTCTTGTTGACCTTAAGCACCCTTTTGCCGCTGGAGTCACCCTAGCCAGCTTTACGGCCGTGTCCGTGAATGAAAAGTGGCAGCCAGCCTTCATTGAAAGTTCTGCCGGTGCCATTCACAAAGTAATTGTCCGAGATGGATCGCCTATAATTGAGTTTGAACTAATTTAATGGCTACAGCTGGCTAACTTGGAGTCCCTTGCGGTTTATTTCGACACAGACTCTGAGAGCATGGCGGGCTTACCCCGCTCCCAATCTTTGGAAGTTTTTTCTGCATTGGTTTGTGACTGACGAGCTCCGAACTTGTGAAGCTTCCACCTGACTGTGATTCAGATTTCTGGGAATGCTGGAAGAGCAGATCACCAATTCATTCTCCAACCTGTCTCTGGAGAGGGCCGAGTACGTATATAGATTGATTCTAGAAGATCTATACTGTACTGATGTCCTTTTAGATCATCGTCAACCATAAATTGGACGAGAGTACACCTCACTACGACATTCAGCTGTTCTTCGACGAAATTGGTGTGGCGTTGGATGACGACCAGTACCGGGATGCTATATCCTTAGTGGACATGTACCATGTGTTTATCCGGCAGCATCAGGTAATTGTGCAAATAATATATTCTTCAAGCTCGTATTAACAGGTCATGAAGTACCAGAAGTATCGACCTACAGAGCAGGAGCTGGAAGAAAATCGACCTCGAGCTTTGCTGCGCTTCGCTGGGAAGGCTATTATGGATGGTGTACATGAGCAACGTCGCAAATGGACGTGGGCTTACTTCGCCGAACGTAGAGATGATCGTAATGAGTATGTGGAATTGTTCGAGAAGAAGGTCATGAACACCCTCCAGGATCCAGTGAGTTGCATAAACTTCCAATGGTTCACTCTTGATATTCACATTTTGAAAGTACGCGCGTCGCCTTTCAGAGCTAGAAAAGAAACTGTCTTACGAGGACATACGGTTTTACCGTTCTATCGCACGCTCACGCCTTCGTAAAGATGCTGCTCTCCGGAAGAAACTAGAAGAGGAGCGCCAGCAGCAGCAGCAGCAACAACAACAACAACAACCGCGAGGGTGGACATCGTGGCTTTGGGGATCTTCACAGACCGATCAGCAGCAAGATCCTGCTTTCGGAGGGCCTATGACAGATGAACAACGCAAGGAATTGTACGAAGCTCTGGATTATGACGAGAAGTCTGCCATCGCGGACTCCTTTGAAGCACCCCGAGATGCACTGAAAATGAGAGCTGTGGCAGAGCTGCGGAAAGGAACACTTGCTCTTAGGAAAGACCCAAGAGGAACGCCAATTGAGATCATATCAACAGTATTCGACTCGTTCCGCGCCGAGTTCGTTCAGCGGCCCGATAACTTTGAAAGCTCAATTTCCTTAGGTGGCTTTAGCGTGTTTGATGGCACTACCAAGGACACGCTTTACTCCCAGATTGTGAGGGTGAAAGATCCAAGTGAAGCTACTACCAACCGTCATGATTCGAATGACCCATTCTTCTTCGTCAAATTTGAAAGCAACCCCTTGGATGAACGTGCAGACACTGCCCTGACTGCGCGCATGCGTCATATGGAGATCATTTATCACAGAGGATATGTGGAGGCAGTATGGAAGTTTTTCAAACCCCCACCCAGCCAGCTGGAGTCAGTTGAAGCCTTGCTTGTACGTATCTATACTCGCCTTCTGCTATACCGAGGCTGATTTGCTTCAGAGCGCCGCCAGTCAAACTCTAGAGGGATTACGAAAGGAAACGAGGGCAGGGCTTGAGTATGCCCTTCAGAAGCACAAAACGGTCGACCTTCAAGTGGACTTGAATGCTCCGATCATCATCATACCAGAGAAGTACGTGAAAGTTGTCCAGAATGAGGATGGTCAGCTGACACCCATCAGCATTACCACAAACGTATGCCAGCATCTGGTTATTGATGCTGGCCACATCTCCGTTGAGAGTAAGCTTGTGGACAAAGAAGCCATCCGGGCAATACAAGCAAAGCGTAACCAACAGTATGGCGAAGAAGACTATAAACGCCTCGAATCACTCATGTACGATAAGATGATACTTCGCCTTGAGGCTGCTCAGGTGACATATTCTTTGTCTTGCTAGCGTATTATGCTAACATGAGACCCGTTAGTTTGTCTTGGGTGGTGACCTGCAGTCGTGCAAAGAAGCCATCACTTCGCAACGAAGCGACTCTCTTCACTTACTTGAACGGATCAATGTGGACTTCGAAGTACAAAACTCCATTGTTCCAACTGCCCTCAATCTGGCGCGCTTCAAGGTCTCTGGAAAACTTCCTGCCCTCCGGGTGAACATCTCTGATATAAAATACAAATCCTTGATGCGGATAATTGATGTGGCTATCCCACATTTCGATGATGACGTCCAAAGCTCTCCACCTCATGGGCAACTTCCTGGTATTGCCATTCCGTTTGCGCTATCAAGCGGCTTGTTTGGCCCTTTAAGGTCGGAGTACACCATCGAGGAGGAAGAAACGTCAAAGGAGGACACAACATTAAGTCGGGAAAATACCCTTTTTGAAGAGACTAACAATGCTTTAGAGGTGTGTTGCTCGATTCTGGCTGTTCTACCACTCTCAGATTTGTTTAGCACCCGGAGATTAAGCAGCATACGTTTGATCTCAATTTCGAAGTCGAACGTTTGAAGGGCGTCATCTCCAAAAGCAATGGCAACAGGACCGAAAAAATCATCGGCGATGTGACTTTTGAGCACTTTAGGCTAACATGTTGCTTGATGAAGTATAACATGGATGTCGGGGTGAAATTGAGGTGATCGGTTAACCTCCCTGTTTTAGTCAATTTGCGCTAATTATGAGCCCAGGTCACTAGCGATGAACCTGGTACAAGATGGAGGTTATCCGCTGCAATTCATATCTTCCGAGGACTCGGGTGACAATAAGGATCTGATGAACATCGCGTATACTCGCGTACAAAGCAACTCACCGGAATACCTCCCCGTTTTCGAAGGAATTGACCAAAACGTGGATATCAAGTTGTCGACTTTCGTATTCCGTGCAGCACCAGCTCCCGTTATTGCCCTTTATGATTTCATCATGACGACTTTCGTCCCTCAAGCAACCGAGGCAGATAGCACTAGTACTGATGCATCTTCCAACTCCAAGGTTGTCAGCCCAAATTCCAATGATAAAACACAGACAGCGTCGAGTGGCTCCATCCGCGTGGCCCTCAAACTTGACAGTGTCAAGAGTACGTCATTTGTCAGTTCTGGTGCAATTTCAACTTACAACATCCTAGTCCTCCTCATGAATGACATCGATAGCATCGCGACACTGTCATTGACAACTGCGGATGTTCTTGTGCTACTTCATGGACCGGGAATGCAGATAGCTGGCCGGCTCGGTAATCTCTCTCTAGCCGATGACCGTTCTACGGAAGTGGCCGATACAGACTTCAAAAGGATCTTGACTATTGAAGGGCAAAACTTTGCTGAATTCCGGTACCAAACTTACGATCCGAATGCCGAAAGCTACACTGGCGTGAATTCCTCCGTCTCTTTGAACGCAGGTTCTCTTAAGCTGCACTACTTGGAGAAACCTCTGCACGATATCTATACGTTCGTCACAAAACTGGCTAAGCTAAAGGGGCTCTACGATGCTGCGCGGCAGGCTGCCGTACAAAGGGCTTCAGAGATAGACCTCATGAAGTTTGACATCACGATAAAGACCCCAATCGTTGTCTTCCCTTCAGACCCTTTACGGTCACGCGATGCGTTGACACTCAGGCTCGGAGAAATTTCTGCTCAAAACTCGTTCGAGGACACATCGAGCAAGATCCAATCAAGTTTGCGCGGTATTCAGCTCGTGTCTACCTTATACTATGATGAGGCGTCGTCCACATTGACTATGATAGATGATATTGCTATCACCGCAGATGTTATTCAGCAAAATTCTGCCAACCATGTCCCAAATAGCCTGCTGCCAGATGTTCAGGTAATAATCCGTCGTACACCTGATGGTCCTGCTAATTTATTGTTCAGGTTTTAGTCAATATTTCTGATGTGAAGATGTACCTCACCCAGGTTCAATACGGCCTTTTGATGGATATTTCAAAATCTATCCCGAAAGTTCTGTCGGGAGCACCAGAAGGGGAGCACCAAATTGAATCATCAATCAGCCCTGCAACATCGTCACATGCACGAGCTTTAACTGAAGAGGAGCAAGAAATTCATGTCAGCTTGGAGCCTGAGCTCCGTGCGCAGCAGAAGGACATATGGGCGACGGTCGACGTGCTGGTCTCTGTGAAAACGATCAAGTTACATTTGTATGATTCTCAAGCGACTACTGAAAGTAGCCTGAAGGAGCATGGCATTGCGCGCTTTGCCCTAAACGACAACACTCTACGATACAAGTCCATGTCCGACACCTCTTCAGAAGCTCAAGTTGTCCTCAAATCATTCACGATGAGCAACACTCGCCCAGGATCATCAAAGTTTCGCGAAATTATACCTGCCGCTCAGCACGCACGAAATCAGTTCATGATCCTATATTCGGCGGCTGGGAGCACCAGCGGCTCTTCACTAGCCATTGTGACAGTAGACTCTCCGCATGTTCTCTTTGCTGTTGAACCTGTCTTTGCTTTGTTGGATTTCTTTACAGCTGGCATCTCCAGCTCGACCCCAGAGGAGACAGAGAAGAAAGAATATAACAATGTGGACAGTAGATCATCCAGAGGACAGCAGACTCAGCTTGACTTCCGATTTGACCTTCATGATGTCTCCGTCAGCATACTAGAAGACGAGGCCAACCCCAATTCACAGGCTATCCGTCTGTATATTGACCAAATCCTACTTTCGCAGCAGGTATGAGGACGCTGTCATGAATCTCAATATATTGGCTAATGATGTTAACTCGTAGGGCATCATGGCCTTATCCGTAAACCAGCTCGGTCTTTCACTCATACAGATGGGAGTCGAAACAGATACAGTTCGGTTGCTTGATAATGTCGACATCACGTTCACCTTGGACAGCCGTACCTCCAAGCGTGAGCAGATGACAAGCATGGAGATGACAGCAAAACCCATCATCATTCGAGCTTCATACCGAGACATCATGCTAATTAGCACCATTGTCACCAAAGCGGCAAACCTTTACGCTAAATTCCAGGGAGGTTCATCAAGGGCCAGTACGACTAGTGCTTCTAGTGTGAAGTCAACTATGACAGACAGTGCCCCTTCGCGTCCACCACATTCAACCTACAAACACTCACAAGATTATATGATCGGCAGCGCACGAGTAGTCATGTCCAAAGAACAGGTTGAGTTGACAAATGAACTTAAGGAAGTTAGCGCCATTGACGTACCTGCAGATGTCCGCGTCGTTCGATGGTTTCCGATTGATACTAATTGGCGATATGCATGAACAACCTATGTTGCATCTCAAATTGAGTCCATTTACCATCAAAGCTGTTGATTGGTCGTCAGAGGTACGTGATCAGGTAGCTAAAAACAATGTATTTTGACAACATTTCTCAGTTGCAAGCCAACTCGAGCTTGTCTCTTCAGATTAGCTACTGGAATCTGACAAATTCTCATTGGGAGCCGCGTAAGTTACATTCAATAAGTTTGGATGGATGCTCATGAGGACCAGTTATCGACCCATGGGCTTTTGCTCTATCGGTAAGCCGTTCAGGGCCTTTATTGACACGAAACTCATGTGCACAGCTCGCAAGAGACCCCACTTCTGGCGAAGTCAAGTCTTCGTTATCGTCTAGGGAGCGGCTGGACCTGAATTTGAGCACTACCTTTGCTGAGTTGGCATGGACCACCTCGCAAATGTGGGGCAAAGAGGGTCATCGCGTGCTCAAAAACGCGCGAGGAGCTTATGCCCCTTATCGCATTCGAAACCGTACGGGGTCGACGATTTCGGTCTGGATTGATGACGAGTCAAATCACTCCTTGAAGGACTCGAGCTCGGTCAAGATCACTAACAGTCAAAGTATCGAATGGAGATTCGATGATTGGAAGACTATGAGAGAGGTGGTTCTTACCCAAACATCTTTACGTTGGTAAGAATTAAATCTTTGACACAGCATGTCACCTCCGGCGAGCACAGTATAGGCGTCCAGCTCGTCGGTAAATCATGGGAGGCTATCAGAGGTGTACCTGTCGACCGGGAAGGAGAATACACATTTTCCCTCCGTCCACGTCTGGAGAAGTACACAGACAGGCTGTTGTGCTCTGTCAAGCTAGAGAACAACGTGAAGATAGTCACCCTCAGATCGACCTACCTAGTGGAAAACCTCACGTTTTACCCTTTGGAGGTCATGCTCGTGGATCACACGGGGCACCCCGTGTACTCTGTCGAGAAAATCGGTATGTCATCCCGACTTCACCGACCCTTAGCTCACAATTGCGTAGCTCCCGGTCAAGATTATTCACTCCCTATCGAAGCTGTTGCGGAGAACCGAATACGCTTGCAGCCTGATCGTAAGCATTTATTTCCCTACACACGATGTTGGGGTTGCTGACTAGCCTTTCAGAGGGCTTTGGGTACCGCTGGTGCTCGTCATTGCGAATGGAAGATCTCCTTGCCAAGAGGAACCTCACTATCAATTGCCCACATAATGATCCGCAGGAAGCTCCGTTCAGGTTCCAAGCCTGGGTTCAGATAGATGAAAGCGATCTTAACACCAGGTAATTCAGCCTGTCTTTCTTGACCGTGTAACTCTAAACCCATAGGTTAGAAAATCGCCGCGTATCAAGCTCAAACTTCGTGCCCCCATAGAGTTAGAGAACCTTTTGCCTTACAACCTTCAGTACAGAATTTACGACAAAGATGCCAATCAAAATTGGAAGAGTTATCTCAGGAAAGGTGGTGTCATGCCTGTACATTCTGTGGAGCTGGGCCACCTTGTCCTTCTGAATGTGGAGGTACAAGATACAGGTATGGGCAGCTTAAACATGATGCATGTCCCATCTTACAGTTTCGTGAAAGTTTTCAAGCCGAGCGATTTCGCAATCATCAACACTGACCGTAGCTCCGATTTTGATATCGAAAACCGTCTCTCTCTAAGGGATCCAAATGATAGAAAACTTGATCTCAAGCTCAATTACGTGTGAGTTATATGCTGAATGCTTTGGTTTTGATGTCTCATGTTCATTGGTTCATTGCAGGCGTCAGCCTGACTCAGGAGGGGCCTTCAAGGTTCAGATATATAGCCCATACCTAGTTGTAAACAAGACCGGACTCCCATTCAGCGTCAGAGCTGCTCGCTCCAATAGAGCAAGTTCACCTCAAGATGTCGCCGGAGAGACAAAGACAGGTATGTCCCTAAGCTGGTAGCCTCTGAAGCCTGTTTGACGGCAGCCGCAGATGTGCTTAGACAACCTACTCCGTTCAGTAAGCTGATTTTTGTCGCTGATGTTGAGTGGGTATCATTGACGTGCTTGAACCAGTGTTGTCCCACCGTAGTGAGAATGGGCTGGCGTTTGTCTTCAGGGTCGGAGATTCAGCTTGGTCTAACGTGGGTGCTTGGCTGCTAACGACACGGATGCCTTTAATATTTTGTATCAGGTCTTCAGCCTGGAGGCCCCAGCCGCAGAATCAGCGATGGTAATTCCCTCTCAACGCCAAAAGACGGAAGAATATCATTTCGGGCTGTCCTGGAGCGAAGGCTATGGCAAGTACAAACTAACCAAAGTCATTACTATCTCGCCGCGGTTTTTCATCAAGAACAATCTTGGTGAACCTATATCTGTTAGGGAACATGGAGTGGGACCCCAAAGCCGCTTCGTCGTTGGTGCTGGAGAACGTTCGCCCCTGCAGATAACTCGTATCGGTCGAGAACGGCTGTTGACAATTGCATATCCTGGGCTCAACTCAGCTTGGTATGTGCAAAATAGTCACGCTCTTGGTGGTCCTCATCATCGCCTAGGTCGCCACCGATCAACATCGAAGACATTGGCTCTGTACATTTCCGCCTTTCCAACACCAATGACCAAAATGATGCGCAGATAATCAGAGCCAATGTTCAAATTGACGGTTCAACTATTTTCGTGTCTTTCCAGAAAGCTGAAGGGGCACCTTTTGTCATTGAAAATAGCAGTGACTTCTCGTTCTCGTTCTGTCAGACGGTACGATGGCAGTCCCAATAGCCGACTGCTTGTAGCTAACGCAAAGTAGGACTCGGGTAGAGACGATTCTAACGCCACCAGACCAGGTATGCCGTGGTACAGGCTCGACCCTCACAGTCAAATACAGTACACTTGGGATATGCCAGCCGCTAGAGAAAAGAAACTTCTGCTGACCACTGGAGAGTCACGACGAGTTGTGGATATCATGGAAATTGGTGTTCTGCTTCCATTCAGATTTAGGGTAAGGTCATGTGTTTCGGTCCGAGGCACTCTCTAATGCGGAACAGGAGCGTCAACGCACGCGGGTAGCATCTCTTGACGTGCGGGCTGATGGTCACAAACAAGTACTCCGCATAACGCACTACGTTGCCGAAAACAGTGTATACAAACCAAAACGTCAAAGTACAGGGTCGTTGGCGAGGTCGGATACTTTCGCGAGCTCGGAGGCCTTTGAAGCAGTCACAGAAGATTCCACACCAACCCTCAATATCCAGCTAGATCTTGCAGGAATAGGCGTTTCGCTCATCAATCGACGCATGCTTGAAGTGGCGTACATATCGGTAACCGCATTGAAGTTCGAGTACAGCACCAGCCCTGCTGCTCAAGCAATCACCTTTGCATGCAATTCTCTCCAAATCGATAACCAGCTACATGACGCGCTGTATCCTGTTGTCCTGCAACCCAGTCCCATCTCTAAGGAAGTCCGAGGAGTTGCTGCGTTGCCGACAATTCAAGCCTCGGTAATCTGGCTCAATGATCAAGGTATGTTACTAAGCAATACGCGGAACACACTTTCCTGAATGCCGAATCCAGAGCACGGCGTCTTGTTTGTCAAATATTGCTCCATACTTCTTCAAGCCTTGACAATCGAAACGGATGAAGATTTACTTTTTGCAATATATGACTTGACTCAGATCAAGGGACTTTCCTGGGAGGAGGACACTGAAGAGTACGAGTGCAGAATATTGTTCCATATGCAAACGGCTGACGGACGCGATAATCTACTTCAGTGTGCTTATTCGGCATCCAAACGAGGTCCCCGAACCTCAGGCCACAATAGCCTCGGGCAGTGAGATCTATTTCGAAGTGTTGGAGTTGCAGCCTATTTTGCTCTCACTTTCTTTCATGCGCACCGAAAGAGTCAGCAGCGAAGACAAGTGAGTTTCAAATATTTAAAAAAAAGGATAGATCTTAACGGACGAACCAGACTAAGCATTCGTAATCCTCTCGCCGTTGTGGTGAATGCTTTGACAATGACTCTCGGGAACATCAATGACGCACCCCTGGAATTGAATGCATTGGCTATCAAAGACATGCGTTTGACCTTCCCTGAACTCCAGACACGAGTGATGCTGCACTACAGGCAGGATGTTCTCCGCCAGCTCTACCGCATCCTAGGATCTGCTGACTTCATCGGCAATCCGGTGGGGCTATTTACCAACGTTAGCTCTGGAGTTGCGGATATCTTTTATGCACCGTACAACGGTGTGGTAATGCATGGTAACAAAGAATTAGGGATTGGCATCGCGAAGGTACAGTGCTTACACTAATCTACTTTACTCTTGCTCAGCTTGCTTTCTAGGGTGCTGCTAGCTTTGTCAAGAAAACAGTCTTTGGTCTCTCTGATAGCATGACCAAGTTCACTAGTAGCGTTGGCAAAGGCAGGTCAAACTACTATACCTAAACTTTCGCCGGCACTCAATCTTCCGCAGGACTCTCCGCTGCAACTTTTGACTCCGAGTATCAAGCCCAGCGGCGGTTGACCCAGCGAAGAAATAAACCACGACATGCCATGTGAGTCAACACTGAATAAGGGATTTTTGCCACCTATCCGGGATGTCTTTACAGCTACGGCGTCACGGCAGGGGGTGAAGCGTTTGCTAGTAGCTTTGTCAGTGCCATGGAAGGCATAGTGGTGGGTATTCACCACCATATATTTTCTAAACGCGTTTGACACTGATCCCTTAGACAAAGCCCATACAAGGTGCAGAATCGGAGGGCGCGTTTGGTTTCTTCAAGGGAGTTGGAAAAGGCCTTGTAGGGTAAGCGGCTGTTTCACAGTAAAACCCCACGAAACCTCACAATTGCCGATAGCGCGGTGACGAAACCTGCTGTTGGAGTTTTTGACCTTGCTTCCAACGTTTCGGAAGGTAAGCTAGCAATGAATAATTGTTTGAAAGGTCATGATCATACTCGTTTCAAGGTATCCGCAACACCACAACCGTCTTCGACAAGCCAGAGCGAGACAGGGTTCGTCCTGTAAGTAGCTGACCGTCGTTGTGATCAGACGAATTGTTAAGCAAAATAATACATTCAACAGCCTCGCCACGTTCCATCCGACGGCGTCCTAGTGGTAAGCCTGGTGCTAGTCCATGTGGATCGATGTCGGTCCTGATGTTGCCTTTTTAGCCCTATTCTGCTCGAGAGGCTCAGGGGCAGTACATGATGCGAGATCTTGACAATGGTGCTTTCCGCCAAGAGTCCTACGTTGCTCATATAGGTGCGGGCGGCGGAAGTGGTTAGTAGGCTTTGTCGCATTCTGTCTGACGCTCTCTTGCAGATACACCAGGAGGAGATAATGTCGTGCTACTGACCACAACAAAACTACTCTCGTTCTGGTCGAAGAAACTCCGCCTGGACTGGGAGTTGCCTCTGACCTTGGTCCAAGGAGTTGCAGTCGAGGACACCGGCATCCGATTCACGCACAAATCAGGGAGAGATCACGATAAATTCATCTTCATTCCGGACAAGACGTCCCAGGCATGGTTCTTTGGTCAGATTGCTGCGGTGGTGAAGGCGTTCAACAACCGGAGGAGGATGGACACATGATGCAGTTGGACAGACAGACAGACGTTATATTGACGACAGAAACGCGATGATGATATTATCTCCATTTAAGTAAAAGTAAAATGATGTTTGACAGACGAAGGTTCAAGTATGTATCCACAAAGAATGTTTATAGTAATGACAGGAGTAGTTTTCAAAACGTCAGTGCGTTCAGATAATGGTGGTATCGCCCAGGAAGACCGCAGATTGAGAAAAGTCAGGGGGAATGGGTATTAAACACATCCATGGTAACGTTAAAATATTGATGAGACAAGGATATCTCTTAAGCCTGGTAAACAGCGGTGGCCGAGCTGGACACGCGCTCCCTGGCGGCGGGTGACTTTGCATAATCGTTTACATGATTGGCATATTCAGGGGTGTCAGTCGAATCATCCGAATCGACATAGGCTCTCTGGCGGCCCTCGAAGCTCGTATGACTGTTCCGCGGGCTCTCGGAATAAGCGCTCTGGAACTCAGAGTCCGAATCGTCAGTGGTGGCGCTGACGGCCGGGGTCAGTGCGGGGGTGGTCGGGGTGTGAGCGTGCACAGGAGAGCTTGCATCGAGGGAGGGATTGGAAGGGATAGTGCGGAGCTTCGATGGGTCCACAGCGCGTTCGTTGGCGTCAGTTTTTATCTCCAGAGTAGGCATCTGCCTTTCAATCTCGCGCGAGATGGAGCTGCGACGAGGGGTGGCAGGCGATGAAACAGTATCGCAGGATCGCCGGCCATTAGTCCCATTGTAGGCCGTCGAAGTAGCGTCGCTTTGGTCTCGTCGGTGGACCGTTGTCACAGTGTCACTTCGATCTCTCCTGTGGGTGACAGATGCCGAGTCACCTTTATCCTTCCTCTTTTGTTTCGTAGGCAGGCTGGCTTTAGAAGAGCGGCGAGTCCGGACGAAGGCAGGGGTTTCCAAGTCGCCTTCGCGTTCATCATCATCGCCTGAGTTGTGCTCCATCGACTTTGCCTTCCACTCAGCAACTCGTTCCGACGCCAGGGCGGTTTCCAACTACAGCAAACACCATTAGTCCATCTGCAGCCAATACGAACAATTGTATCTTACCTTCTGTTGAATTTGCAACACCTTGATGGCAATCCTGTCACTTCGCTCGTTGATACCCTCATCGACAGCGCCCATACCATCTTGCAAAGCCTCGGCTTCCGTAGCTGAGAACCGTTTCCTCTTAGGCGACGCTGCAACCTCTTCTTCTTCCTCAATGGTTTCAGTTCCTCGACCCTTGTAGACCGATCCGTCGTCCATTTCTTGCTCAAAAGACTCGGCCAGCGTGCTCTCTGTTGCAACTGACCGCATCCTCGAGCTACTCCTAGTGGCGTCACTGGGTCCACGAGACCGGGTCCCACCAGGAGCAGAGCGGGTGGACCGAGCCGAGGATAGACGGCTGCCGGGTCGCGATCCCTCCCCGCCATAATCGGACTCGACGTCCACAGCCATGGAAGCGAGTGCACGTTCGATCTGGGCTTCAACTTCGGCTACCATCTCAGCGCGTTCAAGCTCCATCCTCTCCATGTTATCCCGCATTCTGTGAAGCTCAGCCAGCGCCTCTTGGTGGGCGCGCTCGGTCTCATACAGTTCTTGATGAAAATTTTAAGTCTATCATAAATCCAGTGACAGAGGAAATAAACTCACGATATTGTAACTTGCCCTTCTCAGCCGTTGCATTGGTGACCATGCCACTAAGTCTCTTTGTCTCCTTTTGCTCTTTGCCGATCTTGCCTCTGAGCTGGCTAGCTTCGGTACTGAGGCGTTCTGCATACTGCTCAAACGTCACAAACTTGTCTCTCCACAAGTCCGCTTCAGTCATCAAGAAGTTCAAGCGGCGAGACAGACGGCCGATTTTTGTCTCTAAATCATCGCGGGCGTCAACAAAGGCTGTTGCGCGCCTCCGGATCGAGAGCTGGATATGTTGTTCAGCAGCAGTCAGCTGGGGCGGGCGCTTCAAACTGCCAAGGGAGGATATTCGCTTGAAAAGCGAAGGCTTCTTGAACTAAACCTTTGGTGAGAAGTGGTCTTACGGCAAAGTCGAGGTTGCCTACCTTGTCATGAAGCACAGCGTCAAACGCCTGAATAATCCTCGTTGAGTGCCACCAGTCAGGGGCTCTGATGGTATCGGCAACAGCGACGGTTTCAGCGCCGCGCTTTGCCTGAATCTTGCATACTGGCCTAAAACGACCTGCTGGGAACGCTTCTTTGAACTCACTGAACAAAGTCACACGTTTTGTGAAGATTACTTTTGCAAGAATGTCGGAAGCATACCTTGGGACAGAGTGATCTGGATGATAGTGAGGTTCAAACGCCGCCAGTAGCCGTTGCCTGTAACGCTCGCGTTGCTGCTTCTGCGAGACAATACCTGGGGGAGGAGAGGAACAGCTCAGATAGTTGATGTCCCTGTTATCTTGGTTAGCGGCACCTCGACGGTGTCACAGTTGGACACCCGGAACTTACAAGTCGACTACGCAAACTTCCGGACCAGGGCGGATGGCGTAGCGAGCTTCAGTAGCAAGACCGAGGATCCACGGGCCTGGATCCTCGATGTAGATCTTCGCGTCACGCGAATGAACCGCAGGAAGGGCGATACCCGACCAACCGCGCAGCTCGACGAGATATTTGAGTGTTGACACAGCAACCTGCGATCAGATGAGAACCAAGAAGCGAGGTGGAAGTGAAACTTAAAAGCTTACGCCCAAGAGCGCGGGATGCCGCGAGATGAACAGGACTCGCCCCGTGGGCGCGAGAGCAATCTACGGAAAGGGCCGATGTTAAATGCAGAGTAATTCATTTCAATGAACTCAAGCTTACCTCGCAAGCGGTCAAGATGTTATCAATGTTGAGGCATTTGAATAGAGGCCACATGGTGAAGTTGATATCGACCAGACCGCGACCAAAGTCGAGGCCGCCCGGGAAGCGAGCAATGACCTCAAGGCTTGAGTCCTGCTGAGAAGAGGCGTCGAGCTTGACAAGATCTCCCGCACGAGGGGCAGGATGAGCCAGAATTTTCGAGATTTGTAATGTGTGCGACTGCACGTCCTTGCTGAAACGGGCCCAGGAGAGCGTCAGATAATCTCTCATCAAGTCGTAAATGGGATGTCTAGACACAAGGGCTAGGAAATCATCGTGAGAGGACGAAAAGCCAGCAACATGCGCCTACTCACTCAACGCGTACGGGAGCCAGAAGACAGTGTCACCAGGGAGGAAGAGGGTACTTTCCCCTGGGCCATGTCCATTGATAGTGCTCGCCACTTCAAAGTCGCTCTCGCTAATCATGCCAGTGTCAGTTTCGGCATCGGTCTCGCCGTCAGTCTGACCGCCCCACGGGGTGCGATTGCGCCGAGTGCGTTTCCTCGAAATCTCAGAGATGCTGGTATTGCTGGACTTGAGTGCTCGCAAGCGGGCCGCCACCAGGCTCTGTGCACTCTCTTTGCGCGTACGACCGGCCTCGAGGGTTCGCCGGATGGCAGCACTTCTCTCGGCGTCCGCATGGCTCCAAACTGTCAGACAAACGCCGTGATAGGTTACGTTTCCGGACCCATTAGGATCAACAGGGCCACCAGTAATGGCTGATTGCTTGTCGAAGGCAGCTGCGAGCGGGCTATTGGGTGCGCTGTGGGAAGATGCGCCCAGAAGGTTTGGTGGGCCTAGGAACGCGCTTGACGGACGGGCATTGGCGAATGGGTCATCTGTGTAGGGGTATGCGAACGTGGGAGCCGCACTAGAACGGTCGGCAGTAAAGACAGAGGATCGGAGAAGGTCCGTGGTAGAGCTGCCGTTGGGAGCCAGCGGCGTTGAGGGAGCAGGGAGCGTGAAAGTGAATGTATGGATAGTTGACGCGGGCTGGAGTGTCGAGGCGATAATTTCGACCTCGCGAGTGAAGGAGAGCTAGAAGGAGTTTGAGATAAACAGGGGAGTTCCCAGGCTGGGTGAGGAAGAGACGAACCTTGAGCGCCTTGGAGAGCATTTTGCCGACCTCCGCCTTGGAAAGCGCGCCCGCGCCCTTGGTGATGTCGGCCTCCTTTCCCTTGCGCTTTTTGCGAATGGTGCCTGTACCGGGGCTGACGGTGCTGCCGAGGACCTCTGGACGCCACCAGCGGGCGACGGCGCCGTCGGTGTGGTGGAGACCAAGGACAGAGTCGGGATCTGCAAGGGTCCATGTGTGGGGGCTCTTGGGGAGGCCGGAGACGACATAGAGACTTGTGAGGGGGAGGGCGGGAGGGCCGCCTGAGGGCTGTGGGAGGACGGGGACTGAACGAGTGGAGACCATCGAGGTCCTTGCGGAGGCGGGGATGGGCTCCATGGACCTGCGATGGGCGATGCCGAGCACACGGGATGCTTTGTCAACTGGACGGGGCCAAGACGGGTCTGCCGACTCCGGACCTGGGATCGTAACAAAGTCGAGAACGTCTGCCAGCGGTTGTTGTAGGTCTTGCTGTTGACTATTATTATTATTATTACTGTTGGAATCCGCAGAAGTTAAAGTTGAAATCTCCTCGGGCAATGATGGCGACACGGTTCGAGGCGTGGCTTGGCTTTCAGCGCTATTCTTCTTGCCGTTTCTAGTACAAGGCGTGGTCTCCGTCATTCGCGACTTGCCCTTCTCGCTCGATCCTGGCACTCGGGGCGGCGACGGTGCGGCGCCAGGCGGTCTTACACTCGCACGCCGGTTGAGGAAAGTTGTCATAGAACTGATCCTGTACCAGCGCTCTCGGTGGTGGGCACACAGAGAGGAATAGCGACAAGGGGGGACGAGAGAGGGCAAGAAGGAACAAGCGGGAGCCGAGAAAAATATATATAAAGGATAAGCGGGGATGCGACCAAGCAAGTCGACAGACTCGCCAACAGAAGACTCACTGCAGAAGTCGGCTTCTAAGCTGATCCTACATCTTACGAGCTAGCGGAGTTAACCAATGTTTAAACCCACAATTTGACTAAATAAGACCTAAACCCAACTAAACCCATCCCGCCATCTTCGCCACCGACACCGATCCGTCCCCGGGCGCTATAACAACCTTCGATTTAGTTTCAACTCCCTACATGGATTCTACACACGTTGTGACAGTTCGCCGCTAAAGTTGGCTCAAAATGGCGGCCACATAGCTGTTTGCAAGGTAAACGGGGTGCGTGTTTAGTGCCCACCTCTATCGAGCAGGCGCTCGGGGCCAAAATTTGTCTAAGTCCTCTCTCTCCTACCACCATGCTCGCACCCGATGAAGTTGTGAAGCAGGTCATTGCACGGGATGTCCCCAACACCGCCATTAGAGTTCCATGTTGGCGCAAAGGGATTGTGGTAGGTCTACCACCACCCAGAAAGCTTGCTTTGACTCATACACCTTCTCCAGATCATCGAAGTTGATCACTATGCGGACTTCAGCACCATCTCTATCAAACGCACAAAAGCTACCAATGTGCTCCCCGTGGGTCAGTCTCACCACGGGGATGATGGTGGGGATGACGATGAACAAGGTGGCGACAACGGGGGGAATGGCGGGAGTCAAGACCGTGGCCCCAGGGATGATGATGAAGATGGAGGTGACGAAGATGGCCATGATGGCCAGAGTCAAAGGACGGTGCAGGGGTCTCAGGATTCCAGTAGGGTGCGTCCCCCTCCCTCTTATCACATACCCTTTGCATGCTAACAAGGGGCTGTCAATACCTTAAAGCCGTCATCCGCCATGGATGGGCCATCTTCTCCTGCTCACATGTGCACGCCCATCGGGACTTTAGTCTTACGTGCACCCGAGATCCCCCCCACCTCCATGATGCCTGGCTTCCCCGGCTCATACCCCCCTGCACCGCCCCCCACTCCCACTTCTAGCATGCCAGAGCCGCTTCAAGAGGCGATCGTTATGCTGCTAGGTGCCTTGCTTCTGTATGTTGAGTTGCTGAAGGCATGGGGCCAGGGCCGCAAGAACTAGCTATACGTTTCCCTAGCTTATAAATTCTAGACCACGTTCATGTTTTCTTGACGCCTTCTGTAGATAAATGCCTCTAAAAACCACTTTTCGACTGAAATGCTTGGGTTTGTTGAGCTTGACTGGCCGGCGCTGCCAAGTCGTGGACATTACACGTGATGAATCTAAAAAAAGATCACCTCTTTCCATCAAGGAGCTGCTCGCTTCCTTTCCAGAAGCCCACTAGCTACACAAGCCCAACACGGAGGGCACATAACCAACTTTGGGGTGTATGAACAGGGTGAGTTTAGCTCTGGGCCAGTTAAAAGACGCCCTTGCACAAAATTTTAGCTCAGTCGCTTTCTTCCTCACCACCATGCTAGGCTCAGACGAAGTAGTCAAGCACATCGTTGCCCACGATGTTCCTCGTACATCCTTTCAGCTCCCCTGCTGCCGCCGTGGAGATCTTGTGAGCGCCTCCATGTTCTAACCTTATGTCACCGCACTTATCACGCATCTCCAGGACGTTGAGGTCAAAACTCATTTCCACTACACCTCTGTAGGGGTGAAACGAACCTTTGCCACCGTTGAAAGGTTCTCCATGGAGGCGGATGATGGTCATGACCATGACCATCGCAAGGGCATGGGTGACGTAAAGCTAGAATTGGAGCACCAGGAACCCCCAGCCGTGAGTGTCGTTTCAGCGCATGCAACAAATCGCTGACCTTTTTGCAGAAAAAATCCCGGGTGGAAGGGACGGGAGCCACAGAGACAAGCTCCCTCCCAGCTCCCTCAGGTGCCGGAGCGGTCAGCTCTGCTTCCCCAGCTGCGTCAGACGCACAAAGCTCCTCGCCTACTTCCCCACCTGCATCGGATGCACGGAGCCCCTCCCCTGCAGCATGCACTTCAACTGATGAGGTGGCAACCCCTGTGAAGGCCACCCCCTTCACAGCTCCCTCGCCCGGGTTCGTCAGATCACCAACGCCCATGCCAGGTCTCCCGCCCACGCAGCCCTGTACCCCTGTAGCGTACGAGGATTTTTTTATCTTTGACCAGCTGGAGCAGCGCTTTCAAACCCGTAGGCTGCCCAAGCCAAAGGCCAGGTCTGAGTCAGCGGCCCCGCCTCTTGTAAAGCGCGAACAAACCCCACCATCTCCGAGCCCGCGAGCATAGGGCTCAAATTGCACGTTTCCCCCCTTTCTTGTAGCTATCTGCGGGTGATCAGCTAGCTAGCGTATGTTATTTGTACGTATATCTAGCTATAAACAAACAATTCTTGAGCTACATACACGTGTGCTTGCAAAGATAGCTTGCGATGGAATCAAACTACCCGGCACCATGGTTTGTCTGCACAACACCTTGCGGAATCCAACGTTGCAAGCAACGCAGAAATACAAAGCGCGCCGCCGCGGCCGCGTCGCTGTTGACACCGTCGAGCCCGTCGCTAGACACGGACAGCGACATCGGCCCGCGCTTTGTGAGCGCAGACCGCCGCACGATATCCACACCTCGCACGCGGTGAGCTGGTCCGTGACGAAGCGGCTCAGGACGTATTGGTGCTGCTTCTCGGGCGCGACCGTCTGCACGGGCTCCTGTGCCTGCTGCTGCCCCTTGCGCGGCCGCGTCTGGCCTGGATTCGGATTGGGCGGGATCAACACTGTGTTCTTTTCGAGCAGGTTGGGCAGCTGGCGGAGGCAGGTGTCCACGGCAAGGTCCCATGCTGCCCAGAATTGGTGCGTGTTGTAGACAGGAGGGCGGGGTGCGTGTGCGGGGTGCAGTGGTAGTTCTTCATGATGCGCTCTGCGAGGAGGAAGTTGCGGAAGAGGGAGGCGATGAGGAGGTCTGAGCGGTACAGGCGCGTGAAGATGTCGGGCGGGAAGGTCGTCCTTGCAATCGTGTCTGTGACGGCGGTGAAGACCTGGGTACGCCGTGGCCGTTGTAGTAGAAGCAGACAGTGTCGTCCTTGGCCTGTTTGCAGAGGGTCATGCAGAAGTGCCTGAGATCCTCGTAGGAGGGGTTGAGGATGGGTTTGTGATTTGGAGGGAGAGGCCTTCGAATTGGTGCTGGAGGTTGGTGCCGATGGCTTCGAGGGCCTTGTGGGATGGGAGAGCGTGTGGGTCGACCCAACACTCGAGGACGGCGCACGGGGTGGTCTTGATGACGTCGGGCGGGTCAACGTCAATGTTCAGACACAACACCAAGGCTGCGTTGGCGGTCTTGAGCTTGTCAGGAGCTGAGCCGTGCAAGGGAAAGAGCTTGCTGACGTAAGAGGGGCGGAAGGACGTGTTGCCGCATGTGAGATGGTGTTTGGCAGACCAGTAGGGGATGATGGGGCCAGTGTTGGGGAGGGTGTCGTCCGAGTTTGAGCGCGCAGAGTCGGCGGGGACGGTGGACGTGTGTGCTCTGCCGTTGTTGGTGCGCGTCGACGAAGGATCAGAGAGGGATGCAGAGCCCCACCTGCGCTCTGTCATTGTGCCATCTGAGCCGACGTCGGAGTCATGGCGTGGTCTGTAGCCCGTGTCGATGAATGGAGGCCCTAGGGTACATGCACGTCGGTGTAGGTGAGAGAGGAGACCAGGGTGATGCTTACCTTATTTATTTATTAAATCCCATTTATTGTCTTTTGGGGTGTTGCCCTATGTAAGACATCAACTGGCTACGTCGTAACTACGGCATCCGGGCGGTCTGGGCTGGAACAGTTGCAATCGCTCGATGAGCGTGGAAGAAGGTGAAGGGTGTAACGTGTAGCGTGGGGCTGTATGGTAATATGGCGGATGTAAAATAGATATTATGGTTTTTATGGCGAGCTGGGGAAGAAACAAATGCGGAGAGAGAAACAGAGAGAGAGAGAGAGAGAGAGAGAGAGAGAGAGAAAGAAAGAAGGAGGGAGGCGAGAGTGGGGCGCGGAGCTGGGAGAGAAGCAGTTTGAGGGTGTTGTTATTGTATTCGTTTGTGTTGTTTGGGCTGACTAAGTTGGTTTGCGGGTGTGCGAGGCCGAAGCCGAGATAACGTAGAGTAGGACAGAGACGAGAAGAAGAGACGAAAAGAAAAGAGAGGAAACTAAGTGTGGACGTTACCTTGGGCGGGCGGGGCGACGGGGAGCATCTTCGGACTTGGGCAGGGTCAGGCAACCATAGTGTTTGGAGAATCGTCCTGTGCTGTGAATGAACGTGAACAGAGGCCCCATGTGGTCGGGCTTGCTCAGGAGTTTGCCAAAGAGTGGGAGGCGACCTTTTCTGGTCGTTAGAGCGAGGCGTTCTCGGGCGGCGCGGTATTGGGGGCAACGGATGATGTAGTGATGGGCCGTCTCGCGCGCCCCGCAGTGTGGGCATGCGCTGGGGATGTCTGGGTCTATGCGGTACATGGGGCCGTTGAGGTCCACAAGGCCAGATCGGAGGCGGAAGAGGAGTGTGCCGTGACGCCGGGGCATGGAGGAGATGAGGGACATGAATTCCGCGGCTCTGAGCTTGGGGTTGAACTGGGACATGTAGAATCCCCGGGGCGAGTTGGTTATGACTGCCTTTGCCTCTGCTGTGATTTTTGCGTTCAGGTGCTGGCGTAGCGCCGAGCGACTCTTGGGGAGGGTACGCGGTGTGGCGGGGCGGCCTTTTCGGGCGCGTTTGACGAGGAAATTGGGCAGGGTGATGCAGGGGCTGGTGCGTCCCTCGGCTGCCTCCTTGGCCGCGCGGTCAGCGAGCTCATTGCCACTTATCCCCACGTGACCTGGCGTCCACTGTAGGACCAGCGGGGCGCCGTTTGGGGTGAGATTGGTGGTGGCCTCGTGGAAGGCGTCGAAGAGGTAGTGCCCGGGGGATGCGGAGCGGAGGGTGGTGGCCTTGAGGGCTGCTTGGCTGTCGGCGCCTATGAACGCTGCGCCGTTCCGCCTCCGCACCTCCCGGCGCAAGAGTTTGACCGCAAGGAGGAGGCCCACCGCCTCCGCCTCATAGACGGTGTGGTCGGTGGCCAGGCCCAGGTGGAAGTGCGATCTGAGAGTGCGGGACCCACGAATCAGGACAGCTGCGGCGCCCACTCTGCCGTCCTGGCTTGACCCATCGGAGTATACCGTGATTGGTGACGTGATGCTTACCTTGAGAATGGCGCCCGTTCTGCATCTACCCAGCGTGAAAAGAGAGAAAAAGGAACGAGCTCGCTGTGGCCGGCGTCGACGAGCGCGTGTATGGAGCGATGCCTCGGAATATCAGAGCATATCCCGGCAATCTCGTGGGAGTCCACGGGTCCGTCGCGTTCTCGCCCACGTTGACCCAGTCCTCGACAACTCGCCTGACGTTCTCCTCCTCCTTCTCCTAGTTGGCCAGCACATCCGCAGCGCCCGCAGTGCACGTTTCACCCGTGCACCGGCCCTTCGTCACGCAGCAAACCTCCTCAACATCTAGACCCCCACCGCACCATGTCCTCCCTGCAGGACACCTCTTACCTCCTCGACATCTTGGTGGGTAGACCTTCAGCCAAAGTACCTGATCTCTGACAGGTATATCTCCATTCCCAGGCTACTCATCAGACCGGTGCTGATGCTGCATCTCTCCTTGCCGGTCATGATGATGGTAGCATCATGAGCAAGCCATATGCTGCTCGAGATCAGCCCATGCAAGATGTTCCCTGTAGCTCAGCTGCGCTATCAAGGCTTCGTGCCCTCATGGAGGAGCACTACCGTCTCAAGGCACAGGCATCTGCTGCACCCAACCCCTGTGATTCTGCCACTGCAGAGTGCAGCTCCGATTCTGATTTAGACATTGCCCCACAAGCTTCCGACCTCCCCAACCCAAGCGTAGGTGATCATCTTCCCTCCCCAGCCCTGCGCCCGCCTTAGCTGTTTGCAGGGTGATCAAATGCGTGCTCAGAAGCGTAAAAAGCGCAAGCGTGAGAGGGAGAAGGCAAAGCGACAGCAGATCCGAAGGGAGCTCGGTCAGGCAAAGTCATCGGGTGCGCACGCCGTTGGCTACGTGGGGATACAGAAGGCGACAGGTGCTGCCCGCAACCGACTCCCTGGCGCTGTGGTCGAGACCCAGGTCAACTTTGAAACCGACCTCAAAACCGAGCGTGGCGCTTTTGGCGGTTCTAAACGTGTTGCTGACAAAGGCAAGATTTTCGACGTGATGGAGAAACTAGGCCCTGGTTTCAAATTGGTGAAGTTCACAGCCGAGTGGGTCCTTTTTCTTGCTTCATGACCTCCCATGTAAAGCGCTTTTTTTGCAATGTAGGCACACAGAGGCCCTATTGGACCAAAAAGGGCGCCTGGTCGGCATCCTGGGTGGGAAGCCTGGGCCTTCAGGCTCAGGTCCCGAGAATTACAGCACTGCTTGCCATGACCTCACCTTTCTGCTGAGAGCGTTGCAGGAGGTTTTTCCAGTTGATCCTGCGAAGAACCGCCCTGAGGAGCAAGTAAGGGGTAAACACGGGGTCATCACGATTGGCGTTACCCACGGCCAGGGCACCTTGGTTCGTACCCTTCAAACGCGCTATCCTTTGCTCATCAGCACTCATGCTGAGGCTTGCAGTGCCCAAGGAATTACGCTGTTGATAAGGGGCTGTTTGATTTTCTGCGCCACCATCCTGCGGTTGATCGCATCTCCCGTTATGCTGATTGTGAGTCAATGAAAGCATCCAGCTCGTGTTGTTTTGAGCTCATGGACAAGGCTAGCCTTATTTTGGTCCTATGCCCCAAAGCAGGCGGAGTACATGCGCAACATGTACACCAAAATTCTCCATCAAGACCCTGACCTTGTACCGGCTTTAAAGCACATCACCTGGCCCGCCATGTCCTTCAACTATGGCGGCAACGTGGTCACCAACAAGCACGTCGACTGCATGAACCTCCCGCAGGGATGGTGTGCCATCTGGGCTGGGGGGGATTACGACCCCACCCAAGGCGGTCATCTCATTCTCTGGGAACTCGGGCTGGTGATTGAGTTCCCCCCGGGCTCAGTGATTTTAATCCCTTCGAGCATTGTTCCCCATGGCAACATAGCAATCCAGCCCAACGAGACCAGGGTTTCCATGACGCACTTCTGCCCAGGGGGGCTGGCTCGCTGGGTTCATGCCGGTTTTCGTCCTATGAAGAGCCTGTCACAGGCTGAGCGACAGGAAGTGCATGGGGGTGAAGGTAACGAGAGATGGTCCAGCATGGTCTCTTTATTTTCAACCATGGACACCCTTATCTCAGACCGTGAAGCCTTGAAAAAGCGATGATGTATTTCTGGTACAAAATATACTACAGTTTGGTTTGCAAGCCGCTGGCCCTTGTGACATAGGTGCTGTATTCGATGAGGCAGCCACCGTTGGGGTTCGCATCTGGCGGCACGCTGAAGTAGACGCGGCATGCATTGCACGCTGCGTGTCGGCGTAGGGGCCCACCAAACCCACGATGGGCTGGTAGAGGCCGGCAAGGCACGCGCCGACTCAGCGGCGGTGGGGTCAACAGACCCAAGGTGCAGGATGCGCGAGGCCAGCGCGCTGCGTTGGCCATGCTCTTCAACGCGAGGGGTTCGGCCGCCTGCGGGGGTCGTAGACGCAAAGGCGACGGCAGCGTCGGAGGTGCGGGCGCCTGGCTGCGCGTTCATAGGGTCACTGGCAGCGCCTGCGCCCCGTCGACGAGCGACCACGCACCGTGTGTGGCGCACAGCGCAACCATCTCCTTCCACGGGAGGAGCGTGGGGTTGGTGGTGCGCGGGTGCGCGGCGGTGACGCGCACGAGACACCAGTGGCAAATGATTACCCCCAAGTAATATGGAACATGCCATAAATAGCTTGACAAATACTGTGGATCCTGATGTCCCTGCCAGTGCCACCGTAGTGCTTTTATCCACAGGTCACTGGCAGCATTGGGGTGGTGCTTTTATCCACATACTTGCTTTTGGTATTTTGTTCTCACAATCTGGCTGATGCCGGTGGCGAACTGGAAGCGGGTTTTCAATTATTCTTATGTTTCTACACCGTGAGCAAATGACACATCGAACATGACTAAACAGTCTATTTTAGGATATGCGTATCAAATGCGGCTGCCGCCACGCTCACCCGCGTTGCCCACGTCCGCTTCCTCGGCGGGTTCATCGCCACCCCCTTCTGCGTCTGAATCAATGTCTGGATGGTTGCTACGCCTCTGAAGGCTCTCCGCTTCCCGCGCTGACCACTTGCGCTCCCACTTGCGCGTGAAGCTGTCCCGTAACCGACGTTGTTGGTGAGCTTGCCGCAGCGCGTGCGCCCGCACGCCTTCTACGATCGCTTGCCGGTCCAGTACCGCTTCGCTGCTTCCCGTACGGATGTTCTCTGTGGTTGCGGCTGCGGTCGACGGCGTTGCCGCGCTACTATTGCTTGACGCGCCTGCTGACTCCTGGCTCGATGTTGCAGATGGTGAGTCCACAATCGCGTGCTTTTCCCACCAAGACGCTCTGTGGTCGAGAAACGCACGCACGCGACGCATCTCTTCCTTCAGCAGCGCGACTTCCTCCTCCCATCGTTTCTTCCGTGCACACGCCTTCAGCCACTGAATCCGCAGACCTAAAAGTAAGTAAAGTCAGTTTGGTCCGTCTGTTTTTTCGCCAAAAACAAAATACGGTACCTTCTTGGGTCTCCTCCTCGTCTTGCCAATCCGCGCCGATAGGCCCTCCCGTAGTCCATATCCAGGACACCGTACGATGTCCTTCGCCTATGCCACGTTCCATCTCTTTCGCACGTCGTCTCGGAGTGTCGGCTTCTATCAGGGGTTCCCGAAGCGCCCGGATGTCTCTTCGTGCGAGCGGCCGCAATCCCCGGGCAAGAATATCTTGGCTTCCCAGCGCGAGCAGCGCCCTGTACGCATGGTCGTACTTGGCTTGCTCGGCAATGACCTTACGGTCATAGTCTTGGACGAGCTTATACGCTCGGGTGATGGCTCGCTGCCCTCGAAGGTTGAGGTTGCGAAACAGTGTGAAATGGTACCTTGTCTGCACCATCCCGCGGATCCTATCTAGCAGGCTGTGGCATTGGGCTACACGGAGCTTCATCTCGACTTCGTCAACGCGGTGAATGCACAGTTTGCGCTCTATTTCGCCCAGTCCTGATGGGAGCCATAGCGTTTCGTTTTCTACCTCGGTGTTGACGTTGCGTTCCCTCGCCGCGATCAAGGCGTCGATGCCGGGCATGTATACCCGCTGTATGTCACGAAATTTGACAATTTCACGGCGTATACTCGATCGACGGTGCTCTAGCTGAGCACGTTCCTCCGCTGTCAGATCTTTGAGGCGTGCCACATCTGCTCGCACGCGGCGTCTACGACGTTATGTTAAAAGGTTGTCACATTGTAAAGAAAAGAAGTCCAGCGGACGTACTGTTTATCTTCAATTTCGAATGCTAACTTCACGAATGTACTTGGTGAAATGTCGTGCGGCAGGAATGGAATGTTTCGCTCTGCCTCTGCAAGCTGGGCCCGAAGGTCTGCTTCGGTTATACCTAATAAACCGTGAGTCTTCTAACTTGTAAATCACCGATTCGTGAACACTCTTACTCTTTTTGGAGGATATGTATGGGTTGGGATTGGACTTATCGTTCTCCCAAGCGACCCTCATGGCCGTCCAAGCGTTGCGAGTAGATTCACCAATGGACTCATCGAAGACCAGCAAAGCTTCTTGATGGGCCGCATGCGCTTCGACGGCCAGTAGTAGTCGACGCCGAAGGATGTCCCCCAGATTGTAGTACTTGCGGAGATTGTGGCAGGTGAATAGTATGTTCAGAGTATCATGGCGAAACCCGAGCGTCATCTCCTTTGTACTATTGCTAGCCAGGTTAAACTCGGCCCAGCCGCGTTCTATACCTTCCCCGTCGGTACGTCCAGCGCCCTCCATAAGATTTAGAGAATGTTCGGTAGCACATGCTTCGTTATGACCGGGGGCATGAAACTTTGGAACACCGAAGATTAGCTTTTCAGCAACCGAGACCAGCAAAGCCTGCATCGCCGCGGGAAGTCTATCCATACGCTTGAATAGATTTATTTTCCACTGGCACGCAATGTCGTAAGAGATTACGACGAGAAGCAGGAGTAGCGTCGCAAACACGGAGAAGAACATATAATCCATGTTACAATTCCTAGAACTATAGTCAGCTTGCTAATTTCACCTTTATCTGAGCACTTACCGCTCTCCTACTTGTAAATCACCAACGCCGAGCGCCATTATAAACTCGTGGCGAGCACACATGACCATTCCAACCCCGGTAGCCTGTAGACCCTTTGCTGTCTTGTTGTTGACACCCGAGATTGCTCGAAAGCTACTACACGTAGACGTCTACGAGCCAAATGAGCCGGATAAGACCACGAATATGCGGGAATAATTAGCACTAAAGTACGCACCTCCTTCTCCGCTGTATGACGCTTGATGTGCTCCATGTATGGCCCAGTCTCTACGAAGTATGCTAGGCCATCAAATAACTCCGTATCCGAAGTGGATGGGCCGCGGTCGCGGTTTTTCAACCGAAAGTTTGCGTCCATTGCGAGGAAAAGGCAATAGAGAAACCTGCCACCGTTCTGAAATTTTCTAAAATTGATTGGAAGAGTCCGACTCACTTTTGAGATGCGTCAGCTTTCTCCCATCCATCAGGCAAGTTGATTTCGGGATGGGGACAAGCTGGACAGGCTACAGCGAGCTGCCCTGCACCTGTAGTTTCTATGCCATTGGGAACGTTACCGCGGCCCGCCTCTTTCATGAGACGAACGTATTCACGTTGGCGAATAATGCGAAGAAAAGCTTTATAATGACTCTTTTGAACGACATCAGTAAGAGATTAGTGCTGAATCAGGACGACTGACCGGTGGAACATCCAAGCCGAGAGGATCTGTTAGTGTCTCTAACGCCTGATAGTAACCGTGCGCTGATACTTTTGTGCGGGACATAAGAGCCGAATATTGAGCGAGAGCCTCCTCGGTGCAGGCGGTCTCCGGCGTGTCAACTGTTGAAGGAAACCACCCATACCGTAGAAGCTGCTGCCGGTGAGGTACCTTTTTATTACAGCCACAAAAGTCAATGGAGACGCGATGGACTCCATTTGTATGAATGACGACAAAGTTGGCGTGTCCTGACTGGCGTAATATGCATTTGGATCCATCCTCGTGACTCATCTGAACCCTGAGATGGAGCGACTTGAGGGACACGCGCTCGAAAAACGAACCGTTCCACTTCTGTATGAGGTCATTGCCATTAGATGAATGGCTTACGACGTAGACGGACGGATGACTATACCTGAACGTGATGCAACGGCATCTGTTGGTGTGCGGCTACACAGCATTCTCTGCACGTCATTTGACATCCGCTGCAGTTTTCGCACCGGTACTCTCTCGGTCTACCGCTCTTGCAGTAACACGGATACACCGCGGCGTGGCCTCGACCTTCCAGGCGTATGTCTTCTTTCAAGTATTCGTCCCGATACCCTGGCCGCACGCTGTCTCCAACCCAGACGAGGAGAGGCTTATCCTGTAGCATAATGTAAGTCTATGTCTCACTGAACTAACGGGGCGATCGAACCGAAGATAGGTATTGTTTTCTTGGTACAGATGTGACCGCCACGTGATCGCTCGCTTTCACGTTGTATGTGTCTGCCTCAGATGCTTCGTCTAAATCGTCGTCCGGAAGCTCCAGATCCATAGTCGGCTGCCAGTCATCGGAGTGTTGAGGAGTATCGCCAGTCCCTTGTCTGGGCTGTGAAGACCTCGGGATGTCAGACTCATGATGGAAAGCAGTCTTGATACGTCTCCCATTCTGCGAGAGGTCCACCACTCGCGTACTGGTGTTATCGAGGTTGACGTCGCCGTCGTCACTATCATCAAGATAGCTATAAGCTTCCGATCGTCTTGGACGCCTACCACCAGTCATATTTCGCGAACAGAAGGTGGGAACGACTTGAACTCAAGAGGGTCGATTTCAGAGACTAGCTCAGGTACTCGGAATGGTCGCTACGCCGGAGGTGGGTTGTCTATTCCCGCCACCCCAACTGTATTGCAGCCTCATAAAGCAGTCTCACTTCTTTAAGGCCTTAGACTGATCCACCGCCGTGGGCCTGGTTCAAAGGTGGTTCTTTGCAATAGAATGAACACACCCTTCGATTGAAGGCTTCGATATTAGTATCAAAACGTGGTGAGCTATTTTCGACCGCCGATGATCTTTCATTAATCTATAATGAGGTGGGACGTCCGTTTAGGTAGGAACCTCGCTCAGACTTGCGAGTACGCCGTCGGAGCTTGGAAGCCTGAGCCAGCATATAAAAAACAGCACGACGCACTAGCCCACCCATCACTCTTCCCGCCATGTCTCGCACCCCTTGGCCCGGCACCCCTGCCTCCTCGCTCTTTTCTTTCTCGGGGGCTTCTGATGCTTCTCCTCCTCCTCCCTCGCCTACACCTACTTCTCCTTCATCTCCCGCGGTTCCTCCCTTGTATATTGCCGCCTCTCATGCGTGTCAGTCGGCGGCGCAGTCCCCGAGCTCAGCTCCTCGTGCATCGGGAACCTCTCCCTGCACCTCTGCGTCTCACCAGGCCACCCCATCGCCATTCCCCGCCCACCCTCCTTCTCCTCCCAACCCTTACCACGCCTACGCCTTTCTCACCAAGAAGAAAGACTACTCTGTCGACTGCACCTGCGGTCACTTCAACATCCACATGCAAGGGAATGGCACTGCCAATGAGGTCCTTACCGCCTGCGTTGGTAAATGCTGCCGTAAGTTGTCCTTCCAGATCCCCACTCCCAGATTAGCTAATAGTGACACCAGTTAATTTGATCGCCGAGACGGTGGCAGACTTGATACTGACGGGCGAGTGGAAACTCGATTTTCAGGAGATGCTCCACGCGAGCGTTCGGACTGAGGTCCTCAACCTTCCCAACAACGAGTCGTTCGCAAGGTCTGTTTCGTTTTCCTTCATAGGGTCGTACTTCAAGGACGATTCATTAATGCTGTTATTAGTTTCTTTCATCGATGTGCTGCGATTGAGCTCAACAGCCAGCTTGAGCTCACGCGAGCTCGTTTTACCGCCATGCAGGAGGCCGCTGCTATAGCGCGGACCAATAGCCATGGTGAAATTCCGACCGCCGTAAGTCCTCACCTCCGTCATTGAGTATCTCGTGTTTCTGATCCATTGTGAGCAGTTCGACAACCTGTCGACAGCTTCTCGCGTTGCGTCTGCCCCCGGCTCCGACACCCTCCGTTACGTCAATTTCCGCTCCGTAAACGGGGATCGCTTCCCTTACGGCGTCATCCCCCCGGATGGCGTCGTCAACAGGAACCTCAACCCGACGTTCCAATCCATGGTCGCCAGGCTCCCCACAAGGACCGTTTCGCTCACGCCAAGTGTCGACGTAACGTACTACGATGTGCCCGTTAACTCCGAGCCACCCTATTATTGGGTCCCATACGGATTCGCGATCGGCATCTTTGCGAACCCGTAAGTTCGCCACACTTATTAACGTTACCTTAGCTAATCCTCCCATTCTAGTCAGCTCTACTACTCTGTGTGGTCTTCGGGCCGTGGTTCCGAGGGACACGAGGTGTTCTCGCTCGATGAAGCTCACGCCGCGATGGAGAATGCTCTGTTGGAGGGACGCTTTGGTCTTATTCGTTAGATAGTGTGCTGCTATTTCACGTCGCATCTATTAGAAACATATAACTATTGTAACTATCTTGGCCCACGTCGTATTGTTATGCCGCCGATGTTTCTTGTTACTTGCGCAATCATACGTTCTTGCCTTGCCCTTCATGATTTTGGTGGTTCGTTGATGTTAAGTCAGGCTGTAATAACAAGATTGGAATGGCGTCATGTTTGTACAACCCTGTGATCATACCTCACTTTCGATCTTTATGTCGTCCATTGGGTATTAGTACTAGTCACGGAAAGCGGGCATTCATTAGACTAGCTTACAAACTAGAATACTGATATTGATTAGAATTGTGACATAAAAGTACTATTATCGACTGCAAACGAATCTCAAAGACTTAAATCATTTCACTTTCAAAGAGCTAGGAGGGTAGACAGGGAGTAGTTCAAAAGGTACAACGAACAGCGGGTCAATTTGCTTTCATGTGGAAAACCAAGCGGCTGGTGTAAAATAGAATATAACCGCGATGTGGTCCGTCCTAGAACCAAGCGTGAAGAACCATTGGTTATTAACCGTCATTTGGATGCATGTTCCGGATTATAAGCGAGAACAAAAGTCAGAAGCACATTGTATAGTAAATACCTAGAGTCCATGCATCTCTGCGACGTGGGTAAGAAGTTAATAGATTGACTTTGTGAAACTAACCGACCATTTTGCCATGCAAACGGGTGTGAAGGACGTGGTTAGCAAGTTATGATTATAAGAGTACTGTGTCCTCGGAGTCGCGTACCACGCACCGGAACGCAGGTTCGATAATACATCCGCCTACTGTAGACATTGATTCTACACTACTGAATGATGTACGTATCGGAACGCAAGCAGTATTGTCTAGGTACTGCAAAGCACGCTGTGTGAGTGATTATGGCAACCTGCGTGTAGAATGAAGAGGTTGCATATAAAGTGAAGTCTAGAGAATAAACTAGTGTATACGTGCCGAGGGTGCATAAGTACTAGTATTTGACGGGATCGTTAACAACAAGATTGACGAATTTACGTCTCAACACTAATGACAATAATACAATCACATTCATAAAATATGTACTGGCCCCGAACAAGGTCAAATGAGCGAAACTTCAAGAACATGATGAATCGATGAAGCATACTGTATCTGTAATGTGGGAGATGGGTTTACATCAAGGTAAGCAAGTTCGTTCTGACGCATCAGCGTGTGTGCACACGTACGCGCGATATCAATTGGTATCTTTCTTTCTTCGCCATATAGTACATTACTCAACGAGAATCAGCGATGAAACCTGTTTACAGGCACCACTGGTCGTGCCACCATTCACCATAATGCGAGTCGTGCTGAAACAGCTTGTGACTGCTGTGCGCTACAGTAATCGAGCTCTAAACACAATGTGAGTACTTGATACGACTGTGATCACATGTTGGCCTTTTCCCCGAGTGACATACAAACTCAAGGTTGAGTGTTGTAAGTATCGTATTCTCAGCGGTATGGAGTATTACTACGATTGTAGTCCCAGGCTTTCAAACGTGCGTATTGATTATTCATGGTTCAATTACACTTTCGGCTCTGAACTTGGACTTGGTTACAGCTTTTGACTGCGTTCTCTCCGTTAAACAATTCACAATGGCGGCGGTAAGTACTGGGAACCACATAAACTACTTAACTTGCGGGTGGTAGCGCTCGGCGATCTGGGAAGCTAGACCAAAATGGTTTTGGTACAGCCCAGAACAAGGAAGTCATTTCCTCGATTAACCATCTGGATGGTGAGTGTATATAAGTGCCCACTCTGTCTTCTCTCGCCGTCTCAATTCTCATTGACCCACCGCATCATGCAGAGCCCCAACCCCCTCTCCCTCAGCGTGGAAGATTTCTTCGCCGGCGATGAGTCGTTGAACGTTCGCTCGCCCAACCCTATCGTAACTCAACGCGAGGCCCAGAAGCTCCAGGAGCGAATTGATGACTACAAGCAGTATGTTTCTCCTTGCTTGAACGCTTGCTTGTTTTCCGACTGACGATCGCCGCAGGCAACAGCTCTTTGTACTCCATACACAAGAAGTCACCAACACGAGACGTCGCAGTGATGTGCCCCCGAGGCCCGTTGCCTTTGTAGATGAGCAAGTTAGCCTCATCGCCACTTTGGCGGATTCAGACTCGGACGGCGAGGACGATCATTTTCGACTGTATGTGTTCTTTATTTTCATCCAACTTACTGTGGTTTACGTGGTTTCTTTGCAGCTGGACTGTATACGGCTGCATAGACGCCACTTCTCACATCGACGACCTTGTCGCCAACTTCTCGAGGGGAAAGTCACCGGCTGCACTGGCCCGATCCGTCTTTGCTCGGTTCTGCAAGGCGTCAGGAACGAAGGATGCTGAGAAGAAGGAGAAAGCAATCCGGGGCAATCTTCAGTTCGGTATCAGCCACCTCTATGAACTCCACGAGCGCATTCACCGTGTGCAGCACGCCCTATACCAGCTTACGGGCCAGGAATCGGCTGAGTATCACGATGCAGACGCTGTGGGCTGCAATATTACCAAGTACATTGCTATGCTCTCTGACCTCCAGAACCACATTCTCAGCGGGAATGTCGACATGTTCGAGTCGATGGGATTTGAGCTCTTCTTGTTCATGTCAGAGCCTGAGGTAGTTGGATAGTCTTTTCTTGACCGGCACACCAATACAATTGTCCAAATCTTGTCTTCAATATTTGATGCCCGATCATAAATAATTTGAAATATACCGTACTTGGCTTATCATCGAGAACCTTAGACAGAATAAATGTAGAGACTCATTTGATCGAATTGGTCCCAGTTTCTGGATTCGGATCCTTGAATACGGGTCATACGCCCGAGATAACTAATGCGAATAGATCATCGGCGCATCGGCTTTGGAAAGACTAGATGTGGAGATGCGTTTAACCAAATTTGACGGACCAGTCTTTCCTCCTTCACGCCCGAGACAACTAGCGCGCATAGATCAGCGCGTTGGAGCTTTCTGGCTTGCATTATATGATATGAGGCGGTAGAGAGACGTACACGTGTTCGAGATGTACTTGCTCCATTATCGAAGCCTTCCATAAATTAGAAGGACATAATTGATATTCCAATGACCATAATTGTCCAAGACTTTCCTTAAACGCTTCACGCGCGAATAGATCAGCGCTTTGTGAGTTTGGCATATAAGGTTTGACGCCTAGTCGGTCAAGGGACCTGGATATACACGTGTTCGGGACGGGACGGGCTGCATCTATCATCGAAGCACTTGGGAATCGAAGCAATAAGAATATAATATCGGCCAATCATTGTTCGAGGGAGCCCATCGGAGAAGAGTAAAAATAGCTGTTGTTCTTCGGTGACTCGTGCTTTCATCTTCTACCCGCCATCTCCGAGGCGTAACATTCTGACTTGGCGCTCCGAATTTAGGATTCGGATTGAAAGTTGCGACTTCTGTCACCGGCAACAATCCACGACAGCAAGGGTTTTTGATTGTGAAGCTGTCAGGGGCCGGAAGAACTATCTGCTGGAAAAAACAGCGGCTGATGCACGTCTTAGAGTGGTGTAGCTTGAGTGGGTCTCGCAGAAATGTTCACGCCAGCTTAACAATACGCAAGACATTACAGTTTGATTTGACAAGCTATACGAATCTGATACATGGGCGTGATCGATGTCAAGATATATATTCGGCTACAAGAATTGGTGTATAGCATGAACCTGAGGACTTACACCACACGTGGACGTTTAGACGCAGACGGCTTGCCGGAGGAACCTTTGTCGGGTTCAACGCGTCTGGAGCTAGGAGTTAGGAGATATATCGATAATGATGAGGACGTCTACGAGTAAACCAGCAGCTTACCTGGCGCGAGAGCGTGTGATGCAGCTCATCACCCACTGAATGTCTTCTACAGCCGCCAGCCACTGGGGGTCTGTCGACGCTCCGTGAGTCTCGCTGCCTCCCCACTTCAAAGACACCATCAAAGATAAAAAACCGTTGATGCCGGGTTTGTCGAGGGCGGTCCAGTCTCCATCCTCGCGAGGAAGGGACGAAGGAGAGATGCCGGAGGGCATCGGTAGCTCTCGCCACTCAGGCTGAAGCTGAATCCACCACTTCCACCATTGCTCCAAATACTTGTCGAGGTCTTTGATTGTCGGGCGGACTCCCTGCTTGCGCTTACGCGCGATCCACCAAGGTACTTCGGTCGGCCGTTCCTTAGAGTCCAACGTGCCCGCGGGTCCTTGAGGTGAGGAGAAGTTTGAAGAACTCTCGAGACGCACGTATTCTTCGAGGAGTCGCCTATACGAGTCGGGAAGTGTCCAGCCCTGTCGGTCTCCGATCGCGCCCGGCTGACCCCCCTTGACCTTGCGGCGATCCTCCGCCCTCAGGTCATCGGGCGCGCTGAGGTACCCCAGCGCATTCTGGATCCACTCGGGAGCGTTGTCGAGCAGATGGAGGTTGCTGGGGCACGTCTTGACGACTCCTTCAACACCTACACGAGCGTCTATACTACCGGTGTTTTCAGTGGCGTCTGCAGCCTGAAGGCGATCATCTCTAGGTAAATTTAGCAACGAGGGGATTGTCAATAAAGTGACCGAGACTGACCGCACAACGGTATCTGCGGGTGTAGCTGCATGGGTGGTGTTCAAAGGGCTGTGCAGCGTGATGAGTGACCATGAAGGTGATGATAGAAGAAGGCTCCCTCACTTTCTTGTTTGGACGCCCCCGGACGCTTGGCCGTTAGTGGGATTGTCTGACGATGAACTAGTGGAATTTAATTGCCTTAATGATGTAGAGACCGAGAGGTACTCACTTGGCGTTGTCCTTCGAGACGCAGTCGGTGGATGCTGGAAGAGAGTTAGCCACTGATAGTGAGGACGAGGACGTCCGTCACCTTTTGACACCTGAGTGGCTTCGCCATGAGCGGGCCTAGTACGGCGACGTGTGTTGTAAACCCTCGGAATGGGCGTGTCCCTATCGCTATCGACACTGTGCTCGGAGTCGGTCTCGACGGCTGAGTCTTCGTCAGATTCGTGGGCAGGCCGTCCGCGCTTGCGCTTCTCATGGATCGCAGGTGTGACGGTGTCGTCGGACGACGACATCGTGGGGGAATTCTTCTTACGTTGTGTGGGTTTGGGCCGGCCAGACGAATTAGTAGGAGGGCGAGCCGCTGTTGACGCCACCTGAGCATTGTTATCTTTGGATAGAACCGCGTCTCCGGTAGTTGCTGTCGCCAGCGCCGCGGGATCAATGCCAGCGGGACCAGATCGAGCACCGGTCACGTCAGAACGAGCACGAGGCGTGGTGGCGGCCGGAGATGCGGCTTCCGAATTCGAACCTACGGGAACGGGAGATGCTGATGCGGGAGGAAGCGGGGTGCGAAGTGTCGAGGGTTCCGAGGTATCCTGATCGGCGTTCTGGTCTGCGTCCTCCAAAGGGATCAAACCTTCTGGAACCTTCGCCCCGTCGGTTTGTGGAAGCGCCGCCGCCGCTTTCGTTTTGGTGGCTGCGAAGGTTTGATTTTAGCTGATATTGGACATGACGGGGCAAATAAACTCACTGAAGCACGTTTCTAGAAAGTCCAAATACTGTCTGAGCGCGGCCTTGTACGACGTTGGATTGGCGGCGGGCCATTTTTGACGGACTGAGGCAAGGCTGGTTCCCTGGTGCATACTGAAATTCGGAGTCAGCATGGGCTGATATGTCTGGTTAAAGTAAAGAAACGGACGTGATAACGTTAATGCGGCCACCCTTCCGAGGTTCGGGTCCTCCCAGAAAGACACTGGCATGAAATCCTGTGGCATTATGGACGTGCTCAAGGATGGGGGTCAGGAACGCCTGCGCATTGTCAATGGCGCTGGATAACCTCATTGAATGGTCTATACGACGAAAAAGAAACTTAAGGGGACTTACATCTGTCGCGCCTCAGGGGAGCTATCAATGGGAGCATTGAGTGAAGCATTCCACTGAGCGACTTCGCTGTCGTGAGCCTCCTTCGCTTTTGTTGCCCAGGAGCGCTGGGCCTCCTCCGAAAGCCTACCGAAATGCTCGGCGGTAATCTTCTCGCGGAAGGAGGAGCGGTGCTTGCTCCCCAACTTGCCCTTCTCGACATCCCAGCGAGCGTCGAAGTCTGCCTTGACAACAGTGGTGTAGTGGGACTTCGACCAAAACTGGCCGGCCGAAAGCTTCTTGGGTTTCGAAGGAGAAATACCAGCTAGCTGCCGGAGAACACGCGCCCAAACATCGTTCTCTTTGCTGCTTGGGCGGCCTACGAGCTTGTTGTTGTCAATTCGATAGTCAAGCCAGTTTTTGATGGACTATTGGCGCAGTTCGTATGTTAGTGAAGCATTCAGAGCAGACAGATTAGAAAGCGAAGTGCGTACAGATTTCATAGCCTCTATCTTTGCGGCCTTTTGGGCTTCCTCGACCTCAGATAAGTTCTCGACAACTCGAGGATCGAAGTCGTCCGGAATGGGGTCGGAGACCTTGTGACGCCAAGGTACGAAATCGAAGTATGCGTTGGTAACCGTGTCGATATAGTCGCGAGCGCGTGTGTACGTTTGTGAGCGCGCAACGCGGTAGCCTTCCAGGTGCCCGTCCATGAACTTCCGAATAGCATCCTTCGCCCACATGCGCTTGAGCGTTTCTACGTAGTAGAAAGGGTCGTTGGGGTGCCGAGTAAACGAGGCGGCAGCTGGGGTTGCATCGTTGGGATCGTCGTCGCCAGTAGCGGGCGCGGCAGCTGGGGCATCGCTGCGATTATCGTCGCCGGCAGCCGGCGCCGCATCGTCGCCGGTAGCCGACGCGGTATCGATGTTGACCGCTGCCACGTTCAACGACGTGTTTTCGACGCCAGCCGAGCACGCTAGATCGCGTTCACCACCGTTAATAGGTTCGGCGTCGCTCATGCTGTTACGTAGGGTCAGCCCGTCATTTTCAACTGAATTCGCGCTGAAATACGCACCTGAGATTGGCGTGTCTAGTGGCAGGAGGAGGGGGGCGGGGGCACGAAAAAAAGAAATGCGCGGGG